ATACTGTCTAAGATTCATGTTTGGAATTAAACGCTGCAGACCTGTTGGTCATAAACTGAAGGAAGTCCGATGGCTTAATATGAATATATAAATGTAATCTTCATCACAAAATTATAAGATTGAAGTCTCCACGCTATCTTTTTAATTTTAATAAATTTAAATTTCAGATTTAAAGGCCTGCTCACACCTCTGGAAACATGTAATGCATTGGATCAGTCTCTTAAATTTCTAAACAATACCTTTTCCACGCACCCGCGTGAAGTATTATTATCATTAAATATTTAAGTAATGTATACTATTTCCAAAGTGTAAGGCCCTCTATTTGCACAGATCGTACTAGGTATTTGTTTATTTATTTTTTATGTGTATTTGTCCTACCTAGCGCTGCTACCCTCTTCTTAGGGTAGGTTTAAAAACGGAGGCACAAAATATCTTATTTTGTTCATCCGAACCGTGTCCTACCTTAAAAACGTTTCGAATAAACGGGATCGTTGCTGTTGGCGTAGCAATTAAAACGATTACGACCAAATAACGAACGAATAAATCGGATAATTGACCAAATCCAAATACGCATAATAAACTCGGTCACCAGTTTGTTTGTTGGCCTTTGTCGCCTCACTATCGCCAGCCCGTACGAAATTGACCGAAAATAGACTAGGGTCGATCCGCTACGCGTCCGATCACAAACGAAAAAAAAAAATGCGGCCCCGCATAGGGTCCCGTGGGATTAGTGCCGAATCGCGAAAATGATGGACGCAAACGTCATGGATTACTACAAAATCGCATTGAAAAATTCGCTCGCCAATTCGCACCGTAAGTCGTAGCATTTAACGCGCTCAGCTTTTTTTCGTATACTCTGTCCCTAAGTATATCGTATAGGCTGTCGAGGGTAATGGAAAGTTACGGGAAAATGTCATTTATTTTTATTACTTTTAGTACTAAGACTATTTGGCCATGGCAACACGGTGCTGTTAATATTGAAAAAAGAAAAAAGAGAAAGCTTTATATATTATAATTATAATAATTTATATAACATAATTCAATTTTTTCATTTATAAATTTATTGATTTATATATGCTTTATAATTGACTTCTAACGGTTGACCAATGGTGTAAATTATTTTTCAAAAATCGCCAGTAGTGCACCTGATGAACCCAAATAGCACAAGGATGTATACGAGGGCGTACCGCGCGCAGAGCTTATATAGTTTTTTTTTATATGTTTTGCGATGGCAAGTTTAAAAGAACAACGTGCAGTTGTGAAATTTTGTTTTCTGCTCGGTAAAAGTGCTGCTGAAACTGTTTCAATGTTAAAAACAGCTTATAAAGACGATGCGATGGGAATAACTCAAGTGTACCAGTGGTTTGTTCGCTTCAAAAATGGCGACGAGTCAATTGATGATCGACCTCGTTCTGGACGTCCATCAACTGCTCGAATCGACGAAAATATTGAAAAGATTCGAGAGTTTGTGCTCACAGACCGTCGACAGACAATTGAACAATTATCAAGATTAGTGGGTTGTCTTGGAGCACGGTTCGGCGAATTTTAACCGAAGATTTGGGAACGAAAAGAGTTGCTGCCAAATTTGTTCCTCGTGTTCTGACTGACATGCAAAAAGAACATCGAGTTGAAACATGTCGTGCTTTGAATCAACAGCTTGAAACGGATCCAGATTTTCTCTCAAAGATCATTACTGGTGAGTCATGGTGCTATGGTTACGGTCCAGAAACGAAGCAACAGTCCAGCCAATGAAAGACGTCACTGTCTCCCCGTCCAAAAAAATGTCATCAGGTCAAATCAAACATCAAGACGATGCTGATTTGCTTTTTCGACATCAACGGCGTAGTTCATGCAGAGTTCGTTTCACCAGGTGAGACCGTTAATCAAGCTTTTTATCTGGAAGTTTTAAGAAGATTGCGATTTGTGGCGGACGGGGGACTGGTTCTTTCTCCACGCACCCGCACACAAAGCCATTTCTGTTAAGCAGTTTTTGGTTAAAAATGGCATGGTTCCTCTGTCCCATGCATCTTGCTCGCCTGATCTTGCTCCGTGTGACTTCTTATTTCCACATATGAAAAGGGACATGAAAGGACAGCGATTTGACAACATTGAAAGAGATCAAGAAAAAAACGAGGGATGAGCTGTCGGCTACAGCCAAAGATGAATATAAAAAATGTTCCGAAACGTGGACACACTGCTGGGATTTTCAAAACAATATATAATTTATAAAAGATGATTCCGATTTTTTTTGGGTACCTCCTCGTATATCCTAGGGATATACTGTTTCAGCTAAGGGACATCCTTAAGAGGTCTCAAGTATATACGACGTTACTAATTGGAACTTCCACGGTATATCAGACACGTTCGTCCGTAGGATGCTTCTTAGGAAATCCAGTTATACTAGTTGAGACGTTAGGACTGTGAGGATATAGGATCGTATATAGATATACCAGTGAACCTTACTTAATTATTATTTTATTTCCAACAGTCTATGAGAAATGTTGGAAAGGTAATGTCCAGTAGTCCAATTCGTTATATGACTACAAAAATTCTATACCATCATTTCGTACTTGCGCGTGAAGGACTGCCGATTGATACCATTAATAAGACACATTTTATACACATCTGATTTTTTTATACTGTAGATATGAAAAAATTGTAGGTATATAATATCTAACCTAAAGTATCTTAAAAATAGAGTAAGATACTATGTCTTGAACTAAACCCTAAAAAATATTCGACAGGTTTTCTGTCATTCTTTGATGAAAGTAGCTTTTCTCAGCCAAGCAACTGAATTCTCACATTCTTTTGATGTTTGTTATGTGTAAGCCTTCTAATCCGCACTTGAAAATATTTTAGTTTTGAGAAAGACAGGTTTTATATCTGTACTTTATAAAAAGGATAAAGTAAAACGAAAAAAAAAAAAGAAAAATAAAAAATAAGAATCTTATATGTTTAAAAAACAAATTTAAAAAATCCCTATATCCGCCTTTTACATAAAGGCTTGGTTTGACGCTGATAGTAGATTTTTTATGTATTTCATGTAAGTTTGAGGTCATTGGAGTTAACACGGGGAAAAACATTGTTACGACGAATTGCAGATTTCAGTTGGTGCCAAACATGTTCAATGGGGTTAAATGTACAGTGGTAAGCTGGAAGCCTTAAAACTGTATGCCCTAGATTTTTTGCATAATTATCACAGACCTATGCCTTTTGTAGGTTCAAGTTTTGTAGCTTCGTGAAAATAAATGTCGTTATTATACATGTAGTTTTGGATTGTTGCTTTTGTGTCACCTGAGGAAGGAGTTTTAGTCAACTGTCTACTGTGATAACTTGCATTGTCCATTACAATTACGCTATTAGGAGGGATGTTTGGAACTAGTTTGTTTTTAAACCAACTTTCAAATAAATCAGCGGTGTTGTCTTCATCGTAATCCAGAGAAGAATCTTTAATATTTTTTGCAGACAGAGAAAACCCATTTGGAATCCAACCATCTTTAGAGCCAGCATGCAAAACAGTTATTCTTTTACCTCTTTTTGATGGCGCGTTTGTTTTACACTTATCAGTTGAGTCAACCCAACCCTTTTCCGGGGTATCATAAGTGTCGAACCAGGTTTCATCCAAGTAAATAATTGGCCTTTGTTGTTCTTTGTAAATCCTAATTTTTTTCTAGATATTCCAGTCGCCATTTCCGAATTCTAAAAGTTTGTGTGAATACACTTCCATAAGGTAGTTCTGCCACATTTACACCGGTTTCATCTTTTTCAAGACTCCTAATTAAGAGATCTACGCTTTGTTCCTCGTATAACTGGTAAATTTTACACCGTATTATATCTTGATCACTCTCATCTACACTCGAGAAAATGTCAGCATCGCTTCTTGTTTTTCCTCGCTGAAATAGGATTATTCACAATTTTCCATACAGTTGATGTTGGAATTTTCGTCAATATGGCCGTTTCTTCTAAAGATGCTTGCTTGCTGGCACCACGTTCAATGAGAGCCAAATAAACATTGTTTATAACTTCCTTAGTCTCAATAGAATTGTGTTTTCTTCATTTGGGCGGGAGCATCTCCCGAGATACACGGACATATTTTGCATAATTCACACACGATTCAACACACGATGTATTGCACACCAAATAAGAATGACTACTAATAAACTTAAACTAAGTAGTATACCAAACCAAAGAATATTAAAGACAGGTAGGTATAAAATTATTTTCTATTACGGACCACAATTTTATCTGAATTTAAATTCCGAAACTTTAGGTAATGATCTTGTTGCATTGTGTGGTAATGACCACCCTATTCAAAAGCAATTGGTCACTTTCGTATATCTATGAACAGACTATACCTCCAAAAGCGATTATTAGTGTTTTCTAATAAAAAGGGCTTGGCGGTAAAAGATCTAAGAGCAATGAAGAAACTGTGAAGCAGTATTTTGAAGTGTTTGGCGAATCTACGTTTAGGATGGCATAACCAAATTAGCCAAGCAACCTTCCTAATCCTCAGACTTAGCCTCCAGGGACTATTACGCATTTCCCAACCTCAAAAAAGGCCTGGCGATAAAAGATCTAAGAGCAATGAAGAAGTTATCGACGCTGTATATCAGTATTTTGAAGAGTTTGACGAATCTACGTTTAAGCTGACATAACCAAATTAGCCAAGCAACCTATTCCCCAGACCTAGCCCCCAGGGACTATTACGCATTTCCTAACTTGAAAAAAGACCTGGCAAAAGATCTAACAGCAATGAAGAAGTTATCGAAGCTGTATATCAGTATTTTGAAGAGTTTGACGAATCTACGTTTAAGGTGGCATAACCAAATTAGCCAAGCAACCTTCCTACTCCTCAGACTTAGCCCCCAGCGAAACAATGTCCGGGTGACAATTACTAGACCATCGCGTCCGCTCGCCGACAATGGCGACAAATCGTTAGAAACAAACGCGAACCTTGCCGAAAATAGTGGGTTATACTTCAGTGTCAAAGTTCTCGCCTAATAGCGATGACGTAATACGACTTTCCGAAGCAGATCGCCTCGTAAACACCATCTTCAATGGCGCCCACCCACATACCGATATTGGCGAAAAATCAGTGGCGCATCTCGCGGAATCAAAGTAAATTACGCGGATTTATCGTGTCGCGGATAGAAATCTTGCCATAGCTCATGGCCGTTTTTTTTTATTTTCAGATGAAATGCTAGAATTGGAGAACCAAGATGTCGCCGGGAGAATTGCCGACTTGGAGAGAAAGGTTCTGGAGCAGGGCGATGAGCTCGTTTGCCTCAAGGTCAGTAAATCAACACTCCAAGCGACCAAAGTTTCATTACAATTGATTGTCCCGCTCCATAAGCCTCGAAACTGACTTCATTTCAATCGTCGATGCTGTGTTCTCGTTTTAAATCCAAACACTTCAAAATTTTAACGAAGTTAATGTTCTACAATGATAGACTATTAGATGGTCCTACTGACATCTTAAATGCTGAAATCTTAGACCCAGAGTTAGACCCATTTGCAACATGGTTTTATGAAAGGGCGGTCTGGTAAATATCCCCCAAGTTATAGCTGAAAATCTAGTCTTGCCATCTCAAACTGATGTTGTCTATACCGATTTTTCGAAGGCGTTTAAAATGATTACGGTTTATCATTGACTCTAATCAATTTGCTTTCATCTTATCTAAACTATCGGCGCCAGTTTGTTGTATTTGGTGGACTGAAGTCTGTAGAATATGTCGTAACATCCGGTGTTCCGCAAGGCAGCAATTTAGGCCCCCTCCTATTTAATACTTTTATTAACGACATCGTCGAAAGTGTTGATGTTAATTGCTTTGTATACGCTGACGATCTAAAGTTGTTCTGCAAAATTGATATTATTCAGGACTGCCAAAATCTGTCGTTAAAGCCCGTCAAGTGTTATGTCACTTAAAAGAAATATCAGACATAATTACCAAATCAATGCCATCGTACTTCAGCGCCCAGCTACTTTTGTTAATCTAAGTGTTACTTTTGACCCTAAACTTTCTTTCAACACGTAACAGATTTAGAAACTTTAAAGACTTTGTACTACGCATTTGTTAGATCTAAATTAGAATAAGTAGTAAGCTTCTAGACCTGTATCAGAAGAGGTGTTCTAGCCCTTTCCCTGGTTTGGGAATCATAATACCGAGTATCAGTTCGCAACTTTTATCAGAAAGTTCTTGTAATACATTTCCAGAGATCGAGTCATAACCAGGTGCTTTTTTTATGTTGATATCTTTCTTAATTCAGTTGAAAGGAGTGATTTGGTTACTTTATTTTCCTCTTCCTTAATTAACTCAGAGGAGAAAGGTTGAAACAGTTTATGAATAGAGGAAACTTCGGCTTTTTCTTTGTCAGGCCTTTGAGGTCTTCTTGTTGCTTCCCATAAGGAGAGTGACGAACCTTAACTGCAGGGTTCTTTTATGGTTTTACTAAGGTGTTTTGCCATAATCTGACGTATTATTTATTATGGAGGCAAACGGGCAGCTCAGAAACGACTCAGAACATATCTCTCAGGTGACCGGTCACACTTAAGTAACCATGTTTCCCAAGCCACGTTCCACTTTTAATTTTCAGTGATTTCTCTTTACTTTCAGCGTCTCAGTAAAAGATAATTTCATGGTCTAGGCAATCAAGTCAAAATCAAATGACAGCTGCTTTATGGAATTATTTATTTCCTTGTCTTCCCTTTCATTTTATTATTCATTTTATTACAGTTGGTCAATTCGTCTGACTTCTGCAGCATTTTTTATCCGGGAGTTTCGCAAAATATTTCCGTATTTCGTTAAATGTTCTGGGAGTCATACGCTTAAATGGTTATTTGGTCGAGGCATGTTGACGTTCGGTATATAGGCTCGTCGAAATGCAAATATTCTTGTTCAAGTGTATATAGAACAGGCATAAAATGTTATCGTAGTGCAAATATTTTACAAGCGGCTCTCACTAAAGGCATTACGATACCATAACATACGATAGCAATAAAACACACATTACCCAGTTCTCTTCTTAATCATTTCATCAAGTTTGTATTTAATTAGATGGCAATTAATACGGTTTAATTTTTACTCAGGCCACATTGGCGGAAGTCCTGCGCAGGCTCAGCGTCCTGGAGGGCATCAGACTCACTCAGCAAACCGCCACTTCCTCCATGGGAACCCCGATCAAGATAAACGGCTCAGCCAAGGACCTGCTGAGGCAGAAGCCTCAAAGTTATTCCACCTCGAAGGTCGACCTTAACCGAAGGTAAAGCATTCTGCAACTTACGAGGGTGGGCTGATAAGTTCCGAGCCTGACGATGAAAACAACATGTTTTGGTATATTTGTTCTTTGTTTTTCAACATACTATACAGAGAGGCATTAATTCACAGCAATAATAACTCTGTGGTTATTCTCCTCCAAGCCAATTTTTGGGCCAGTGCATAGTCTCTAGGGGTCAAGTTGGGCGAATAAGGTGGATGAGTAAGCATTTCCAACATTAATTCGTGAATATTAGCTGATGCGACGAACGCGCAGGTTTTTTCTTTGTCTTATAAAAGTACTCGCCATTGACGGTTCTATCCTTGTATAATTTCCTTTTGCATTAGAGAAACAAGACGAAAAATATAAACTAGACTAAAAGAACATGAAATAGCTTAAAGACAATGACAATTAGTTGCCGAACACAATCATGAAACCGAACATCAAATCTTATTCGACCAAACTAAAATTCTTGCATATAAATAAAATCCAGAGAAATCCCTAAGAACGAAACAATCTTATATAGGACTTAGAGAATGAGAATCAGTCTTCTCTTTTCCTCAACGTAATTTCTTATAAAGGTCTAAAAGCTCGTATTTCTTATAATCCCTTATAAATATTCTTACATTATAATAACGCTAAAAAGTGCTAGTGGATTACAATATTATAAAACTTACAGAAATTTTATAAGTGATATCTTATAAAACTACAAAAACTGTTATAAAAGCTAAGGTATCTCATTAGTCATCTTAACATAAAACCTTAAACTGAAAAAAATATTAGTTCAGATGCGCTGTTATCAAACGTAAAGCAAATTACAACAAAACTATACAAACTGTTATAAAAGCTAAAGGTATCCCATAAACCTGTTAGAAATATTCGCTACATTAAAAGAAATCCTTGAGCTGTGAAAAATATTAATTGGGATGCAATGTGTTCTAAAAAAACAACTTAAAGTGATGTATTGTAGTACTTCTTATAAAACTAAGAAAACTGCTATAAAACTTAGGATTTCTTAAAAATAATCATTACCTTATCAGACCTTAAACTGCGAAAAATATTAGTTGTGGTGCAATGCTACAAAACCAAAAATAATTTGGATATTTATTGAACAACTTATAAAAATTGTAACACTTCGTATAAAACTATAAAAACTGTTATAAGACCCAGGGTTTACCAGGCTACCTTATAATAAAACCTTAAAGTGCGAAAAATATTAGTTGGAATGCAATGTTATAAAACTTAATTTGAATATTTATTGCATGACTTATAAAAACTGTTATGAGACCCAGGGTTTACCAGGTTACCTTCTAATAAAACCTTGAGGTGCGAAAAATATTAGTTAGAACGCAATGTTATAAAACTTAAAGTATTTTGGATAATTATTGCACGACTTATAAAAATTGTAACACTTATTATAAAACTCTAAAATCTGTTATATAAAACCTAGAGTTTCTCATAAATTACTTAAAACTTGTAACACTAAATATAAAACTCTAAAATCTGTTATATAAAACTTAAAGTAAATTACTTATTTACCTTAAGCTGACACAAACATTTTTAATTGGGATGCAGGTTATAAAAATTAATTTGGATATTTGTTGCACGTCTTATAAAACTTGTAGCACTTCTTATAAAACTATTAAAACTTAGGTTTTGTTAAAAATATTCGAAAAATATTAGTTGGCGTGCAATGTTATAAAACCTAAAATAATTTGGATATTTATTGCACAACTTATAAAAATTGAAACACTACAATATTAGTTGAAAGTCAATGTTATAAAATTGCATGTCTTATAAAACGCTTCTTATAAAACTATAAAAACTGTTATAAAACTTAGAGTTTTTTTATAAATCACTTATAAATAGTTTCTTTAAGTTATTTCTAAAACTTTAATTGGGAGGCTTTGGCACTTATCGGCCCGCCCTCGTATTTTCGAAAGGTGTCGTTTTCGCTTCCACTTTCCAGTCGTCGGTTTCCTGCTTTTCTTTTCAATCATTCAAGCAAGACGAATATGTGACGGCGGCACCGCTCCCGTAGCACATAATTATAACTTATCCGGCGCGTTGCAGCATGCAAATTATACGTGTATAAATAAAACTAGCCGCCACGTTCCGAAAGGTATACGTTGAACAGTAACAAACGCAATTATTAATAAAATAATTCTGGCGAAAACTTCGCTCGGATGAATGGGACTGATAATTGCCTTGAATTAGATAAAAAAACCCGAGAGAAACTCGGCCGTCCGCGACGGCTAATGTTTTTTTTTGTATGCGTAATGAAATGCAATAATGAAACGGAAACTCATTTATCTTCGCCATTAATCAATTAAAACGCACCGCTAATTGTGTCTTTCTCTGATCCCTTTCTCTCTATTTTTGTTTTAATGATTATATTTGTTTTCGCGCTTAATACAAATCTAAAGCAGAATGCTAAGGTCATTTAAGACGAATATATTTTTAGCACTTTTTTTTCCCGCACAGTGGCCCTTTTAATAATAATATTCTATACAAATCTTGTATTTAGAGTTGCATATCGCTTTTAAGTTAGTTTCTACAGCCTCTGAAACTTAAAAAAAAATTCCTCGCAGAGATCATTACGCAATTAATGTTATCGATTATTTTGAAACGCAGGAGAAGCCTTAAAGCTGTTCATTTTCACAACAGATGCGTTCTTGTTTCTGTACCTCTTGCTCATTCTGTGTAAATGAAAGGATGCTAGGAAAATTTGGATTTTTTGAATTTGGTTTTTGTTATTGTACTAATTTTCATTTATTAATTCTTTTGATTCTTCGAATTAACTTTCAAAAGTTTAAAAATTATTAAGATTAAGAAATCGTCATTTGAATAGCAAAATTTTTATTTTAGATTTTTGATAGAAGACGAAATTTAAATTGTTATTAATTTACAAACACGAAATCTTACTAAAATAATTACAAAAAAAATAAACCATTTTTTGGCTCCGAACTGAAAACATTGTAAAGGATATTGTTAGTATCATCTGAATTGTAGCTTTATTTATAACGCTATTGCGATGTATAATAATGTCCCACCTCCTCTTAAAGACATAACCTGTAGCAGCTTTCGTAGGATTCTCCTTTCGTTTATGGTTATTTTTTTTCTAATTTCTATGTACAATAAAATATAAGCTCACATAAAGACTTTAAAAAAATAAATAAAAGATATTGTTAGGTATGCGGGATCATCTCTACCCCAGCGACGGGCGGTACATTATCAATCGACCGGCAGCTTGCACAGTGACAGTCAAAGCTCGAATAGCGTCAGCCCCATACCGTCACCGTCACCACGCGCCACACCACAGCCCCTCAATGGCCGTCGTCCGGTGTCGGTCATAAGCACCACCAGCACCACAAACATAGTGTCCACGAATCCTACCTCCCTCCACAAGAGATGGAGTTCGACCGGCGATTTTACTCAATCGGGCGTCCACGCTTCGCCGAGCTCCAAGTACGTTGCTTACACAGGCAAATCCCGAAATTAGTGGGTCACACTATAACGGCTTACAACACGTCCAAAATAAGCCCTAGCTTTCCATAATATATGTCGAGAAACGCTCTCTAACGAAGCCGCAGTCCCTAAAAATAACCCAAACAGGACAATATATACGTAGGAAAAACTTAAAATGTTCTTTTATTAAATAAAAACATGCTATGAATGTTTGCATATTAGGTTCACGGAACATTAAAACAGAAATTCTAAACACATTCTATGCGTTAATATTTTAATAGTCTATGACAATTATAAACGCCTCAGTACAAAAGTCTTAAAAAAGTTTTTATCTTTGTAGTGATCATCGTTTACACTGCGACTTGGTAATTTGGGCACTTTCTATTTTAAATAGAAGAAGAAGAAGAAAAAAAGTTTTCTTTTGTCTGTGTCAAATATCAAGGAAGTTAATAATAGTTTTAATTATAAACTAATTAACCCCTCGTCTTAAGAGGAAATAATGTTTAACACTTAAAGGAGCCCCACGTGAGACGATAATGATATAATAATCGTATATTAAATAATATTTCGTTGTTTGTTCGCATGGTAATTTTTGACGGATAAGTGTATTGGCGTGATTAATGATATTAAGGGGAGGATTTGCGGTTTTACTCTATGATAGATTTTTATTCGCAAAAACTCTTAGATAACATTTTAAAAAGTTAATTGAAAAAAGTCAATATCCATTTGGAAGAGCCCTAGGAAAGATTGGACATTCATTCATCAGTATGAACTGCACTCCGAAGGAGATAACTAATAGCTTCTGTTTTAGGGTGTCACTTTTATAAATCTTTCTTAATTTATGTAAGTGATAGGGTTAGATTTTTATTTATCTTTTTAAGGCAGTTAGTAATCTTGGGCTTTGAATTGAAGTGTTCAGTAAAGATATTGTTCTAATTAATTTTGATTTCCAGGTTGAAACAGAAGAATAGCTTAATAATTTGGAATATTTTTTGTTTTCTGAAACTAATAAGATATTTGTAAGTTTGCTTTGTTTTTGAGCGTGTTGATTATTACTTATGAATCATTGATCGAAAAACTATGTTGGAGGTTGATTCTTCGATCAAATCATTTACTTATGTCACAAAACTGGGTAATAGTGATGTGAAGAGACTGAAACATCATATCAGTAGTCTTACAACGGTTTTAGGCGTATTGTTGATATCTGCCAGGGGTCTTAATGCAATTTGAGGATTTTTCTCGTACCAAAATACAACCTGTTTGGGAAATTTAACGAAAAACCAGGGCCGGGGACTCCGTTGGACGTTATAGTTTGACTCGCAAATTTCGCGACATCCTGTATTTATTACTTTTTGTTGTAGTCTTGATTTTATGTTGTTTTTCGCTTAGATTCTCCACAAAGTCGTTTTTGAATTTGTTCAAATCGAGTAGCGGCACATCAGCACCTAATTACAAGCACGGGTACGCGTGGTGATCGCAATTATTTGTCATTTGCGCGTTTTAAATGTGTTTTTGATGTAGAACCCGAGACGCTACCTACAACGCCGAAGAAAGAACGCTGAAAATGTTCTTCAAGGGTCGGATCGTTACCTTGTACGCGCCCAGCAACTTGGCCGACGACTACGAAATCACCAAGGTATGTCGTTTTTTACGTAAAAATATCAAAAACATTTTACACCGTTGATATTATACTAATTACTCCCATTAACACTCTAAAGGAACTCTTGAGAATTCGATGAATAGTTTTACTTGAACTGGAAGTGAATTTCAATTATTACTTAGATTCGCAGAAAACCCAAATGGGCACACGAAAGAATTTTTGAGCAAGATAATTGAATGAATGGTTTTGCAAACAATAGACCCCATTTTGTGATAACACAAGTTAGGAAAAATGACCTTTAAACATTAGGGTGGTATAATAGGATATCGCTTTGTAGGGCCTTATTTATTTGAAAATCCAGTGAATGGGCAATGGACTTTTTAGAGCGGTGATTGCAAAATATGTTAAGAACTATTCCAAAGAAGTACGGCAGAGAGTGAGGTTCTTTAAAATATGTATTTACGAATCGCCATGTATATTTGAAAATTTAAATTGTTAGTTTATTCATTTATTTAACACCCTGTATAAATAAGTTACTCTCATTGTTCCCTTATTATTTTAGAAATTAATGATTTGTCATCTGAGGAACTGTCATCTCCTCTTGACTTTTAACTGATCAGCGGTCCGATCGATCAAGTGGTCAAAGTCCCACATTTTTTCGTCTTCTTTGATGCTTTCACCTGATCCTGTTTCTTGTAAAACACACAGCTTCTGTTTTTAGCGGCTAATAGTTATATTTTTTTTAGGTGTCCACAGCGCCAGGTCAAAGGTTAAGGCTCGACTGGGTCTACGGATACAGGGGTCGAGACTGCAGATCCAACTTGTACTTTCTGCCGACTGGCGAAATGGTATATTTCGTCGCGTCAGTGGTAGTACTCTACAATGTAGAGGAGCAACACCAAAGACATTATTTAGAACATACGAGCGACATTAAGAGGTCAGTATTTGGCAACATGCTCACTATCTGGTGGTGTGTTTGATATCTTAATTATATTTTTCTCTGATTTTTTGTTCCTTATATGGTTACTCCCACATCTATATAGACTTTACTATACCAAAGAGCTTTCATTGAATTGAATTTAACACTTGAAAGGTCTCAAAATTAATGCTAAGTAACTCTTCAACAGAGCAAATCGCATTTCTAAGTTCTTTACAGTTCTATCGTTCAGAATTTTGAATACTGGTACATTCTGAACAGTCTTTAATTTGCAACAACAATAATCTCAATAAAGTTTACTATACCAAAGAGCTTTCATTGAAATACTCATCAACAGTTTGTATTTTAATCTTGCAATAAATCTAACACCTAACCTTGAAAATAACGTTTTCAGTATTAGTATAAAAAAAAATAAGTTTTTGAGAGCTTTACTGTAAATGAGTCTGGTAGTTCAAAAACCCAGTCCTCTATTTTTCCCTGATCGATATTCAACAACTCTAGAATTTATTCTAGTCAGACTTCTAGCAGTACGAACTCTGTGCCTGCATATTAGTTCAATGCGGTGACGTAGAGTCTGTGCCGACGGAGAAGAGACGTCATTGTGCGATACGCATTCCTTATCGTGTAGGTGAAACAGTGGCGGCGCCTATTTCAATTACGCGTATTTTGTTGTTCAATACCTGGCGCTTTCGCCAGATTTTTAATACCCATAATGTTTATTATTCTAGTACATTGTGTTAAGTTTTAGTTCGTTGTAACTGAAAATTTTGGTTAAAAGTGTATAGGTAATAATTTACATATTGTTCTTTTCAATTTGTCAAATAATCTAAAAAGAAAACATATGTTTCCTCACTTCATATATAAAACATGCACTAGTTCCGGCTTGTGTTTTAAATTGATTTATTAAAAAATATATATTATATTTACGTCATTCTCAATAGATGTGCAATATTGAGAATTAATCTAGCATGAGACTTGTTTTCAAGAGATTGTGACTATGTCGGTCTGACTTTAATTTGCCAATTTAGATGTATACAGGTGCATTGTACCAAATCGAAAAAAGAATATAGATAGCAAAGAAATATCAAATAAAAAGTATATAACAAAAAACATTAAAAATTTTTTTAAAAATTCTGATAAACACGATAGATATTTTAAATATTCTACTCCATATTAAAATCATGTCTTAAACATTCTTCCAGACTGTAAAAGTAATAACAAGAGAGAAAATATATATTTTTAAAATTATATTTTTTTTTATCAGGGAGAGGTTATAGAGATTTGTTTTTCTTCGTTAATTTAAATTTGGGAATTTCAAGGTTGCAAAATAAAGGCGCTTATGCAGCTGCACTGTTACAGTGACTCCATTTGTTAGCTTAGAGTGGAAAAGCCCAAATTAGTAAATTTTTAATATGTCAATCAAATAGATAACTTCACACTATTTTCCTCCAAGTTGCTTGAAATTTCTTTCTTCCATTGCAACAAATTTTCGCTGTCGGTGTTTGAACCCATATAATAGCAAAGATATGATTTTTCAAAGAAACTTCCACAGATCACTGTAATATTATTTATGATTCTTTTGGATCAAACTTACTGTCGTTTCGGCTTCCTCAGAGTTTAACTGAAACTGGCTCGCGTTGTACTCTATATCTGCTTATATATTGCTTGAAGGGGGCGGAGCTTAAGGGAGACGCATGAAATAAATATTTCACGAAATTACTCCGTTTTTAACCGTCACATTTTTTTTTTAATTGGTCACAAAAAACACAAACATCACTCTTTCGCCAAAACCTAACTGAGTAAACCTAACCTCAAAACGTCAAACTTCCTTATCAAAACGTTAGTCGCCAGATGGAAGGACTAGAAATTGGACGGCGAATATTTAAAGGATATCCAAAATATATCTGGAAGTCCAGAAGTTGTACAAAAACATTGAATTAAAATTTCAAGTTTTTGTTTTTACTTGCAGCCTGGCCATACATCCGAACAAAATGCTCGTAGCCACTGGCCAGTGCGTAGCAGACGAAAAATCCAACGCGAGGGTACAACGTAACACCAAATAACTTACCACCCCATAACGTTAATTCCATATTGCAGGCGCATATCAGGGTGTGGAACTCTGTATCGCTCCACACGCAGGCCGTGATCGGTATGAACGATTTCGCCTTGTCGGTTTGTAGCGTCTGTTTCTCCAAAGCCGATGGAGGAAGTTTGCTCGTAGCCATCGATGACGCGCCCGATCACAACATATCCGTTTGGGATTGGACCAAAGGCGAGAACGGTTACAAAATAACGGAAACCAAGAGTTCAGTCGACACCGTAGTGTCGGTCGAGTTCCATCCGTTAGATAAGAACACCGTCGTGACCTGCGGCAAGTCTCACATCGCTTTCTGGTCGTTAGACGTAGGCGGGACCCTTTACAAACGAATGGGAGTGTTCGAAACCAGAGACAAGCCGAAATACGTGACCTGCATCGCGTTTTTGCAAACGGGAGAAACGATAACTGGTAAGTTAACGCCCATCGTCTTCTCGATCCTTTAAAATGTTTGGTTTCCCTACGCACGCCACTGAAAATAACCTTCGGTCACATTGGATATTCGAATATTTGGAATTATTTAGATTATTTAAAAAAAAATTATAATATATGATCGATGTTTAAAAAATAACATATCATTTGAATAACAACATGAAATATAAATATTTATTTGCTGGCAAAAAATCGTAGGTTTTCAAAAAACTTTTACTGTGTTTTTATCACAAGGATACTTATCTGTTTATCAAAATTTGGAAAACCTGTAAACTGGTAGATATTGAATTTGAACAAATATATTACATAAAATGTAAATACTTTTTTATCACCGGGATAACTTCTATTTGTCAAAACTTGGAAAACCTGTAAATTGGAATATTTACCAACCATTTGAATAAACATATAAAACGTAAATATTTTTTTCCAATATTGTCTTTTATTTTCTGAGAAAAAAATGATAGTTTTCGCAAAATAAGCATACTTTTTTATCACAAGGATACTTCTCTATTTATCAAAACCTGGAAAACGTGTAAACTAGTAGATATTGAATTTGAATAAAAATATAAAACGTAAATGTTTTTTTCCAATATTGTCTTTTATTTTCTGACAAAAAACTGATAGTTTTCACAAAATAAACATACTTTTTTATCACTGAGATACCTTTCTATTTGTCAAAACTTGTAAAACTTGTAAATTGGTAACAACAACTAAAATTTTTGTAGTTTAGGTTTTCATCTGTTGTACAGGGTGTTCAAGATATTAAGTGCTATATGCAAAAATTAACAGGAATCTGAAATTTGTAGCTATCGACGTCAGATTTGGCAGAAGGGTAGAAGTCCACATCCGTAATTCATCTATCAAATCTCGCAAAGTATTTTTTTAAAAAATTAGAATTTTTTTTTAGTATATTTGGAGAGAAAAAAAAATTTCTCGGAAACTATTAACTCTATCGGTTTCAGGCATTTTTTTCATTATCAACAGAAGTTTTCTATTTTATTAAATTAGTAGCCGTAAATCAATATTCGTAAAAAATATGGCCCATTGGTTTAAACAGTGTTATAGGTCACATCGAGAGCTACAATTTTTGTATTTACGGTTTTCGTCTATAACATACGCTTTTCGAGATATTTGAAAAAATCCGTATGAAAATCACCATTTCTCGCCGTCAATCTAGACGCGAAGACGTCATTTACTACTACCACGTTCTGCACGGTTTCAGAAAAACGAGTATTTTCTTGAAAACCACTTAACTCTATTGGAAAAAATCATATACCAGGAAGCGTGGGAGGTCCAGGGCTATAACCTCCATTTCGAACATTGCCTGAATTATATACAGGGTGTGTCGTTTGTGGGCAAGAAAATCTTTAAACATTCTGTTTTTGTCGGTTATTGGGGATACATGAAAAACTGAGAAAGATGCGATAATTCGATTTGAACAGTATCGTCAAGTGTGTCGAGAGAGAGTGTAACTCTCTTCGTCAATTATTAAACTTTAATATTTAACAAAGTTTGCCCTAATTTTGAAGTTCGACGAGACTTGAAAGACACTTTATACGGAGTGTATGCACAATAAAATTCCATCAATTTTGCGAAAGTTCCATAGTGGTCGGCAGGAACACTATAGAAAAACAATGCGTCTCTTTACCACACTAAATCGCGAAGTTTTATAATAAAAAGCTGCTTCGCGCTACGCGCTACGAGCTTGCCCCGCCCAGTGACGATTTTTCGAAAGCAATCTTGTTCGATTTGCAGGCGATTCGAACGGCAACCTCGAAATTTGGGGACGTGGCACTAACACCATATGCAAATTCATCAAGAACGTCCACGAGGGTGGCATCTTTTCGATTTGCGTGCTAAGAGACGGCTGCGTAATAACCGGAGGCGGCAAAGATGGCCGACTGCATGAATTCGATAGCAATTTGTCACGCACGGGACTGTCGGGCGAGGTATGACCGAAAAAAACGGAAAATCTCTGCCAAAAATCCGTCGTCGATAAATCGAATTAAAAAAAATTGGTTAAAACGTGGAAAAAAGTTAGATATAATAATAATAATAATATTTCTTTATTAGCTTTTGATGCTACATGCAAAAACAATTGTTTACAAAGTTTTACGAAATGCATGAACAAACAAAACGAACAAACAACACAACTATAACCAGAAATCAACATATAGGCAAAATTAAGATGAAGCAGAGATTTATACTTAAAATCTAGACATCACATAGTCCCTCAACATAGTTTTAAAGTTTTCTCGTATAGTAAATATGCACGCTGTTAAAGCATATTACTTGGACATAAAAATATTTGCATCATAAATAATTCCTTGTTTAACCGTCATGACATTAACAACATTTGACATCAGGCTTACAGGAGTGTATTTGTTTCACTTTAAGAATCGATCTTAATGGTCTATTTTGAATTACTTGAAACTCATTTATCTTATAGTTCGGTAAGTTATACAAGAGTGTGGAGATAAAAGGTATTTGATGTACATGGAAAGGCTATGGCCTATTCTACATATAAATCTGACTTTTTGTGAAAATTTTCTCATTACATAATCAGCATGCGGTCGTAGCGTTAGTTCTGAGTCTAAAATGACTCCAAGGTACTTAATTTTATTTTTCTGTACTAGCATGTCATTATTTATTTCAATTTTTATGTTTTCTATATTAGCAGTACTCAATTTTTGTTTTTTCCCTAAAATACAAATTTTAGATTTTGACGTGTTAATATTAAGTTTGTGTTTACATAACCATCCATATATTCGGTTCAAATCACTGTTAATACTACATTTCATCTGATCTATGTCACTACCAACTATGTATAACATTAACTGACATTAATATACAATAAGAATAATAGAGGCCCCAATACAGTGCCTTGCGGCACTCCGTTCATTATATCGACAGTATCAGACACACTATTTTTAAATCTAAATTTTTGGGTTCTGTTATACAAATAAGATCCGAACCAATTTAAAACTGAACCTCGTATGTCTTGCTTTTCCATTTTTCTTAACGTAAACCTATCGATAGTTTCGAAAGCTCTCCTAAAATCCAAGAAGACCGCCAAAATAAGATTATTATTATCAACAGCTTTGAGTAAATTATCACATATATTAATATTGAATAATCGTAAACTCTCGAAGCATTTTCGTCATGTTTTTTTTCTTTTAAACAAAATGTTTACTAGGAAAAATTGATAACTAACGTTAGTTTACGTTTATATGTGAAAGTCCTAGTTTTGTATTCGTCGTATCGACTGAAAACATCAAATTTCTCACATTGTCATTTTTATTTCACTCGATAGTATAAACTGTGGCGAGCGGTGAAGACTTTTATAAAAATATATGTGAAGTCCTGGTAAACAATGGGTTTTCTATAAAAAAAATAGGTTTTAAATTTCACCAAAATATAGGCTGAAAACATTCCATTTTTCGCTTTCGCACTTTGATTTCACTCGATAGTGCAATCTGTAGTAAACCATGAAGGCGTTTATAAAAATATATGTGAAAGTCCCAGCGAATATTTTATTTTATTTTTTTAAAAAAATATTACAGATTTTAACTTCTACCGAGTATTGGTTCAAAACTTGCAATTGTTCACTTTTATTGCACTAGAATCGTGAATATTTTTACTGAACTTCAAAACTTTTATAATAGTATATGTGAAAGTCCAAGTAAATATTTAGTTTTCTAAAAAAACGATACATATTTTAACTTTCACCAACTGAAAACATTCAATTGTTCGCTTTTATTGCACTAGAATCGTAATTACGTTTACTGACTGAAAACTTTTATAAAAGTATATGTGAAAGTCCCAAGTAAATATTTTTTTTTTCTAAAAAAAAAAAAACATTACAGATGTAAAAATTCACCAAATATCTGCTGAAAACATTCGATTTTTGACTTTTGCTCTTTTATTTCACTCGATTGTACAACCTGTGGTGAATCGTCGAGATTTTTACAAAAATATATGTGAAAGTCCTAGTAAACATTTTGTTTCCAAAAAAAATATACGAGATTTTTAACTTTCACTAAGTACTGGATGAAAACGTTCATTTTTCCACTTTTATGTCGTTATAATCATGAAGACTTTTATAAAAAAATATGTGCAAGGCTTAGTTAAATTTTCACTTTAGTAGTAAGTAATCTGTAAAGATTGTGAAAAATGGTTAAAATCTTCATACCTCAAAAAAATTATCGAAAGACACAGATTTTTGGATTAACGCACAATAACACCAGTTTCGAGGATATAATAGCCCATATGGCTTTTCATAGTTGCTTGATAAGTTCCCGTGTTATAAACATTAGGCAGGACCTCTTTCCGTCCCTGATAGCTATATGGGTTTGTTTGTTTGAATGGTATTGTTTTTTTTCCTCAGATCGAAGCGCATTTCGGCGGAATCAGGGTAGTCTCGGAGGGTAGGGGAGGTCAACTTCTGATCGGAACCACCAGAAACTGTATTCTGTGCGGAACTCTAGAATTAGGGTTCCAACCGATCATACTGGGCCACACCGATGATTTGTGGGGCCTCGCCGTTCATCCGTCGATACCCCAATTTGCGACAGCGGGTTATGATCGCGTACTGCAGCTGTGGGAATCGATGTCGCATAGTATATTATGGAGCAAAGATATTGGGGTGAGTTTGCCCATCAATTCATTCATAACGTGCCTAGAAACCCCCGACCGACCTTCGACATGGTATATATAAATATCGATGGAATGTTCCGTGACTCCTCTGTATATGCATCGCAGGTTCCTAATTTTGAACTTTTATTGACCAAAAACAAATTTAGTTGTGACATGCTGTTAAAAAATATTTTTCTACGATTCACTCATAAATGATCACTTTACTGTAAAAAAAAATACACACGTCCCAAAATTATCCATTGGTTTTACTGTGGAAGTTGATATTCCACCATTTTAAACTTTGCTCATCTGGCAAACTTGTAATTCAGTTCGTTCATGTATGTTGGATTTTCAAAACTTTTAGACTCCCAATGTGTTATATTTACATGTTGCAGGTTATGTCCATTCTCATTTTTTGGCTTTTCGTTGATCAGCCCGTGTTTAGCTCTCATAGCTACCCAGTTTGACGTATTTCGGAGATGTCATCTAGTCGCACAGTGTTGCCAAACTGCATATATATTCGATTTAACCAGGAAATTATACAAAACAGCAAAATTGTCCTTGTGTGGTTGGTTATATAATGATAAAATTCGCATCTTCTTAGTTTTTCTAGACTAGATAGGAAATGATAATAGATTAGGCATTGACGGGTGAAGAAAATGGTTGCACCAACTAACAATTTTGATATCTTTGGTCCATTATCCTTACCCATATGTCATTTCAAGGAAGACGAGAATTTTTATTAGTTCTGTGACGATTCCTGGACCGCCGACCGCAATGGGCGAGTGTCCTAAAAGTGCCCACTTAATAAAATAGTGCTAGTAGTTCTATGGTCACTTGTAAAACAGCGCCACCATACCGTGACGTGGGCAAATACATTCCTGTTAGTGATATTTATTTGACAAAAGGGATATATACAAACGAGGTCAAACAAAATATGAGTTTATACATATGAACCATCCCCAAAAAAAAAAACAATTTTTTATGTGTACAATTTGTAGGAAGCGGGTCAGAGCGTGGCTTTTTCGCCGGATGGATCATGCATACTCGTGGGCTGCGTTTCCGGAAAATGGATGATATTCGACGCGCAATCTCGCGAGCTGTTGGGCTACCATACGGACGGCTCGGAACCCATCCACGTGATTAGTTTCTCGCCCGACGGATCAATGGTCGCGTTGGGATCCCGAGATAGCCAGATTTACATCTACCAAGTATCGAACGCCGGCACGAAGTTCAGTCGAATTGGAAAATGCTCGGTTAGTTTGAACTTTGGATAACTTACCGATTGAAAGTCGCAATAGTCAAGTGTGCCTTATATATAGGGAAAGTTTTTTCATAAACATCATCATGGAAGTCAAGTTAACTCGCCAGCTAAATGAACCAAAATTTTTAAAACAATGATAAACATAACCGTAACTATAAGTCTGAATTATGCTTGTTTGTAATGATCTAATTTTTGTTTAACTAAATATATTCTGAATATATTTATTTAAGGTTATGTGAAATATTCATTCATGACTGACAGTGGAATTGTGGGAAGTTATAGCGAGTAGCAAAAAATACAACAGATAGATACAATAAACCTAGGATTTTTTAGTATGTTTAATATTTTCTCATTTTTTGAATACCATTTTTTTATCTCCTTGGATTTTTAGTTATTGTTTTAACTGGTCTAGCAACGTATACCGAAACAGCATAATTTTTCTAATTACATGAAAAAAGGCCCCTTAGTACTATAAATAAAAATATCAAATTTTATCAAAATCGGAAAAAATTTGAAGATTTTTTTTGTAAAAATTTTGACACCCAGTATCTCGCAAAGCAATCAAGTTTGAACAAGTGTTGATGGGGAAAAAAAGTGTTACATCAAAATTTAAAAAAAAAACGTTTTTGAATAATCAATAAAGAAAATACGTTTTTTTTTTAACTGACATAACAAAATTGAAAAAATTGTTTTTTCAATAATTAGTGAAAAATAACAATTTTTTTATAAAAATTTTAATGCACCGTATCTCGAAAAGGGATCACGTTAATATATATGTTTATGGAAAAAAAGTCATATCAAAATCCTAAAACTGTTTTTGAATAAAAATCTTTTTTTTTTTTTAATAAGTAAATAAGAATTAAAAGTTCAGATTTTCACGAAATTATATATTTTTACATGACAATTGTTTCGACAGCACCGTGTCTTTGAAAAAAAATCCTGAAAATCTGAGCTTTTAGTTCTTATTTATTTTAATAAATGGATTTTCATCAAGTAAAAGCCACCTCAGTTCACGTTTTTTTTTTTTTTTTTATAAATCCGATAACAAATCAAGTTAGGAGAAAAAGTTTTATAACAAGGTCGTTTTTTTTAATAATTAATAAAAAAAACTATTTTTTATGAAAAGTTTAACCCTGTATCACGAAAACAAATCAGATTAGAGAAAAAAAGTGTTATATCAAAATCTGGAAAAGGTTTCTGAATAATTAATTAAAAAAAAACATTTTATATATAAATATATAAAGATTTTGTTGAATACTATTTAAAGTGATCTAGCTGATATTTAACTTACTGATTTAAACTTACTAATACAACATTTTCAAAGTCAAATGCATGCAAAGTTTTAGGGTTAAATATCAAAATTTCATTCTTTACCTAAATATTTCACGTCCTAAACGTAACTTATATTTTCAAATTTAAATCGCCTGCTGCGTGTGTGCATCGTTTTGATTGGTTGAACTGTCAAAGGGGACGATCGATTGTGATTGGCCGGTACAGATCAGGAGGTTCGAACAATATGGTGACGTAAAGGTGTTGTGTTTTCGTTCGGTTTTTTAAATTTTACAATCACTTTCGAACATCGTCCTCTATTTTGAAACAAAATTATGAGTTATGATGTTATAATCTAGTGAGGTGACGTAAATGACGTCAACTTTGTAATTGCAGGGCCATTCGAGCTGCGTAATTCACCTGGATTGGTCGACGGATAACCAAACCCTACGGAGTAACTCGGCGGACTTCGAGTTGTTATTTTGTACGTAATTTTTATAACCGCTTTGAAGCAAGGGTTGTTGTGCATATACGTATTGCAGGGAATGCGGGCACTTGTCGGCAAATACCCCAATCCAACCTGCTGAGGGATGTCGAATGGGCCACCAACAATTGTCCCGTGACGTTCACGACGCTGGGGATTTGGCCCGAAAACGCAGACGGCCCTAACGTGAACTATTGCCGTCGCAGCAACAGCTCGAAACTCGTCATCACCGGTGACGACTTCGGTAAAGTCAAGCTTTACGGTTATCCGGTCACCCAACCAAAGGTATAGTTTTCTTAATTTATCGACGATCCTGCAGTTTATGTATATTTATATAGGCCAACGTCATACAGTTGGTAACGTAGTATTTAAAAGAAGTTGACGTTACGAAGTTATTGACTGACTAGAATAATATTATATATATGATCTTTATTTAGCATTATGCTACATAAAATATGCAAAATATAATATAATATAACCAAAAGCTAAGCACAGAGAAATCAGAATTTCGAAAATGCATGGGGTCTTAGAGGTCTTTTAAATTTATTAAGGGCATCACAGTTTTTACGCGGTAAAATGTTAAAGTGGTTTAGGCCTTTATGTAATATAGAGTTTTGTACGTGACTAGAATAACATTCTCTCAACATAAAATTACCACAATTTCCTGTATTGTAAGAATGAATGTCTATGAGATGGGTAACTTTTTCACAAACATAATTGCTGTCTAATTTTAAAAATAAATACGTGGACATTAAACATTACTTTTTGTTTTACATACAAGAAATTAAGAACACTCGACATGCTTTGAATTGGCGTATATCTGTTACACTTTAGTATATTTCTCGTGGCCCCACTTTGAAGAATCTGCAATTGCTCTAATTTATAATTTATACCCGTGGAATTAAATTCTAAATGGGGGGGGAGCAGCTAGGCTGTTATACAATGAGATTTTGGTGTCGATTGATAAATTTTTCCCTATTTTAGATATAAAATTAATCTTTTTAGAAAATTTATGCATTATGTAATCGGCATGTTTGAATTTGAATCAAATATAACACCCAGATATTTAATTTCGTTTTCATGAATTAATTTTTTGTTAATATAAATGTTTACACCAAAATTTATGTCGTTTTCCAAAAATACAAATTTTTGACTTGTCCGTGTTTATGCACAGCCATTCAGAAGCCTTCTTCAGATCAGCATTCCTTTTTCTTTGCATTTCATCCACATTTTCGCCCACAATAAAAATCATAGTGTCATCTGCAAATAATACCACTTTAGTTTCGTGTAAAATATTTACAATATCGTTTATATACATAAGAAACAATAATGGTCCCAAAACTGTCCCCTGTGGAACACCATGTTCTACGGTTATGCAATCAGATATGCAATTTTTATATTTCTTTTTTTTTGTACCCTATCTGTTAAATACGATCAAAGTCATTTTATACGCTGTTCCCTTAATGCACGTTTTGTACAAAACGGCAACACAAATTTACCATCCTCCAAGACCCTCATGAAATGTTTGGAGCGAAAGCCCGACTGAAATATTGTTTACGTCATAATAACTTTGCAGCTGGTGTTTCACCACAACCTCAAGAACCTTCTCATAAACTGGAACGATATTAATCGGCCTAAATTCTTGACATAGATTGGTGTTGGGAACCTTCTGTAAAGGGATCACCATTGAAGTCTTTCATGCTTCCGGAAAAATTCCACTCGTAACGGAGATGTTCGCACTGTCCAACAATCGATTTCCAACAACTGCGCAGGCATCAATCAATACACTCTTGGAGATCACATTTTTTAATTCTCTTATTATTTTTTTAAGGTCCTGCATAGTTATGGTATTAAACTGATCTATTTCTCCATAAGTTGGTATATTATCGGTGATATCATTCACAGCCTGGGATGGCGGAATGCCACTAAAAATATTTTTAACACTGTCTGTAAAATACCTATTAAATTCATTAGCTATGACTCGCTTAAATGAAACAGTTCGCTGGCCAGACTGCAACTCATCGGGAACAATACCTTTTTTATTTGGAAGTAGCGTTTTTAATTTTTTCCACATTTCTTTAGAGTTTGTTTTATTGCTATCAATAATATCTTTTTTGTTTTTTGTACTTTTTCTAATTTAATGCAGCTTACAATGCGGTTTCCGTCTTTTTTGTTTTTTGTACTTATATACAAATTTAGCTAACTAAAAAAATACATATAATTTTTTTATTTAAAGCACATTTAAATAAACAAGCCAGTTAAAGTAAAAAAAAATGCAATATGTAATTATTAAGTTATTTTTTTTTAATTGTCTATGAATGGTGTCCCCAGCTGCAATTTTTGTTAATTTAGTTTTTTTTTTGAGTACGTTACACAATTACCTCGTATATATTTCACTTTTAAGGTAAATAAATTTTCTCCAAACCTGATGATTAAGAGAAATAGTCAATCTTAAAAATTTATTTATTGTTAGGATATTGTCCGTTTGAGCCAAGCCATGGTATTTTTTTTATGTTTTAATTTTTAATAATTTTTGGTTTAATTCTCAAACTCAGCGAAAGTTGCAGAAATTATTCGAAAATCTGTAAAATGTCCGTGAAATCCAAAAAGGAAGAAAGAAAACTTTCTCTAGGACAAGACAGAATACATTTCCCATAATGATTTATATTTAACGAAGACAAATTATGGCTTGAAACCAAATTTGAAAAATTTACTTGGAAAAATAAATGTTTGTTCACGGAAAACTCTTAGTTACAGTTATTTACAAAATTTATGCATAAAAGTAAATATCGAAAACAGGGGAAAAAAATTGTAACTCTATTGGGTTTGAACCCGAGACGTTCCGTGTCGCAATTGTTATTCGTTCATTACGTCTTTCGTTTTTGAGCAATTTTAACTGTGGTCGCCCAATGACACACATCTGAACGGCATTGCCAAACGTCTTCGATATAACCGGGAAATGATGTAAAACGTTAAAATTGCGGTTAAAAATTAATGCTGAATATATTTTCGTATTGCAACAACTCTATGTAGCGATTTTACCGAAAAAAAGTGTTTATTTCGCGGAAATCAGTTGTTATGACTATACACCGAATAAAATTAAAACTAATCAACACCAAACTCTCTCTTCAGAGGGAGAATCGGAACCGAGTGGGTGTAAGTGTAAAAGAAATACCAGAGGGTTTTGATAACAAAAGACAAGAAAAATGCAAGTTTTTAGAAGTACTCTTTTTTTTTTTTAATAAACCAAATGCACAGTATTTATGTTTACCAATTTTTTAAAATTGAGTGGAGAAAAATGTGAAGTGTGTCATATGTCAGAAAATTGATAGTGTTTTGTTTTATTTGTCACTTGGCTACTAACCCTCCATTTTGTTCTTTTGTTTACCTTGGTATCTCTAAAAGCAAAAAAGTTACAGCCAATTAAAATGTTATCAAGATAAATTGAACGCCCGGTACAATAGTAACAAAGCTTCGGAAAATATTGGAAATGAACAAATAGTTATGACCGAAACCACAACGGTAAATTTTGCAACGAAGCACCTCGCTTACTTAAACCGCAGGATTGCCAAATTTTCTAAAAATCTGAAGGTAAATTTCCCCATTTCAGTCGCTTTGTCATTCTTACGGCGGCCATAGCAGCTACGTCACCGCGGTGAATTTCTTGTACGACGATACCAGGGCGGTATCTATCGGGGGCAAAGACACCGCCGTACTGCAATGGATGGTTTCATAGGTATTCAACCTAGTCTGTACAATGTACATAAAAACTATTTATATTATTTTATCTATTTTTTTATCTTCATCGCACCTATAGTTTAAGAAAGAGTGCCAGAATGACTGAGTAACGAAAAAAAAAAATCATTTGCAACTTATTCTACACTTTGTACGTTTCTAAGTCATGTGATAATTAAAAATACAGTTTCGAAAATTTCGTGTTTGTCTGTCTACCTATTCACTCGATCAGTTGCGGTTTAGAGGAAAAGTATCAAAACTTCAGAGTTTCAATTGATTTTCAAAATCGTAACGCGCTCATTTGTTTCGTCATAAATCACGCGCATCCTGTACAATAGTCAGAAACTCTGAATACAACGTAAATTTGGTCCAATCAAGATACAAAAATATGTTTTGCATGGAAATATGGTGATTTGTGAATTATGACGCCATAGGGACGATTATGTTGGAATATAACCTTCGACTGACCTAAGAAAATTTCCCTATCGGAAAGAAGAAGAAATTTATCAGGGACCAATTCGTGGTGTTGTGCGCATCCAGACATTTAGTTGTCTTTGACGACTGCGAAGTGTCTGTTACGAAGGGTTACGAATCGCGAAAAAACTAAAAGGTAGTTCGCAGGTTTTCATTGGTATTGGTAATTAATAATATATGTATTATCTTGAAATACATATATTAATTAAATATTGTTACACATAAATATATAAAACTAGCGAACAAAACGATTTACTTGTAAAACTACGTGTTTTACGGCATTCCACCTTTTTAAATATACAAAAATCAACAAATACTTATAAATTAGAAATCCCTATTTATGGTTACATTACAGAATATATTAAAAAACAAAAAATATATTAGGCATCCATAACAACCATTTATAGGTGGTAGGTAAATAATATGTATTTATATGTACCCTCGTATGTACATAATATAAAAAATACATATACTTAAATCTTCGTTTTAAAATTTTACCATACTTTCTAATTTTTTTTGCGGGTATTGCAAAGATTTTCTTTTTAGACTAACGTTATATTTTGCTTTTAAATTTTAGAAGTTCATAGGATGGACCATGGCTCGGTTGGTAAGGCGTTGACCTGCCAACTCGAACTTGCCCCGGAGGTTGTGGGTTCGATTCCCAGCGGGGTACCCTTGAGTGTTTTGTGCGTGAAAAATTGTTATCGGTTAATTTTTCTCGGCGGATGCCGGAAAATGGGTGAATATCCTAATTGAGGTGAACCACCCAATTAAAAAGTAACAAAGAAAAAAAGTTCATACGAATTATCGTTCTGAGCTTACTACAAAAATCTCTAATTAAACTAAATGGTAATTCTTTTTCTGTTTTAAATATTTTTTTGCTAAGTTTTTTACCATCCCTCGCCCTTTTTGAAAATGATCAGAAGGCTTTATAAGGTCCCCGCATGATAACTGTAGTACCCAAAAGGGAATGCTGTAATCTGTGGTAATTTTATAAGTATAATCTCCTAAATTGGGGTTATCTGTTTTTTTGTTGGTCCTCTCTTTTACATCGAGCTATCCACTTGTTCCGAATAGTTCGAGATACTAGATCTTTCCCTTTGGGAAAGCGATAAAAACTACATTTTCGAGAACTTTTTTCATCAAAATAGTTGTTATACATGGCACATCTCGTTCCAGGCATACCTAACCATTTTTTTATGCAACTTATCCCACTAAAAAAGGTAAAAGAAATGTATTTCTTACCTTTACCTATATTATTATGTGTAATATTTACCTCCTAACTAACTGCTAATAAGCAGCACGAACACAAAACTTTTAAGTCTTTGTTTAAGGTTAAAACTACTGTTTTTCTCAGTTCTCGCCACTCAAGCACATACAATTTTAAAGTATTTGTTAAAGCTTAAAAACACTGTTTTGTCCAAGTTTTTTTTACAGAAATACAATTAAGACAAACATAAGCACACTACTCACTAGTTTAAATTATTTTAATTGTTCAAAGAACACAAAATTCAACGGTTTAATACGCCTTCAAATGCATTGACACAATACACAAAAACCGTTAGATCACTTTGCTTACGTCACAAGCGACCACGTGCGATCGATAATTGGATAATAGGATTGGGCAATCCTATTAGGTTTACGTTCTCTTGGGCGAAAACGATCTGATTCGATAATTTTCTCTTTGTTTGCGTTCGCACAGATTAAAGTTCTGGCCTCACATGAACGAGACGAGCACGTGACGACTGTCGCACGAAATTCGCATGATGTTCATTTTTTAGTAATTCCACAGGTCTAAACGCGTTTGGCCACACATAAACAACGCGAGTGCGGAACGAACGCGAACGAGTTCAGTTTATTTTTTTCGTGCCGATTTCGTGAGCGGTTCTGCGTGTATAGTATAGTAGATATTTAGTAGCTTTTCACAAAAAAAAAAATGAATGTAGAGAGGTTGTTAGAAGAGGTGATGAAGTACCCCACACTGTACGATCTAAAAGACGCAAAATATAAAAACACGGATCTCCGAGAGATAATTTGGCGCAAAATAGCAGAAGATATGTAAATAACCGGCAAGGTGAAATAAATTATCGGTTAAAATAATGTGTAAACACTTTTTTTATTAATCGTGTAATCCCACAAACAACAAAATTAAAAAACCACTGCAAAAAAGTTATATGAAACATGCCTGAAAAACAACGGGAAAATGTATAAGATTGAAAGAAAAAAAATACCAGGTACTAAACATTCTTTTTTTTGTTACTTTTAAGTTTAGCTGTTGCCGATTTCAATAATTATGTTACTTCCAGCATAATTTTGTATTTCTCAATGTCTGGTATTTTTCTTTGAACTTTCCTATTTTCGAAGAAGAAGAATCCCAAGAAATTGAAAATATTGTGGAAGATGAGAGAACTATCCCAAACACTTCAAATCAAGAAGTAAATGTGTCCCATAGTAACATCAATTGCTCTAAAGAACCATTCGTTCATCCAACACAACCGAAAAGGAAAAAGATGGAAAAGAAATGTACTGTTGCAGAGAGTCCATCATTCCAGCGGATGCAATATATTTTACAAGAAAAAAACCTGAGAATGCTAACCAACTATCTCCGTCTGAACTGTCTCATCATGTTGATGATGGTAAATCAAAAATATTTAGTATTGTTCAAGATCTAGAAATTAGGCAGTTAATGGCAAGCCAAATAGAAATTGTACTATCTGGATCAGCTTCATCCTCACGATAACTTGAACTCACCCCGAGAGTATTCTTTCAAACCTCTCCATTCAGCACCGTCTTCGCAATCACACCAGCCCTGCGATCGAGATAACTTAGCGGCACCTTCAGAAGGATATTGTCTCACACCTCTTCAGCCTCAATCCCCTTCACTACCATATTCGCAGCAATAATTACCGTAATCAGTATAGGACACAACCCGACTGAGCACAGGCTAACGCGTGTGTTGGTTTGACTGTTTTTTTAGAACAAACCTTTCCAGTTCTATCTCAACATAAGTAGTTAAGTTAGCTGAATTTTTTTTGTTGTATTTTTTTAGGTTAAGTAAATAAATTTTAATTTGTATCTTTTGTGGAAAATAAATGCATTTTTTACATATTATATAGATCGTTGAATACGTAAAATTTCTATAATCTTTGAATTCAAGTTCAAGTATGCGTTTCACAAAAAAATGTTGGGCATGACTGCTAGGATCATTCGCCCATTGCCGACTTCCGTCGAGGATCTTCGGTTTTGGTCATTGACCAACACGTACAAAGAAGACATATAACCAATATTTGCTCAACTAGCAAAAAAACAAATTTGACCGATACCAAAAAAAAAACCGACACCCCCCCCGCTTCCACCACGGACCATCCCGGCCCATCCGGCCTCCATATCGGCGTGAACGGGGAAAAACGACGGGGCCGACGACGATTATAACTTTAAAACATGCACTGAACACTAACAACACTAAGTCCACACAGTGGAAACCGATATCAAACTTTTGAGGACGAATACAAGGGATTCTGTCGGGAGCGAACGGAGGTTAAACCGCCGCGTGCAATGCTCCACCACAGAATCCAATCTTTGAATTGAAGATCTCCAAAACGTGTCTTCTTTTTTACTTATATGGCTTTGTAGCGTTTCAAAAAGTTCATGAAATGTGGGTACAATGTGATAAATTCGCCTTCTCTGCATCTGCTTTTCCAGTTGCTGTGTACCCATATTTTTCTTTTTCAAATTTGAACTCTACACGCAAGTCGTATGTACCCCGGAACAGTGTGGGCTTATGTCTCGTTCTAACTATCAACACGCAAACGTCTCGTACGAGTCATGAATACGTGTGGCCAAACCTTTAGAATCAAGATTGGTACGACTCATTTGAAATCACAGAACGACGGTTTCTTTTGCGGAACGGACAAAGTATTAAAATTTGTATCAGAAAAGTTTTGAGATGGTTAATATAATAGTCCCATAATAGTGCGTTTTTAAAAGAAAATCTCGTACACAGAGTGTCCCGGAAATTAGTAAACAAAATTCTGTGTAACAAATCCTTTAATGACTTTAATACTATACAAATCAGAAGTATAAATAACATTGCTCGAAAAAAGGGCATATCTACATAACATAAAAAAATCAGTCTATTACTTTGTTAAGGCATCAGTTTCGAACGTTCTCATTTTCCTTTAAGAAGCTTTTTATGTACAACGTGTTTAAAAACTATCCAATTTGTTAACCGGTCTCTCGGCCACCGAGCATCGAAGGCTATACGTCGGGCCCCAGGATCTGGACCCCGCTCTCCGCGATCGGTACGAATTTATCGTCGATTTGCATCAGCAGAATCGTTCTATCCACGTGGGATCTTTTGTTCGGGTCTCGATGACACGGAACCCACTTGTGGACGACCTAAAATTACCCCGAAGTAAACCCGGGCCTTAATACTCAACAAAATGATAGATACCGGCCCTTCCATTCCCACCTCCGGCAGCCAGTCTTTCCAGTACGATCGGCCTCCTCGACATCGCATATATTCAGTAGGCCACGACACGTCTATCCTTCTACCCAAGTTAATGCAATCGTAGACTAGGTTAGGATCACAGATCTAAAATTCAATCACTTACACCAGCGGAATCAGGCGTTTTTTTTTTACTGACACCATGAAAATGGAGCAAACTCATATATTTTTTTTCAAAATTAAAACACTTTGAAAGCAATTAAAATTTTTCCCAATAAAATTGATAAAGTTCCTCGGCAACTAAAAAGGGTGTTAGTCAGTTACAAACTCTCATTGCAAGTTGCAAAGGCTAAATGTTTTTATTGCTTTTCGGTCTCATTAATCATTACTATTGTGTTAAATGATAACGGTAGAGACAAATAAACAATTATGCTGTATTTGTAAAGTGACAGCGTTTTAATTGTATAATTATTTACAATAAAACAATCCTTTCACTTTGTCTGAAGAAAAAACAAAAAACAAATTTCGTTTTTGTTATGCTGCTAGACCTAGTTTACTAATATGAATGGTAGAGGTATGGTGTATTCATAGATATAAGAAAGTGACCAATTGCTTTTGAACGGATTATCATCAGGGTGGTCATTAACACACAATATAACAAGATTATTATTATTAATTAATTACTTATTAATTAATCTTTAATTAATTAATTAATTAAACCTAGTTTTATTACCACTGACACGAATGGTAAAGTTTTCCTCCCTTTTTTGAGAAGAACTATTACCGGAAACGGTACAAAACTATTTAAAAGGGGAGGAAAACTCTACCATTCTTGTTAGTAGCGGTAAAACTTAATTTGGCAGGGCAACAAAACCTAAATCTCTAATTTTTCCTGGTTTTTGCTTTACACAATTGAAAAGATTGTTATTGTATAGGAGCATCTTAAATAGACCGCCTTGTACGTCGCGAGATCTTACTTTCACTGTGGGAGGTATCAAATCAATTTATCTGAAAAGCATATATATTGAGAGTCATTTTAGGCAAAATGATTTTCCGGGCATTAAACACACGTTAAAATTGGTACTACTAGTACTACAGTACTAAAACCTATCGGTTATAAGTTAGTTTTATTTTGGGGTAGAAGTGGGGCGGGGATTTCGGAAACGGTAAGACCTAGGAGGTTCGCGTCTTCGGCATTCAAGTACTAGCACGTCTTTTGAGGTTGAAACAACTTCCTAAAACTCATTAAAAAGGGATAAAAACCGTACTGTTCGTGTTAGTGGCAGTGAAACTAGATTTGATAAGCACACAACACACAAAGTGAACAGATTGTTGTCGTATAAGAGTGGGTATAGGAGCATCTTAAATAGACCCTCCCCGTACTTCACTCGAACGTCGCGCCATCTTACTTTCACTCTGAGAGCTATCACATCAATTTATCTGTGGATGTTATAACATGGCCGACCTGCGAGGCTGAAAAAACTTCCTAAAACTCTTTAAAAAGGGAGAAAAACCTTAATCATTCGCGTTAGTAGCAGTAAAACTAGATTTTGCAAGTTTTTGCTTTACACAAAGTGAAAAGATGCATAGGACTAAGTAGGTATAGGAGCATCCTAAATAGACCCTGCCCGTACGTCACTCCAACGTCACGCCATCTTACTTTCACTCTGAGAGCTATCAAATCTTTGTCGCCGCCGTCGACGGCGTCTCCCAAGCGCTCGTCCGTCCTGGCGGTCGCGTCCGGTGCTTGAGATACCGCCCGCTCGTCTCGCTCTTTGAACAGACTCGCCAGGCTCACCAGCGTCGAGCTGGTGGGTTTGCCGACCGACGCGAAACTGCCGCGGTTTCCGCCCAAATTCGTCCTGCTCATTCCCGAACGTCTGCCCATGCTGTCGGGCTGATTGCCACCGACAGATGGCAGCGTAACCGAATTCATAGCGTAGATTCCCTCGTGACCCATACCGATCTCTTCACGGTTAGAGGCGCCACTGGAGCATCCCTCGACGCATCTCTTGCGGATTCTGTCAAACGGTTAATAGACGAGTAAGCACCCCTCACTGACTTATGGGAGGGGAGACAACGTTCACGCCCCTCCTTTAGCTCCGCCCACTTCAAACCATATGTAAGCTTTTTATTATTTTTTGTGGCTTTTAACCATCGAGTCGATTTATTTTCGACCAACTTTAACGAAACTTTGCCAAATTTCAATTATAATTATTTTCACGAAATTATATATTTTCAAGTGACAATTGTTTCGACAACACCTTGTCTTTATCAAATGTAATGTTTACAAACTACCTGCTACTATATATACCGAAAAATGACAATAAAACCTTAATTAATGTTATTGTGAGAATTTAAGTTTAATAATGGAGAAGTATTTAAATCTCATTAATCGTTAAGCAATACATTTCAATGTCTCATTTTGTTAATCTCCATGGCTTTCAGTAAATTTAATTTTCTACTTTTTGTGGCTGTATGTAAAATATCGAAATTGTCGTCGAAAATGTGTTTTTCTGTGTTTAAGTGTGTAGCATAATTAGAATCTAGACTATTGTTTTTAAACGCTCTTTTATGTTTGTTAATGCGTCAACTAAATTAAGGATGTCAAAATCCCTTCTAACGCAACACTGTCGTAATTTCTTCTAAGTTTGCGGAAGTTAAAAAAATACTATGTCGATTTGACGTTTTCCATTCTTCATTTAAATATTTAGACTGAGTTTGTGTTCAAGAATGTGCTGAATTTTGATTATATATATCAAACAAATTCTCAAGGCGATTTTTAAATGTACGCTCCGTAATTTTTTGTTTCTGAGTTTTATTTATTTTATTTTATTTTTTTCAAAAGTTCCCACTCTCGATAAACTTTCATGATTTTAGTAACAGCGTTAGCGGGAATACCAGCAGGTTTCCAAACTTTCATAACATCACGAATCGCTTCATCAAAACACTGTCGAATTGTGAGGTTAGAATCCGTATGCTTGTAGAAAAATAATTGTAAAATATTTCTTATACTCGGTAATTTTCGTTTGCTTAATTTTTTATATGAAAAACCAACTAAATCAATTTTCTCTTCAGCCATTTTACTGATAATTGAAATTACTGAGAGCTTTAAAGATGAAAATTTTCCCCTGTTAATTAAATCTGAAACTAAAATAAAAATAGCGACCCCTTAGAGTTGAATTACAAAGCTCATCTTTGGTAAATATTTTTTTTATATTAAAAAGAAACATTAAGAGGGTAAGAGCTAAAAAAAAATTTTTTTGAAGCAAGTGTAATAATTCTTCTTGTATCGGCTTTTCAAGTTTGCGGTTTTCTAGTAGTAAAGAGTATTTCGAGTTCCTTGCCCATTCTTCCAAACACTTCGTCTTTTGTAATTTGTAGTTAATAATAATTATAATTATTTATTAAAAAGCAATTATTAAAAAAAAAAACGTTACGGATTGGTAACTATTTTTCTTTCGATTGCAAAAATTTGTTATTGGTATTTATTTTAGGGTAAATCCATAAAATTATCCAAAAAAATAACACTTTCAATTAATTAATCACGATTCGGTTATAATAATACGGAATAGCTTTTTTTGGAATTTTACCAATGGTGCCGAAAATGTACAAATAACCAAAATTTATAACTATAATAACTAAAAAAAAATATGTTCCTTAATTTTTGAGGTATGCCTCCTTGTCCCACCCTCTCCCCTACCTTTATCTTGACTATGCTGCCGTGAAATTATAAAAATAATCAACGCCGTTAAAAAGGGAAAAGATAATAACTTGCATTACAAATTTGAATCGCCTACATCGTATTAATTAAACCGCAATTAAACACTACCGAAAAATATCTTCCACGGAGTAAAATCCTAAATGACAAGTGTAGGAGGTTATCTATATTTAACAATATATGTGTAATAGTATATGTATCTTTTAAACTGTTTAATAAAAATAGGAAATTTTATTAGAAAACTGATTTTTTAGAAAAATTGGGGGTGTCCCCTTTAAAGAACTTTAAAAAATGTTTTTTCCCAAAACTCTATTCTTACAATTAAAAAAGTTATAGAGGGCCTTTAAAATCGCACATTTTTGTGAATCACCCTGTAGCTCAAAAACGCTTTGATATATCACGATGCGGTTTTTGACTTTCCTCGAAAATCGAGCCCATAACGTGCACGTTAGTTTTCGGCTAACTATGCTGCAAATGCTTAAAGCCCCTCGAGAACAGAGAGAGAGTGGCCCCTCGAATTTGAACCACCCTGTACAAGAAAAGTGACGGGTTCTTTTCGAAGGTCACAAGTTCGCTCACCTCCTGAACAGGTCTAAGATGAAATTCCGAATCTTTTTCAACGTGACGGAACCGCCGACCAACGAGCAGTACTGCTCGTTGGTTTCGACGTAGCTCGTGGTTAACGGAGATACGTAGATGGGGTATCCGATCGGCTGATCGCACGAAGAATTGATGATGTTCCGGAGCGCTTGCTTGGCGTTCTGTATACTGCCACGTTCCGGATTCCGGTTCCTCAGGTACACCAATTCCTGTTGCTGCCCCGCCCACAGACCCCTCACGCACTCCTTGTTTACTTTGATCACCCGAAAGGTCAGGTAGCGTTTGTTTAACATTATTATTTTATACTCGTCGTTGCCTTCGTCGAACACGTGCCTGAAAAAGTATGGTTATGGATGTACGGTGTGTCTCAAAATATAACGTGTTACGTTGTTACTGGGTAAACCCAACAAACAGGAAGAAACGTCTGTAATACCATAGCTAAAGTCTGTTCAGATATAAGAAAGTGACTAACTGATACGAATTAAGGAAAGACCCGGGCAAGCTGTCAAAATGACATATGGCCGAACAGGTCCGTACTTTTGCTTAGTATTTAATTATTTGGGGTTTTGTTAAGAAAGATAATAAAGAAATATTTATTTATTTATGTATGTATTTATGTTCAAATCTAAAATAAAATTACAAATTATTTTTATTACCTACTTAAATTACTTAAGATTATTCACATAATATATCAATATCACTATCGCTATCATCGCCTGTTCTAATTATTATTTGTTCTATATTATTTTCAATATGGATATATGATTATTCTGCTTTTTCTATATGTTTAACAGAATTTTCCCAACTTCGGTTTCTATTTGAGGACATTGGAGTTAACGGGGGGAAAAACATTGTTACGACGAATGGCAGATTTCAGTTGGTGCCAAACATGTTCATTGGGATTAAATATACATAATTATCATAATTATCAAAGACGTATTCCTTTATAGGTTCGAGCTTTGTAGAACCTCAATTAATTGATTTTTTGTATAATCTTCGTGAAAATAAATGTCGTTATTATACATGTAGATTTGGATTTGTGTCACATGAGGAAGGGATTTTAGTCAACTACCTACTGTGATAATTTGCATTGTCCATTACAATGACGCTATCAGGAGAAATGTTTGGACCTAGTTTGTTTTTAAACCAACTTTGAAATAAATCAACGATGGTGTCTTCATGGTAATCCGGAGAAGAATCTTTAATATTTTTCGCAGAGAGAGAAAGTCCATTTGGAATCCAACCATCTTTAGAGCCAGCATGCAAAATAGTTATTCTTTTACCTCCTTTTGATGGCGCGTTTGGTTTACACTTATCAGTTGAGTCAACCCAACCCTTTTCCGGGGTATCATAAGTGTCGAACCAGGTTTCATCCAAGTAAATAAATAATTGTAATTTTTTATAAATATTCCAGTCGCCATTTCTGAATTCTAAGACATTTTTAAATCTAAAACCCATGTGTTGAATACACTTCCATAAGTTTCATCTTTTTCAAGCCTCCTAATTAAGATATCTAATGTAGACACGCTTTGTTCCTCGTATAACTGGTAAATTTTACGCCGTATTATATCTTGATCACTTTCATCTACACTCGCTTCTCTTTTTTCCTCGCTGAAATGGGTCTTCCTTGGTCTCAATAGAATAGTGTTTTCTGCATTTGGGCGGGAGCATCTCCCGAGATACACTATACTCGCATATATTTTGCATAATTCGCACACGATTCAACACACGCCGTATTACGCACGAAATAAGAATGATTACTAATAAACTTAAACTAAGTAGTATACCAAACCAAAGAATATTAAACAGGTAGGTATAAAATTATTTTCTATTACGGACCACAATTTCACGTGAACTTAAATTCCGACCACCCTTAGATAACCCCAGCTGAAACGATTTTATGAAGCGTCGACATGGAACAGAGAACAGACAACGGAGAACGGAGAACAAAACAACGAAAAACTCACCTCAGCGCCAATAAACTGGGCGTGCCGCTCAGTACGGCGTTCCGCCACGCGGGGTCGCCCTCGTGCGAGATCACCAACTCCTGTTCGTGCTTGCAGATCGCGTCGTAAAGGGCGGGAAGCACGTCGTACTCGTCCGGCGACATGAAATGGTCCTGGTGAAGTTTCAGGGACATCCTGACCGCCGGGGCGACCACAGTCCTTAACAGGTCCATGTCCGTAAACACCCATTCGTCTCTCGCGCAGGTGATTCGAAAATCTCCCTTGAACAGGGCGTGCAGACCGTAGAGGAAGAACTCTACGCTCGACACGACGTTCTGAGAGACGGCGCCGAGTGCCCTGCGGCCCAGCAGGCTCAGCGCGAAACACAGCAGGATGACGCGCTGCTTCATCACCACCTTGCCCCTCTTCTCCAGACAATAGCGGATCCAGTCGCCGTGCACGTGCAAGAACATCGCTTTGGTCATGCCGTTGTGCTGCACGTCGTAGTCTTCGTCGATTTTGTAATTGAAAAACGGATCGAGGTCGACGAAGTTCGGTTTCCAGATCGAGCGCAGGGTTTTGCTGATTATCTCGGAATTCAGCCAGTCCTCCAGCTTGTCCGAGCGTACGGTGTAAAAAATGATACTCTACAACACACGCGGACGAGTACACCGTGAACCGTGAAACGATTTTTTACAGCTCAAGGTTTTATTATTAAACGCGCTATAGTTCGGTCCGGCGTAAACTCCTTGCTCCTTTTTCATTATGTTTAGATAGTGGTTTAGACAGTTTAGACGCCGAAAGTCTCAATTTTCAACAAACAAGAGATAAAGCATAAAACATGTTTTCCCTAGTTCCTCCATAGGTATACAAATACCAGAGAGGGCTTATTTTGCTATTACTTTTATCGTTTATAGGAGTTACAAAGTTTTTGTTGGTATTATAAGCATAAAGTTGCGTGTTTGGCAAAATCATGTGCCCTTTGCCAATATTCGTTATGTTTAGACAGTGGCACTGTGGTCCGAAAGACCATTGTTTACGCCAGAAATCTCCATTTTCAATGTATTAAAAAAGATATAACGCATAAAATATGTTTTCTCTAGTTTGGAGGACACATAAATACCAGGGAGGGCGCTTTTTGCTCTTAACTTTTCCTTTTTTTATCGTTCTTTTTATCTAGTGGCCTTACAACTTCCTTCTCAAAGGTTATTGGAAAAACTGAACTAAAATAAGTTACTGAACTATTAGAAACTCAATAAGTCTACTTTAACAAGCTTTTTAATAAATTCTGAAAAAAACCTGAGATTTAGGTCTCTATAATTGTCTATCGCGTCTTTAACGTTCTTTTTGATATATTGGCCTTACAACTGAATCCTTGACAGTTATTGGAAAAGCTGAACTGAAATAAGTTAATGAACTATTAGAACCCCAATAAGTCTAGTGTAACAAGCTTTTTAATAAATTCTGAAAAAAACTGATATTAAGGCCACTCTCTGTAATCGTCTATCTATTATCGTTCTTTTTATATATTGGCTTTACAAATGCCTTCTTCAGAGCTAATGGAAAAGCTGAACTGAAATAAGTTATTCAACTCTTACAAACTTATTAAGTCTAATGTAACAAGCTGTTTCATAAATTCTGAAAAAAACTGAGAGCAAGGTCACTGCTATACAACTGTCTATCCTTTCTTTCTTTTTCTTTTTATATAATGGCCTTACAACTGCCATCTTGAGAGCTACGCAAAAAGCTGAACTAAAGTTAGTTACTGAACTATTAGAAACTCAATAAGTCTAGTTTAACAAGCTTTTGAATAAATTCTGAAAGAAAAATTGAGATTAAGGTCACTCCCTATAATTGTCTATCTTTTCGTTGTCGTTCTTTTTATACATTGGCCTTAAAACTGCCTTGTTGACAGTTATTGGAAAAGCTGAATTGAAATAAGTTTTCGAACTTACTTAGAAACTCAATAAGTATAGCGTAACAATATTTTCTATAAATTTCAGCAGAAAACTGAGAGCAAAGGTCACTCTGTATAATTGTCTATTCTTTTGTACCGTTTTTTTTTACTACTTGAAAAGCTGAACTGAAATAAGTTATTGAACTCTTAGGAACTTAATAAGCCTAGTGTAACAAGATTTTTCATAAATTCTGAAAACAACTGAAAGCAAGGTCACTGCTCTACAATTGGCTGTCCTTGCTTTATCGTTATTTTTATGGAATGGCCTTACAACCGCCATTTTGATAGCTACTAGAAAAGCTGAACTAAAATTAGTTGTTGAACTCTTAGTCCAGTGTAACAAGCTTTTTCATAAATTCTGAAAAAAATTGAGAGCAATGTCACTGCTATACAATTGTATATCCTTTCTTTACCGTTCTTTTTATACATTGGCCTTAAAACTGCCTTGTTGACAGTTATTGGAAAAGCTGAACTAAAATAAGTTTTCGAACTTACTTAGAAACTCAATAAGTATAGCGTAACAATATTTTCTATAAATTTCAGCAGAAAACTGAGAGCAAAGGTCACTCTGTATAATTGTCTATTCTTTTGTACCGTTTTTTTTTACTACTTGAAAAGCTGAACTGAAATAAGTTATTGAACTCTTAGGAACTTAATAAGCCTAGTGTAACAAGATTTTTCATAAATTCTGAAAACAACTGAAAGCAAGGTCACTGCTCTACAATTGGCTGTCCTTGCTTTATCGTTATTTTTATGGAATGGCCTTACAACCGCCATTTTGATAGCTATTAGAAAAGCTGAACTAAAATTAGTTGTTGAACTCTTAGTTCAGTGTAACAAGCTTTTTCATAAATTCTGAAAAAAATTGAGAGCAATGTCACTGCTATACAATTGTATATCCTTTCTTTATCGTTCTTTTTATACATTGGCCTTAAAACTGCCTTGTTGACAGTTATTGGAAAAGCTGAATTGAAATAAGTTTTCGAACTTACTTAGAAACTCAACAAGTATAGCGTAACAATATTTTCTATAAATTTCAGCAGAAAACTGAGAGCAAAGGTCACTCTGTATAATTGTCTATTCTTTTGTACCGTTTTTTTTTACTACTTGAAAAGCTGAACTGAAATAAGTTATTGAACTCTTAGGAACTTAATAAGTCTAGTGTAACAAGATTTTTCATAAATTCTGAAAACAACTGAAAGCAAGGTCACTGCTCTACAATTGGCTGTCCTTGCTTTATCGTTATTTTTATGGAATGGCCTTACAACCGCCATTTTGATAGCTATTAGAAAAGCTGAACTAAAATTAGTTGTTGAACTCTTAGTTCAGTGTAACAATAAATTCTGAAAAAAATTGAGAGCAATGTCACTGCTATACAATTGTATATCCTTTCTTTATCGTTCTTTTTATACATTGGCCTTAAAACTGCCTTGTTGACAGTTATTGGAAAAGCTGAACTAAAATAAGTTTTCGAACTTACTTAGAAACTCAATAAGTATAGCGTAACAATATTTTCTATAAATTTCAGCAGAAAACTGAGAGCAAAGGTCACTCTGTATAATTGTCTATTCTTTTGTACCGTTTTTTTTTACTACTTGAAAAGCTGAACTGAAATAAGTTATTGAACTCTTAGGAACTTAATAAGCCTAGTGTAACAAGATTTTTCATAAATTCTGAAAACAACTGAAAGCAAGGTCACTGCTCTACAATTGGCTGTCCTTGCTTTATCGTTATTTTTATGGAATGGCCTTACAACCGCCATTTTGATAGCTATTAGAAAAGCTGAACTAAAATTAGTTGTTGAACTCTTAGTTCAGTGTAACAAGCTTTTTCATAAATTCTGAAAAAAATTGAGAGCAATGTCACTGCTATACAATTGTATATCCTTTCTTTATCGTTCTTTTTATACATTGGCCTTAAAACTGCCTTGTTGACAGTTATTGGAAAAGCTGAATTGAAATAAGTTTTCGAACTTACTTAGAAACTCAACAAGTATAGCGTAACAATATTTTCTATAAATTTCAGCAGAAAACTGAGAGCAAAGGTCACTCTGTATAATTGTCTATTCTTTTGTACCGTTTTTTTTTACTACTTGAAAAGCTGAACTGAAATAAGTTATTGAACTCTTAGGAACTTAATAAGTCTAGTGTAACAAGATTTTTCATAAATTCTGAAAACAACTGAAAGCAAGGTCACTGCTCTACAATTGGCTGTCCTTGCTTTATCGTTATTTTTATGGAATGGCCTTACAACCGCCATTTTGATAGCTATTAGAAAAGCTGAACTAAAATTAGTTGTTGAACTCTTAGTTCAGTGTAACAATAAATTCTGAAAAAAATTGAGAGCAATGTCACTGCTATACAATTGTATATCCTTTCTTTATCGTTCTTTTTATACATTGGCCTTAAAACTGCCTTGTTGACAGTTATTGGAAAAGCTGAATTGAAATAAGTTTTCGAACTTACTTAGAAACTCAACAAGTATAGCGTAACAATATTTTCTATAAATTTCAGCAGAAAACTGAGAGCAAAGGTCACTCTGTATAATTGTCTATTCTTTTGTACCGTTTTTTTTTACTACTTGAAAAGCTGAACTGAAATAAGTTATTGAACTCTTAGGAACTTAATAAGTCTAGTGTAACAAGATTTTTCATAAATTCTGAAAACAACTGAAAGCAAGGTCACTGCTCTACAATTGGCTGTCCTTGCTTTATCGTTATTTTTATGGAATGGCCTTACAACCGCCATTTTGATAGCTATTAGAAAAGCTGAACTAAAATTAGTTGTTGAACTCTTAGTTCAGTGTAACAATAAATTCTGAAAAAAATTGAGAGCAATGTCACTGCTATACAATTGTATATCCTTTCTTTATCGTTCTTTTTATACATTGGCCTTAAAACTGCCTTGTTGACAGTTATTGGAAAAGCTGAACTGAAATAAGTTTTCGAACTTACTTAGAAACTCAATAAGTATAGCGTAACAATCTTTTCTATAAATTTTAGCAGAAAACTGAGAGCAAAGGTCACTCTGTATAATTGTCTATTCTTTTGTACCGTTTTTTTTTACTACTTGAAAAGCTGAACTGAAATAAGTTATTGAACTCTTAGGAACTTAGTAAGTCTAGTGTAACAAGATTTTTCATAAATTCTGAAAACAACTGAAAGCAAGGTCACTGCTCTACAATTGGCTGTCCTTGCTTTATCGTTATTTTTATGGAATGGCCTTACAACCGCCATTTTGATAGCTACTAGAAAAGCTGAACTAAAATTAGTTGTTGAACTCTTAGTCCAGTGTAACAAGCTTTTTCATAAATTCTGAAAAAAATTGAGAGCAATGTCACTGCTATACAATTGTATATCCTTTCTTTACCGTTCTTTTTATACATTGGCCTTAAAACTGCCTTGTTGACAGTTATTGGAAAAGCTGAACTGAAACAATTTAGTGAACTTACATAGAAACTTAACAAGTCTAATGTAATAAGGTTTCTCAAAAATTCTGAAAAAAACTGAGAGCAAGGTCACTGCTTTATAAATGTCTATCCTTTCTTTACAGTTCTTTTTATACAATTGTATTACCACCGCCTTTTTGATAGCTACCAGAAAAGCTGAACTGAAAAATTTATTGAACTTACATAGAACAAGTCTAGTGTAGCAAGCTTTTTATCAAATTTTGCAAAAATCTCAGAACAAGGTCACTGCTCTATAATTGTCCTTATTCGCCTTAAAGGCGATATCCTTAAGTAATAATACGTATGAAGGTTGTAACTCATTTCCAATACGACATATTTTGAAATACAGTTTACCTTTACGTAGTAAGATATGAGGACCCTGCGGAACTCGAAGACCTGCAACATCGACGCCACACTGTTGTCAGATATGCTGTACCCCTCCAGTATGTACTTCGAAGACGTCACCTCCCACGCCAGCCATCTTTGACTGAAAGCGGCGTTGATGCTGAGCATGTTGGGCAAATGGCCGGTGTCGCAGCAACAGCATCCTTCTTAATAACCGAACCGAATTAGATTCTAAGCGGGGTGATGTATATAAAAATTGACGAAAGATGGACAACTATTTGTTTGTTAAGATATGAAAAACAGTTACTATTTACAAATTGTTGATAAATCAAACTTGCCGTTGTCAAATAGTTTTTTTTGACAAAAGTTTAAAATCATTTTCCTTAACTTTATTTATTATATAAATTTCGTAACTTTTCAACAATGTTTCATACTTGCATCAGTGGGATTTTCGTTTTATTCTGAACAATATTCACTTCGTTGATAGCAATTTTTAAACTTCGATTCAGTGGTTTACCATGAGATTTATAATTGTACATCAATAAACTCAGAACTTCCTCATTAGTTGGTAATTACTAACCAAAACTAGAATAATGAAATATAAACAAAAATTTGAATTTAATTTACTTGAGATTCGATTTTATAATAATTATTAATTGAAATTTATTTTTCTCTATTTGATTCCAAAATAATTTTGCGAATTAGAAACTTGAATCATATAATAACTCAAACAAAGCGTTCTTTTGTTTATAATTAATTGCTATTTAATGAAAAAATAATAAATTCTAATTTAGAAATGATTCGATATCAATTACAATGAACATTTATTTTCACAGCTCTAGAACTTAAAAGCTGTTGGTCGGGGAGAATGTAAGCAAATTTTATGCTCCACAAAAGCTATACACGTGTTTTTCCCCAAAAAAAAAATTCTCCACGTCGAAAAATCCAATTTGTCCCAGTGGTGCGTTAATGCACCACCTATTCTATGATTTTTTTTGTCACATCCAGGAAATATTTTTGCACATCCATTTGGAAATTTTATTATTATCACTACTAAAGGACATAAAACCGTAGACATCATTAATTTATGTGTAAAAGAAAGATCTTATAACTTCAAAACTTCACAAAAGCGGTACATAAATTTGTATCACATCCAAAAATAGTAAAAAAATATATTGTGGATTTGTATTGCCATTTTTGTTAAGTCTATAGTCTATATTTACTGGTGCGTGAATGCACCACTGGTTTTATCTGTGAAAGAAACGTTGTTATTGCAAGTCTAGACAAGTCAGCGCATGTAGAAAAAACACCCAACGATTAGCGTGTTCTTTAGTATTAGTTTATGCCGTGTACAGTGAACGTTACAGTTCGTAAAATATGGCATTTCCGAGGTATTTGACTCAGACGACTATGGAGGAGATCGTGATGGATGAGGACAATAACAAAGGAAGTCGTAAGTATTATTTGGATTTACGTACTCTTATGTATTGTAAAATAACGTAAAAAAATGTTTACAGAACATAATGAACATATTGAACAAATGAACTTTTAAATTTTGTAGGCATTTTATTGTTCTCAGGTTATCATTCATTGCCACATATTTAGCATTATTCTTCTACTGATAAAGACAAAGGAATTGATCTTATAAAAAATTGTATGAGCTGCAATAGATTCAAATTGATAAACCAAAACTTACACTTATCTGACAATAATCTGTTGGTGTAATAAAAAAAATCTTCAGTTTGGCATACTTTCGTTCAACTTATCCATAGATGAACAAATAGTACCTTACATTGGCTGCCATTCCTGCAAAATATTGATAAGGGGTAAGCCAGTTCGTTTTTGCTTCAAGTTTTGGTGCCTTTGTTCATCTGATGGGTACCTATTTTATTCACTTCCATATGGTGGTGCTCAAAATGAACCTCATTGCGAATTATGCAAAATATATGCGAGTCTAGTGTATCTCAGGAGATGCTCCTGCCCAAATGTAGAAGACACTATTCTATTGAGACTAAGGAAGTTATATTAAGTTATACTATATATGTTATGTTATATTATGTTTATTTGACTCTCATTGAACGTGGTGCCAGCAAGCAAGCATCTTTAGAAGAAACGGGTGCTACCACAGAGAACAAAATATATCGATTAAAAACGAAGCACCCTAGTGTAGACGTGTAGACATTGCTGTCGAATGGAACATATTCACGTGGACCCACAAAACTCACCGTCGTTCTCCTCCACGCCTTCGGTGATGGCCTCCACCTCCCTCTGTTGGCAATAGGTGCCTCTGAACTCCAGTCCGCGCATCTGGAACGTCGTCAGACCGTTGCCCGTTTCGACAATGTGTACCAAACAGTTGAGGTAATCGGAAGCCATGACGAAGACGTCGCCCTGATCGACCGGTCCCCAACGTCCCAGGGCCAGATCGCCGCACAACGACCGTTGCAACGATCTGGTCAGGTGCTCGTAGAATATCGAATTCAGATTATTGTCGTCCGCTCCCAAGTTCCTGTCCAGGTGAGACGACAGGGGCGTGTTCGAATGGTCGACCCTTCGCGTATTGTAATCCCTCTCCCAAAACTTCACGGGCCTCACGTAAGAGGTTAGGAAAATGGCGCTGCCCAGGAACGGGGCCAGGGGGGTGGAGAACGCGGCAGACAACACCGCCTGGAGGAACAACATGGCCGAATGGGGCACGGAAAATGGCTGCGCGAACGCGTGGAAGGCGGAGCCCCAGGTTATCTGCCAGGGCGCGATGTACGTTATAACGAACTGGATCTGAAAAGCGCGGGAAAACTTGATTCAAAATAAATAAGAACTAAAAGTTCAGATTTTCACGAAATTATATATTTTGTCATGATAATTGTTTCGACAATCAAATGTAATATTTACTATAATAATACTATTTAATATAAATTTTCTGTGTTTGCGTAGGATAATTAGAATCTAGACTATTGTTTTTAAACGCTCTTTAATGTTCGTTAATGCGTTTCTTGAATATAAATTTTTGGACAAGATTCGCATTTCAACCTGTAGACACATGATTTTTGAGATTTTGGACATATCGTTTTATTGTTTTTTTTTTTAATTTTCGCATTGTGTTGTCAGTTCTGAAAGCTATTTTTCAACCACATTTTGACAAATGTCAAACTTTTTCACTAGGTTCTCCTATGTATGTATGTAAGGATTCGGATAAATAGAGTTTGCTTTTGCTTGAAGGTGGTAGACACTGATTCAGTATTTCTATAGAGTTTGCTGTTGTCTGGATTTGTTTTTTATTTATAATTTTATCTATAATTTACGAATTGTAGCCGTTGTTCAGTGCAATTTGTTTAATGATATTAACTTCTTTGTTGTAATTTTCTGTTGAGAGTGGCGTATTAAGAAGTCTGTGTTGGAAAGGACAGACAATTGAATTCATTTTTAAATTACATTCAATCATTACATAATCGTATAAAATGCATGCTATTGTGTTGTTAGTTCTGAAAGCTATTTTTACAACATCATTTTGACAAATGTTTTGAAACTTTTTCACTAGGTTCTCCTGTGTTCTGTATTAGGTCTCGGATAAATAAAGTTTACTGTTGTCTGGATTCGTTTTTTATTTATAATTTTTTCTATAATAGACGGATTGTAGCCGTTGTTCAGTGCAAATTTGTTTTGTACAAAATTTATTTCCCAGTATTCCACCTATAGACGTGATAGATTTAGTAGATTTCACCCTAACTCGGAAACATATTAGTCCATTGGTGAAACAAGATTTATTAGATTGCTTAATAGTATCTTTAGACCAAAATTATTTTGAATTTAATGGACAGATTTACATCCCTAAAGAAGGTTTGATTATGGGAAACCTACTCAGTCCTTTGTTAGCCGAGATTTTTACGTATAATTTGGAAAATATCATACTAGAACATCCTTTAAGTAAAAGTTTTTTATGGTGGTATAGATACGTGCATGATGCCATTGTTTGCTTTGTTGGAACGGACAGACAATTAAATTCTTTTTTAAATTACATTAACTCTCTCCCTATCTCCGTCTCTCCCCCCCCCCCTCCCCCCTCACTGCCTCACACTCTGTGTTCACGCAACTAATCAGCGCGTATAATGCGCTAAATGGGATTGGACCTCTGTCCTTGTTCAGTGCCTCTTAACAATTTCTAAGCCTTCGTAGGCATCTAATTTTCTACTATTATTTACATGTTTAACTAATTTTAAATTACTTATATCTACTTTATGATTCAAAAATCAACGACTTTTCAAGCTGATAAGGAAAATTTAAAAGTAGTCTCAATTCCTTTCTCTCCCCAATATACAAGTGGACTTGATACAGTCTTCAGGGCCGCAGGTCTTGGAAGTATCTATCTAACATATGTTCAACAATAATCATAAGGTAGATATAAGTAATTTAAAATTACTTAAACATGTAAATAATAGTAGAAAATTAGATGCCTACGAAAGCTTAGAAATTGTTAAGAGAGGGAATAAGGTACTGAACAAGGACAGAGGTCCAATCCCATTTAGCCCATTATACACGCTGATTGGTTGCGTGAACAGTGCGTAATTCCCCCTCCCACTTCCCGATGTGTATATATATATAGAGAACATTTGTTCTATTAAGTCTAGTTTTAATCTTCTCCTGAAGATGCCAACTTGCCAAAATTGAGTTTCGGTTTGTGGTAAAACGCGTTATTGTGTGTTAGTGCAGTGCCGAAGGTTCCAGTCAAGAGTTTGATAGTAACAGATAGTTTGTAAATATTACATTTGATAAGGACACTGTGTTGTCGAAACAATTGTCATGTAAAAATATATAATTTCGTGAAAATCTGCACTTGTAGTTCTTATTTATTTTGAAAAATGGATTTTCATCAAGTAAAAGCCACCTCAGCGCAATTTTCGAACACTTGATTCCAATCAAAATTCCTGTTGCTTTTAGCCGGTCTTACCTTGAGCAGGAACTCCGAAACCTTGTGATACGCGATGCTCATCAAGAAATACTGAATTAGGAACACGTCCACTAAACCGGCGTAGTCGTAATTGAAAAACAACGCGGCAAAACTGACGATTAGGTATTGGGAACTTTGGTCGGAATACGAGCTCCTGAGCAGTTTCATCGCGCAGATCACCGTCACGAACGAGCCCAGGGTGGTGCCGTATTTGCGTGCGATTTTCGGAGAATCCCCGGTTAACGCCGAAAGCGCCACCAACGGGTACAGGATGTTCCGCTCGAAGAAACAAAGATACACGTATACCTGAAAGAGTAACGTCCCGCTAGTATTTGATGTACTCGAAATAAGCGTTAGTTTTTGTTGCTCGTTACTTTCGAAAATCGACGAAATCGACTTTTTCGAAAGCATCTGCGTTCGTATAAAAATTTTATATCTCGGTAAACGGTAGGTCCTATGGGATCGCCGTTGGTACAGAAATGATAACTTTTGGGTTTTCCTGAATAACTTGCGAACCGTTTAAGCTACAAAATTGAAATTTGCCTCCTTTTTGGCCCTACACGAGACACATAAGCTGATAAGAAATGGCCTTGATCCGATGCCGGTATCCATCCATTTTTTCGCGATTTTCGACTGTATAATAATTAGAACAGGCGATGATGGCGATAGTGATACTGATATATCATGTGAATAATTTTAAGTAATTCAAGTAGGTAATAAATTTCATTTAAGATTTAAACATAAATGCATACATAAATAAATAAATATTGTTAAGTATCTTTCCTAACAAAACCCCAAATAATTAAATTCTAAGTAAAGGACGGTCCTGTTCGGCCATATTTCATTCTTACAGCTTGCCCGGGTCTTTCCTTAATTCGTATCAGTTAGTCGGCTTTCTTATATCTACGAACAGACCATACCCGTTCGAACCACATAATCCTGGCGGCCTGCCTGATCTGGTACTGGGTGTACTCGTGCGATCTGAAAATGGGCCGGGCCACGCACACCCACGGCAGCTGCTTGCGCATCTGCGGCACGACGTAGTGCAGCACGAAGCCCAGACCGCCCACCACGGACCACAGAACCGTGTTCAGCTCGGGCTGCAGGACAGAGAACACGGTACTGGCGTGTATCGCGAATACCGCGACGCACATCACCGCGCACGTAACCGCGTCGTTTTTCAAGCGTCCGTTCAGGGTCTCCTTGATTTTCGCAGGCAGGGGATCGACGTAATCCTCCTTAGTCGCGGGGCGATCTTCGACGTCGTCCTTTTCGGCGACCGCCTCGCCATAGACGTCGGGCAACCACATGTGCGTCTTGATAAGGTCCCACACGTGGGCGGGGTCGCTAGCGCAGCGACTCAAATGGTAACACGCGGGCACCAGACACGCGCAGAATATCGAAAAGAGGAGATGCCGCGACGTTTTGCTCTCGCTCAGACCGCTGTAGGCCAAACCGGCGAGCAATACGACCGAGAACGTGGAACGGGCGACGCAGTAAGCGGCCGCGACTAGACTGCAGGAGGCGTTCCCGCCGTATAAGTGCACGTCGATTTGCTCGAGGAGATACGACGCGAACGTGTCGATCTGCGGGAACAAACCCAGCGAGAAAATGAACGGGAAAAACAGGAGGAACGTGGCGAAAAAGTCCCTGGGCAACGAGAGAGCGTGGTGATGTAAAACGAGGACGATGGCGCAGAACAAACAAAAGTAGACGGGTCTAGAGTAGGCCACGAGACGGTTGAAACCGTGGGTAGGAGACGCCGCGTCCGGCTGGACGCTCTTGAGCAACGAGTACTGGCAGCCGGCGATCACGAAGCAGAAGAGGAACGCGAGCAGGTCTTTGTAGAGGTCGAGGTGAAGCAGGACCGCCCCCAGCACGGCAACCGTGACGCCTAGCGCGAACGAAACGCCGGTCTCGCCCAACGTAAGGTTGCGGTCGAGCAACGCGAGCAGCTTCAAACGGTCCATGGTCACTTTCAGCAAGATCCGCGGCAACACCTTCACCTTATAGTACGTCTTAGTTTTGACGGTCGGCTCGCGATTGCTCACCCTGATGAACCTGGAGCGAATTTTATTTTTCCTGGAAGGCTACTACAATACGAATCTTCCTGCGTCGGCTGTTGTCTGAGTGAGAGGGGGCGGAGCTAGGGGCGGGGCGCGATTTTTCGTAGTTTTAAGGCTCTTTGTTTCTTTCTTAAAATCTGGTTATGTACGAGGTTAGCGCGAAAATTTCCCGGCCTAACATAGATGCAGCTCCAGTATCACGATAAAACTTTTGTCTTCTTTTGTCTTTGCGTCAAATAGTTTTTTATTGACAGCATTTTAAACAAGACCCGTCCGAAAAAATGTCGCACATAACGCAGATTGAGTATGGAGCAGTCATAAAGTTTTTGACAAGAAAATGGTTAGCACCTACAATTATTAAAGACAGGCTGAATGGTGTGTACGGCCAAAGTTTTCCTTCGTATTCTGTAGTGAAAGAATGGGCAAAACGTTTTCGAATGGGGCAGGAGTCCCTTGAAGATGATTCAAGAACTGGTCGACCAGTGGGGGTCATAACGGAAGATATTGGTGCGATTGTGGAAGAGGTGGTAATACAAGTATTAGTCGAATCCTGCATGATTATTTAGATATGCATAAGGTTAGTGCAAGATGGGTTCCCAAAAACCTTTCGGCTATTCAAAAACAACGCCGTATCGAGTGTGCGCGGTCTTTTTTGGAACTCTGTGGGTCGGAACCGAAGCCTGCCATAGAAACTATTGTGACGGGAGATGAGACTATCTTCTTCTCTATCGAAAAAAGAATCAATGAAGTGGCGTCGTAAGGGTGAAGCACCTCCAAGAAAACTCACAGTCTTCCAGCATAATTAGAATCTTGACTATTGTTTTTAAACGGTCTTTTATATTGGTTAATGCGTTTCTTGATTGATTGATTGATTGATTTCTTTGTCTGATACAAATTTTAGGACAAGATCCGCATTTCAACCTGTAGACACCTGATTTTTGAGATTTTGGACAAAACTAACCAAAACTAATTTTTACATTAAAATCAGTTGTTTAATTTCACAATTGGGTTCTGGATTTAGAATTATTTAAAGCAAACGGAAATTTGCGGCTTAAAACCTCCGTCTCCAATATCTAATTAACATTAATATTTTGAAATATTACGTTTTTTGTGCTATGACCATGTAAGAGCTTACTTTGCTGGGTTAATCGGTTTTGTCGTCTCTATTTTCGGATAATTGTAATTGGGTCATGTTACCTGTTGGAAATAAAGTGCTATTATTATTATAATCAATAATGAATGCAACTTTATGAGGCTCTAAATGGAGTTTGGAAAAAAGTATTTAGTTTTGTTACATAACATTAGTGAGCTAAACCAGAGGCGATCACAATTGGTGCTTGATTTTATTACTTCTGTTTGTCATTTAAGTTTATGTAACTACTTGCTGATTGATTCAAACGAGCTTCACTAAGATTCTTGGTTGTTGGGAGGATTTATTACCGAACAATATTCAATTTTCTGTGCTGCATCAGCCAGCGAGTAGATAGGTGTCTATTTCATTCTTCTTTAAAAAAAAAATAGCTTTCGTTATAACGGTCAAATTTTTGAACAAACGGCGGGAACAGCTAGAAGCCTTTGAAAAGAAAGCCCTCCAATTCTTAGAGATATTCTTATCGATAAAAAAATCAGACTCTAGATTGGGTCATTCTTACTGCACTGTGACATCATCCTCCGGCCCAAAAATCATCGATTATCAATTCTCTTGTTTACGGAACCGTAAAACCAACTCAGAACCCACAATTAATTAAAATTGATAATTTCCGCATTAACGATATTAAGCGTTGCGTCACAAAATACACTTCACCACGTCCTTCTTTTCATTCAAAACATCATGGACCCCCCCCATCTCAGAAGTGACCAATATAGATTAGATTTGCAAAACGCCAACAACCAGACAACACAAAAGGAGTAAAGCGAACAATAGTAAATCTGCCTTCAAGAAATCTTTCCAGTACTGAAAAACAAATGACTCAACTTCGCCCTTGCCCCCCAAAGGGCACCAACGATGGATATTATAAGCTCCATAGAAATGGTACGACTGGAAGGACCCGAAGCAGATGAACTACGGTGGAAAGTTAGGACAGTTGTTGAGAAAACAAGAAAACAGACGAGGAATATAACCAAAGAGGAACAAGAAGCCATTAAGAACTTGCAAAAGGATAGAAACATCAAGATCCTCCCAGCAGATAAGGAAAACGCTACAGTTATAATGAATACGCAGGAATATGATCAAAAAATCGAGGAGAAGCTTACTAAAGGAAAATACAAACTACTGTCTAGTGACCCTACCAAGATGATTGAAAGAAAAATCTACTGGTCTCTCCATAAATACAGACGCTATAACATTAGAACCACGTTAACTCCGCATCACACCAAACTACCACTCAGACCGATCACTAGTTCAAGAGATTCTGCAACCAGCAGCTTAAGTAGATTTCTACTTCAAATCGTCCAGCCACTTGTAGGTAGAACTTCTTCGTTTGCAAAAAACTCCGGGCACTCGGTAGATATTCTAAAAAACGTGAAACTAGATCCTTCAGACAAGTTTATTAGCTTTGACGTTGAAAGTCTATATACCAACGTGCCCTTGGAGGAATCATTAAGTATTGTCGAGGCTAGACTAAGGAATGATACAAACCTATCCGAGAGAACTTCTCTTGTTTACAGAACCGTAAAACTAACTCAGAACCCAGAATTAATTAAAATTGATAATTTCTGTTGCGTCACAAAATACACTTTACCACAACCTTCTAATAAATAGCACATTTGCCACTATCGTCCTCAGAAGTCTTTACCTGTGACTAATACAGGAATCGGTAACCGAGACGACGCGCTCACGCCCCTCCCTTAGCCCCGCCCCCTTCAAACGGTATATAAGCATGTACAAAGTACAGCCAGTTTCAGGTATGGCTCTCAAGTAGCCAACAACCGACGCAGGACGAATCCAAAAGTCTCGTAAATAGAACCTGAAATGGTTCTTCGGAGGGTCGTCGTCCAGTTTCGCGATGAAATCCGTAGCCGTAACCGGGTCGTAGTTGTTTGACGCGGACGCCGCGGTTCGGTGGTCCGCCGTAAAGTCCACGCTGCTCAGGCGCATCGTGTCCACTATGGTGGACACGGAACTGCTGCCGAGGGAATCGGTGCTGCCCGTACGCGAAGTCCCTTTGTCGCCGAACGTGTAAGTGACGAAATTGCCGTGCTCGTCCGTGAAACAGTGCACCGCCCCGTCGCTGGTGTCGTTGAAATTTTTGGCGCTGTGGGTGCCGTACCCGGCGGACAAGGAGGTGGCGATCGCGTTGTCTCTCTTCGCCGCAGACCGTTTCCTGGACACCCTCGTTCTTCTCGGTCGCGGCCTTTGGCTCTGTTGCGGCGTCGCGTTATCTGGGATAGGCGATAACAAAATGACCGGGCGCGCGAGACATTTTGGAACTATTTTTTTTTTATTAAACAAAAATAATAATAATAATAATAATAAAGAGTGCTCTTGGAATACTAAAAGAATGTCGAACTCCCATTGTCTTTATTTTTAACTTATACAACGTTTCGGACAGTTGTTATCAAGTATAAACTAAACTTAATTCTAAGGCTACAAGGTTTGTATACTAGGCGACGGCGCTCATCCATGACGGAGTCGGGTGTAGTCAAGCGTGAAGTTTTTCAAGTAGAACGCCAGCAGTGGTTGTAGCCGTTGTTCAGTGCAATTTGGGTAATGATATTAAGTTCTTTGTTGTAATTTTCTGTTGAGAGTGGCGTATTGAGAAGTCTGCGCATCAAAGAGTGAAATGCAGCCATTTTGTGTGCATAAGGGTGATTTGAGCTGTTATGTATGACTGTGTCCGTGTGTGAAGGTTTATGATAAATGGAAAAATCTTTTTTTTTTTGCGTTTTCGTAATAGTTAAGTCTAAAAAATTAATCGAGTTATCCCGTTCATTCTCGATGGAGAATTGTATACGATTATGTAATGAGTTAATGTAATTTAAAAGAGTTCAACTGTCTGTTCGTTCCAACAAAGGAAGCAAGGACATAGAAAATAGAAAATAGACAATAGAAAACTGATGTTCTAGTATGATATTTTCCAAATTATCCATAAAAATCTCAGCTAACAAAGGACTAAGTGGGTTTCCCATAATCAAACCTTCCTTAGAGATGTAAATCTGTCCATGAAATTCAAAATAATTTTGGTCTAAAGATACTATTAAGCAATCTAATAAATCTTGTTTCGCCAATGGGTAAACCCGAGTTTCCGAGTTAGGGTGAAATCTACTAAATCTGTCACTCCCATACTGGGAAATAAGTTTTGTACATCATGTTGCGTTAGAAGGAATTTTGTGCATTAATTCAAAAGAATTTTTTATTGCAAAAATCTGTCAAAAGGCATATTTCTCACTAAAAATCTTATATAGTAACAGGGATATTTTAAATTTTAGACTAAAGAAACACTTTTGTGAGTCGCTTGTTCTCTCACATTTTAACTACAGTGATGTAGTGTATGTTTTTTTTATTGATAACGAGTGTAAGTGCCGTATTCAAAGTCGACTTAACTGGCTGAAAATGGAACAAAGAAGAGCTCTTCATTTCAACATATTCGTTATGAAAATTATCCATAACCTCGATTCACCCACTTTGCTGAGAGAGCGGCTTACTCCTAGGAGTACTATCCATTCTGTGAATGTAAGATACAGGCACAGACTAACGATGCCACGTCATCAGAGTGCCTTGTTTCGTGGATCTTTCACATTCAACGCAAGCCGTGTTTATAATTCTTTGCCACAGGAATTCAATAATGAAAATTTATATTCATTTAAAAAAAGGTATAAAGATCATTTGTTACAAATACAGTTTTCCTAATAATCCGTTGCTAATTATGTTATTATCAAATTCTTTATCTTCAAGTACATTTTAGTAGAGTTATGTTGTTCTTCCGATTTTGCAGGTATTTTTCATATTTTAATTGTTGTTCGTCCATTTTTTATTTCAATAAATGGTGCGCAAGTTATTAATTATATAAATAGTTCTTTAGCGGTTCAGTAGAGTAGCTACTTAAAGCTAGACTGAGCCGCTTGTGAGCTATCTGTTTTGCTTTTCGTTGAAAAATATTAATATTGTATGTTGTTTTTTTTTTTTGTAATAGTTGAGACGTATCCAATTACAAAAGCATTTAGGATCAATTGTTATTAATAAAGGAACTAAAATTTCTTTTCACTAAAGTTTATACAACATATTTAAATATTAATTTGTTAACCTATAAGGCACTAGACCGTTCTGCAAACAGAAACGCGCATAAATATTTCCTAAATTAATTTTTTTTCTGTCGAACATATTGAGAAAATTATTAAATTCTAAAATATGACCAACTTTGTGATTTTTTTCGAATACCATAAATAAGCCTGAGAAAAAAATTCTGTAACTCTAGTATTCGTTTTGTATCTTGGGTTTATAGATTTCATTCGTTCTAATAGACGTGGTTAGTGAATCGCAATTCATGATCAATAATAAAAATAAGAGTTTTAAGATCGTAGGCATTGGATTGTATAAAAATGGCCACAAACACACACTCACCTTGAAACGAACTAGTAGATGGACCGTCTTTTTTAGAGTTCAACAGCGCCGACAAAAGAGGCGGCGCGGTAGGCGGCAATAATGTGCTGAGCTCGTTGTTCGAGCCGCTAGAGGACGCTTCCTCGTTTTTACACAGGTACGACTTTTGAGATCCTTTGCGGGGCGTGTTCGATTTGGTTATCTTAAACGATGACGTGGGAATCGCGTCCAAGTCTTCCAGACTAACGCTGTCTTTAATCGGCACCGTTTGCGTCACCTTGTTCTCCTTTAAAGATTTACTTTTCGCATCGACAACGTCGGCCTTGGATCTGCACGAAGCAAAATTGCAGGAATAAATAAAAAGTTTCGTCGATCTTCCCGTCGGCTTCTTCAGAGCCTAACCAAAACTGGCACGCTTGTCTGGATTGCGATATTGGTGAAAGTTAAAGGCCTGAGTCGCGACTAACTTCGCTAGGGTGGCTTATAGGGACATTACGAAAAAAAAATCAAATGCTCAAAGTACATGAAAGAGCCTTGAGACTACAACAAAAAATATCTCTAAAGAACCAAAGAGTCCTTGAAATCATCAATTTGAGAGACGATATTTATTCCCCCCCTTCAGCTCCGCCCCCCTCAAACGATATATAAGCAGATACAGAGCGCCAGTTTCATTTAAGCCGTGGCAACACTGTCAGAAAAGTACCCTGCTGACGACATTTTTAATGCTGACGAAACTGGTATTTTTTACAAAATGACGCCATATAAAACTCTTAAATTTCGAAGCGAAAAGTGTGTGGGTGGAAAACTTTCTAAAGAACGTATAACAGTGTTGGTAGTTGCCAACATGAGTGGGAGAGAAAAAAGAAAGCTGGTCGTGATTGGAAAATCAACTAACCCACGATGTTTTAAGAACATCAAGCGTCATCAAACGTCAAGTCTATGTGGATGACATCGCAAATTTTTGATGAGGAGATACGTATATTACTTCTCTTAGATAACTGCCCTGCACATCCCCAGAAAAAAACAATAAGTGTAATAAAAAGTCTTAAGAGTCGATACAGGAAAAACCTTTTAATGCTAGATGCAGTCAACTTTATTAGTAATCAAACCTTCCTTAGAGATGTAAATCTGTCCGTTAAATTCAAAATAATTTTGGTTAATTGAAAAGAATTTTTTATTGCAAATTGTGTGAAACTTTAAAATATTTACATAAGAAATGGCTGGTCTAATGGGCATATCTTGCTTATGTAATTTAACTAAAGAATATAATATAATTTTTATAACTATTTTGATATAACCCGGTTGGATCGTGTTTGATACATTGGTTTAAGAAAATTGTTGGTTTTTGAAATATATTCTGAAAGAACTAAACAGTCTAATTCTCTATTAATGTTTGAGTGCTGAAGTTAAAGTTGAGCTTTTTCCAGAAATTCAAATTCATTTTTAGAAAATGTTGTGTCTGTTAAGTTATTGTCGGAACAATTGCCATGTGAATATATATAATTTCGTGAAAATCTGAACTTTTAGTTCTTATTTATTTTTTTATATCGAGGTACGGTTTTCACTAGATCATTGGGCCTTCGATGGCCTTCGAATTAAACAAAAAACATTAGAAATTTTTGAAGGAACCTAGTTTTAAATTTTCGAAACTCGAAGATTAATTTTCCGTAAAACAAACCGTTAAAAACGGGGTTTACCTGCTGCAAGCCCTGCATTTTTCCGACTCACTCTTGGGCGTTTTCCTCTCCAAATCCCTCGAATTGGTCAGGGATTTCTTTCGAGACAAGTTGGGGCCGCTGTTCACCGGCAAAGTTTCGTGCAAAACTTTGCTCACGTCCTGCTCCAGGGATATGGACACGGTACCTGATCGATCCTTCCTCAAGGGTTCTGGAATTAAATCAATGACGCTGCCACGTCGTCTCGTAACCTCAAAAAATCACCTTTTCGATTCGTCAATTTGTTGCCCTCATTTTCGAACAACCATTCGAGGTCCAGTTCCGCCAAGCTGGAGCAATTCAACGCCTCCTCAGCCTTGATATTGGTCCTCCTTCTTTTATTCTTTTTCACGTTTTTCTTTCTCACAATGCCGATTTCCCGATTACCGCCCGACTGTTTTCCCTCATCAAATTCGGCACTGATGAACGACGTGCTGGCCATATCGAGCACGCTTTTCGATACCCCCTGTTCCACGGTGCCGTCCTCGGTTTGCTGGTCATCGGTGTAAGGCACGTCGGTGGTTTTTTTAAACTTGACACACAGAAGAGGCGATCGACTGGCTAAAATTACGAAATACCATAGAGAAAACATCGCTATGGTAAAAATATTTTGGCATATAATGACTCCTACTCCCTATAATTCCCTCCCATGCCCTCACACTGCCTTATATTGCTGCACAAGGCACCATGGTGCTTCAAAATAATAATAATAATATATTTACCAAATAAACATTAAACAAAATACATAATACGCAACACCAACAGCCAATGATAGGATTAAAATTACAGTCGAAACTCTATATAGCGAAATTGAAGGGGCGGGCTGCTTTCTTGCATATGTGTTCGGTAATATTTAATTATTTTTTATACATATTTTAACATCGACTTAATAATTTTGGTATGTCAATAAGCATCTCGTACTTTGGCTTGTATTTTCACCATTTCTTCGGGAGGGGCATCTTCCCCATGATACGAAATTTCTCTAGCAGCTTAACTCAATATAGGGCTTGTTGAATCGTTGGTGGCGGTCCCAGATCAACTTCTTCCTCTTGGTGCTCTTCCTCACCCTTTCTTGCTTGTTGTAATATGGCTTCCTCTGTCAAGTCTGCTGTTGTAGGCAAATCCTGATCTATAACCATAAAATCTTGCAACTCCTCACTTGTAAACGTAATTGTTGTTTGAAACTGGTTTATCCATTCACGATAAGAGTGTTGAATTGTTTTGGTTGTCACATTTTTCCAAGCTTTACTAATAAAATTAACCGCATCTAGCATATTAATGGAAAATTTCTCTTCGGACTCGATCATTTCCATTAAAATGTTTTTCCTGTATCCACTCTTAAGATTTTTTATTACGTTCTGGTTTTGGTAGATTTGGAATATGGGGATGTGCAGGAAAGTTATCTAAGAGAAGTAATATTTTCCTCCCCTTTAATTCTGCATCTCTTTTCCGTATCTCCTCTTAAAAAATTTGCGATGTCATCCATGCGGACTTGTTTGCCTTGTAAGTGACCGGCAAATGCTTGATGTTGTTAAAACATCGTGGGTTAGATGATTTTCCAATCACGACTAGCTTTCTTTTTTCTCTCGCACTCATATTGGCAGCTATAAGGTTGTTCGGAAAGTCATTTCGTTTTTTCCCGTCAGATCACTTAATTACGTTTTTTCGAAACCAACTTCACACTTAAGCCGCATAACCATTATATGTCTTGAGAGCTGATATTGCAAGGCTTGTGTGTGAAAAAGTTCTATTAATTCTACGCAGTAGTTTTTGGTTGGTGCCCTTTTAAATATGGAGAGCAATAAGCAGTATTTTCGTCATATTTTACTTTTTTACTTCAGAAAAGGTAAAAATGCTGTCCAAGCGAGAAAAAAATTAACGGATGTGTATGGAGAAGGCGTGTTAACAATACGCCAGTTCCAGAACTGGTTTGCAAAATTTCGATCCGGCAATTTTGATGTCCAAGATGCACCACGGTCTGGAAGGCCGGTCGAAGCTGACAAAGATGCGATAAAGGCATTAGTTGATGCAAATCGGCGAATAACCACACGAGAGATCGGTGAGAGATTACATTTGTCGAATTCGACTGTTTATCGCCATTTGAATGGCATGGGCTTAACCTCGAAGCTCGATGTGTGGGTGCCCCATGTCCTTACGGAGCGAAATTTGTGTCGTCGCGTTGACGTGTGTGATTCGCTCCTCAAACGTCAAGAAAATGATCCATTTTTGAAGCGGATTATTACTGGGGACGAAAAATGGGTTGTATACAACAATGTTAAACGCAAGAGGTGATGGAGCAGAAAAGATGAACCGGCTCAAAGCGTGTCAAAAGCCAACATTCACCAAAAAAAGGTGATGCTCTCCGTTTGGTGGGATGTCAAAGGAATCGTTTTTTTTTGAGCTTTTGCCGGACAATACAACGATTAATTCAGAAGTCTATTGTCATCAACTGGACAAATTGAATGATTCACTTAAAGAGAAGAGGCCCGAATTAATCAACAGGAAGGGTGTAGTGTTCCACCACTCGCCAAAAACTTTTACAACTTGAATGGGACGTACTGCAACATCCACCATATTCTCCAGATCTGGCGCCTTCCGACTACTATTTGTTCCGGTCCTTGCAAAATTTTTTGGATATCAAAACCTTTACCTCAAATGAAGATGTCAAAAACCACCTGAACCAGTTTTTTGCCAGCAAGGACCAAAACTTTTATGAGAGGGGAATTATGTTACTGCCAGAAAGATGGCAAAAGGTGTTGGACCAGAATGGCCAATATATAATTTAATAAAATATTTATTCATTATACGAAAACTGTCTTTCATGTTCCCCAAAAAAAACGAAATGACTCCGAACAACCCAATACTGTTACACGTTCTTTGGAAGGTCAAAATAATAAGTTCTTTCCTAGGTAGAACTACAGCAGCACCAACAGATATTTAACCTTCAGTGGTAGCCGAAACAACATAATAAGTTATACAGAAGCCTGGCACAGAATAACCAGCGGTTTATAAACAGAACTTAAGGCACAGTAACATATTGTCAGCAAGTGCTTCTGATTTAAATTTTCTTTCGATTTTACAGTTATTTAAACTTTTCCTGTAGTTATTCTATTAATAATTGACAATATTTTATCCTATTATAAATGAACATTTTTTTATTGGTTTCATCTTCTTTTTTGCAATTTTTAAAGGTGGTGATCCTATTTTTTATTTTTTTTTCAAAGAAACTTCCACGGACTTTTTACTTTGCGTCGGTTTTTTGCCAATCATCCTGTTGGCTTCTTCAGAGCTTGACTGAAACTGGCTCGCATTTTACTCTGTACCTGCGTCCTTCTGCAAATATTTCAGCGTTTTGCTTCTCTAAGCGCTATAGCTATTTTTTTTCCCGAATTTTTGCCCGTAAATCGGCGCAAACAGTTTGTTTTTATGAACTTAATGGTCTAACCCCCATTGAAAATGTAAATAAAGTCGGATTCACGAAATGTGAGTCTAAAAGTTAAATATAACTTTGAGGTACAGTCTGTTCATAGATATAAGAAAGTGACTAACTGATACGAATTAAGGAAAGACCCGGGCAAGCTGTAAGAATGAAATATGGCCGAAAATAAAATTACAAATTATTTTTATTACCTACTTAAATTACTTAAAATTATCCACATGATATATCAGTATCACTATCGCTATCATCATATTATTTGCAATATGGATATATGATTGTTCTGCTTTTTCTATATGTTTAACAGAATGTGCCCAACTTTGTGGAGGGATGTTAAAAACTTCGGTTTCTATAAGTTTAAGGATATTGGAGTTAACACGGGGAAAAACATCGTTACGTCGAATGGCAGATTTCAGTTGGTGCCAAACATGTTCAATGGAATTAAATATACAGTGGTAAACTAATGTCCTAGATTTATTGCATAATTATCATCCTTTTGTAGGTTCAAGCTTTGTAGAACCTGAACAGTAGCTTGTTGGTATAATCTTCGTGAAAATAAATGTCATTATTAAATATTTCCGGGCTTTTGAGCCGTGGTCCCGAGATTAAACTCGACGTTTCGTCTACAACTGCGGTAGACATTTTCAAGAGCGGCGTTGCGGTAACGGTCGAAGTGTTCTTCCGTACTGCTCTCCGATGACTCGTTGGTTGACCGGAAGATCTGCCGTATTTAAGCGCGTTGTAGTGGGCGTGACCTCGGTGGCGGGCTTGGGTTGAGCTTGTCTGGGTAAACACGTTGTTTTGTTGATGACCTGAGTCCATGTTTTACTGATATTGAGACCTTCTTCTTTTCTATTGAAATTATTCTGATGTTTTTGAATTTCAATAGCTTCTCTGAAAAGACGTGGATAAAAATGTGGTGTTTTGTCCAGTACCTGCGTGTCTTTGAACATGATACGATGGTCACCTTTGTAAAAAGCATGTTCTGCCACTGCTGATTTTTTCGTGTGTCCAAGCCGGCAGTTCCTTTTATGTTCCTTTAGCCTTGTTTCAATGCTTCTCTTTGTGGTACCTATATATACCGAGCCACAGGAACACGGAATGCGGTATATCCCTGGTGAAGAAAAGGCGTCCCTTGTATCCTTGGCAGACCTGAGGCTTTGTCTGATTGTAGTCGTTGGTTTAAAGGCGACCCGAACGTTGTGTCGTTCTAAATGTTTACCGATCCTGTCTGTGACGTTCTTAATAAAAGGAAATGATACATTCCCTTGAACAAGTTGACGGTGTAGCCATGGGAAGCCCATTAAGCCCGGTCATAGCAAATTTTTTCATGGAAAAGTTTGAACAGCAGGCATTAAATACTGCCCAAAAGAAGCCCAAGTGTTGGTTCCGCTACGTGGACGACACATTTGTAATATGGAGCCACGGCGAAAAGGAGCTTCAAATCTTCTTGGCGCATCTCAATTCCATTAACAATAAAATAAAATTTACCATGGAGACAGAAAAGGACGGTAGGTTGGCATTCTTAGATGTGCAGGTAGAAAGGCGACCAAATGGAAAATTGGGTCATAAAGTTTATCGAAAACCCACTCACACGGAACGTTACCTGAACAAAATATATAATCACCATCCGAGACAGAAAATGGGGGTAATAAAAACCTTAATGACAAGGGCTAATCGGATTAGCGAACCCAAGTACCTACGTGAAGAGATTAATCACTTGACCGATTCCCTGAAAAATAACGGATATACCACCTCTGAAATACAAAAAGCTATGAAAAATAGAAGATCTAAGACAAGAGATACGACAAAGGAACCTCAAGGGAATGTATCATTTCCTTTTATTAAGAACGTCACAGACAGGATCGGTAAACATTTAGAACGACACAACGTTCGGGTCGCCTTTAAACCAACGACTACAATCAGACAAAGCCTCAGGTCTGCCAAGGATACAAGGGACGCCTTTTCTTCACCAGGGATATACCGCATTCCGTGTTCCTGTGGCTCGGTATATATAGGTACCACAAAGAGAAGCATTGAAACAAGGCTAAAGGAACATAAAAGGAACTGCCGGCTTGGACACACGAAAAAATCAGCAGTGGCAGAACATGCTTTTTACAAAGGTGACCATCGTATCATGTTCAAAGACACGCAGGTACTGGACAAAACGCCACATTTTTATCCACGTCTTTTCAGAGAAGCTATTGAAATTCAAAAACATCAGAATAATTTCAATAGAAAAGAAGAAGGTCTCAATATCAGTAAAACATGGACTCAGGTCATCAACAAAACAACGTGTTTACCCAGACAAGCTCAACCCAAGCCCGCCACCGAGGTCACGCCCACTACAACGCGCTTAAATACGGCAGATCTTCCGGTCAACCAACCAGTCATCGGAGAGCAGTACGGAAGAACACTTCGACCGTTACCGCATCGCCGCTCTTGAAAATGTCTACCGCAGTTGTAGACGAAACGTCGAGTTTAATCTCGGGACCACGGCTCAAAAGCCCGGAAATATTTAATAATGTAGTTTCTGGCCGTGAAATCCTAACATCTTTGATAAAATAAATGTCGTTATTATACATGTAGTTTTGGATTGTTGCTTTTGTGTCACATGAGGAAGGGGTTTTAGTCAACCGTTTACTATGATAACTTGCCTTGTCCATTACAATGACGCTATTAGGATGAATGTTTGGAACTAGTTTGTTTTTAAACCAACTTTCAAATAAACCAGAGGTTGGGTCTTCATGGTAATCCAGAGAAGAATCTTTAATCTTTTTTGCAGAAAGAGAAAGTCCATTTGGAATCAACCATCTTTAGAGCCAGCATGCAAAGTAATAATTCTTTTACCTCTTTTTGATGGCGCGTTTGTTTTACACTTATCAGTTGAGCCAAGCCAACCCTTTTCCGGGGTATCATAAGGGTCGAACCAGGTTTCATCCAAGTAAATAATTGGCCTTTGTTGTTCTCTGCAAATCCAAATTTTTTCTAGATTTTCCAGTGGCCATTTCCGAATTCTAAAAGATTCCATTAAAACTTGCCTTTTGTCATTTTTTTTTAAATCTAAAACCCACTTCCATAAGGTAGTTCTGCCACATTTAACACCCGTTTCATCTTTTTCAAGCCTCCTAATTAAGATATCTAATGTAGACACGCTTTATTCCTCGTATAACTGGTAAATTTTACGCCGTATTATATTTTGATCACTTTCATCTGCACTCGAGAAAATGTCAGCGTCGCTTCTTTTTTTCCTCGCTGAAATGGGATTATTCACAATTTTCCATGCAGGTGATGTTGGAATTTTCGTCAATGTGGCCGTTCAATGAGAGTCAAATAAACATTGTCTATAACTTCCTCAATAGAATAGTGTTTTCTACATTTGGGCGGGAGCATCTCCTGATATACACTAGACTCGAACATATTTTGCATAAGTCGCACACGATTCAACACACGCTGTATTACACACGAAATAAGAATGGTTACTAATAAACTAAATTAAAAAAAAAAAAAAAAAAAAAAAAAAACTAAGCAGTATACCAAACCAAAGAATATTAAACACAGGCAGGTATAAAATTATTTTCTATTACAGACCACAATTTTACCTGAATTTAAATTCCGAAACTTTAGGTGATAATCTTAATCTTAATGACTACCCATGGATAATCCCATTCAAAAGCAATTGGTCACTTTCTTATATCTGTGAACAGACCATAACTAGCAACTAGTTTTTGTGTGTCAGATCAAAAAAACAATCGTTTTTTTTTTGTCCACCCACCTTGATTGTTTTCTTCATAGTCCGAATCAGAAACGTGAGTGACGGACTCTACGTCAGTGTCCGGACCGTGCGAGGTCTGATGCTCGTCCGATTGTTCCGCTATGGGATACACGATCTCCGAGCCGTAATAGGGGCACAAATTCAAATGCTGATTCCTCACCAAGCTAGTGCTCGGGGGCGGCAGCGGATTTTTCCCGTTCTTGCATCCTATTACCTCCAAGCTGTTGGGATGGGCTTGTAACGTGGGCGGAGGACAACAAACCTCCAGGGCGGCGGACTTGAACCTTCTCACCCTCTTAAAGAAGTTTTCAGAGGTCAAAGCTTGGTTCGGGTTCATATCGACGTAAGCCAATTCCAACGAACCGGTCGCTTTGATATCCGTTTCGGCGGTCACGGGCAAGAAGTTCGGGCTGCTGCCCGCAAAATTGGAATGCCTCCTGCCCGCGCCACCAGGAAGAACGTTATCCTGATCGCAGGAATCGGCAACCGAAACCGGCTCTTTGTGCCTCTCTGACGTGTTAGTTTCCAGAGTCGCTATACCGGCTTCGCTGCTCTCCGAAGAGTTTTTCCTATGAACTTCAACTTTTAGGTCTGAAATGAAACGTTATAGACGCGTGTAAGCCACCGATGGTTGCAAAAAAGTACCTATGGTGCCGGGAAACTTTTTCTCGCAATCGACAACAGTGTCCAGCGGGTGCAGTTCGGTGGATTCCAGGCTATCGGTGCTGGGTATGATTCTAACTTCATCGAAGCCGGGCAAGGAAGACGAGGGTTGATTTTGCCCCGTCCTACCGGACATGTCCTGCAGTTCGATATCCGTATCGGTCCTATTACTTAAATAAAACAAGTGTTGAAAACGTCAGGAACGTTTTGCGCCCATTTTACCTCAGCACAAAAGCAATGTTCGCTAAATCGACGGTTTTGTTGCTGCTTTTGGAGGACAGATCTTGCAGTTCGATGCCCTCTTCCTCCCTGAAATTTAACGGCAAATTCCGTAGTCAGTACAACCAATTTTTTTTTTATTTTAATTAATAACTACTAGAACTATAGAGGCCCTGCTTATGCTGACAGTACTTATGAAGAAACTATGTAAATTTTGTTTTAAGAAGGTCCATTCATCGTGCGCACGCGCGAGATTTAAAATTTCGTATTTAACCAATGACAAATTCTGTCGTAGGACCCATAAGGCCTTGCGGCTTTCAACGAACAACATGGCCGCTGATAGATCGTCGATGTTTGTATGCGTACTTTTGTACAAAAATATCATAGCCACCTGCTGATGACACCGCAGTTGTTTATAGTAAACTGGACCGAACTGAAGTTACTCATGAAACAGGACTTTATCACGCACTTGTTACTTTCGAAAATCGATGAAATCGAATTTTTCGAAAGTATCTGAGCTCGTTTAAAAATTTTATATCTCGGTAACGGTAGGTTCTATGGGATCGCCGTTGGTACAGAAATGATCACCGTCGAAAAAAACAAATTTTTTTGTCTGTCCGTTTTCCGTTCTCGTCTTTTGGTTTTTCCTGGATAACTTTCCAACCGCTGGAGCTACGAAATTGAAATTTGCATTGTTTTTAACCCTCCACGAAGCACATAAGTTTATAAGAAATGATCCGACGCCGGTATCCATCATTTTTTCGCGATTTTCGACTGGTTTTTGGACCTTGCTATGCAACACGATAAGCCTCCGAAATTTGAAGTGATCGACTTCATATTTGGCACATATATGCGGCTTTGCCCCGTGACGGAACCTATAGAAAATAGGGGGGCTGGGGGGTTGGGAAATATTAAAAAAAAAATCGCACGGTTTGCAAGACCGAAAAAATTCTTGAACCAGAAGACGCAAAGGAAACGACCCGATAAACTTTTATTCTAGAAATTTTTTCAAAAATATAGAGGGTGCGCCGCAAATTAAAAAAAAAACTGAAAAATGGGTCCCCCTATTAGTGAAAATTGCAAATCTGTGTTTTAGATGTCAGTTTCTTTTACATGACGATATAGCCCATACAGACAGCTTAAACTTTTGTATTTACGGTTTTTAAGTATTGTACACGGTGTTCGCGATATTCCGTGCAATATTAAAAAACATAATAAGTACTCCAAATTTGCAGGTACCGACTTCAGACTTGGGAGAGAAGTTGAAGTCTGGACCCGCATTCAGACTCTTTAAATTGGGAGCAATAAAATAACGCGAAGTTTTTTTTTTAATTTTTTAATTTTTTTTTGTGGTTATTTTGGCATCCAGGTTTTCGTCTATCTCATACGCTGTTCGAGATATTTGCAAAAATCTAAATGAAAATCGTCATTTCTCGCCCTCAATCTAGACGCGATGACGTCATTTACTATTACCAAGTACTGCATGGTTTCAGAAAGCAAGTATTTTTTTGAAAACCATTTACAAATTTTTAAATAGGCTTATTTGACTTTAAAGAGCCTACGACATTTGAACTATCAACTTGCGTTTATTTGAAACTAAATCTTAATAAGCCTTTTACTGCTACTTCAGTACAGAAAATTTATATTTTAATAATTAAATTGCTGTTAAAAAATTTATGAACAATAATTGCTATATCCATTTTATTGTATAATACACAAATTATAAACTTCACTAGTGTGCAAATAACAAAAACATTTAGTTTAATTTGTCAACTATACTCCATTTCTAATCAAAAAACCTATTTATAGAGTTGTAGCGTGATTACTTTTATTCTTTCTATTGTATGCAAAAACCATCAGAAACTTGTTTAATCATCACTTGCAAAATTTACATTATACTCTGCGGCATTAAGAAACTATTTTTACCTTTTTTGGCCATTTGCGGACGTAAACTCCCTGACACATTCTTTGGTATCGTAGACGTGATGCAAATAATAGTTGGCAAACTTAACGAACGCAAATGCGATGGCAACCAAAGAACAATAAACGTACCATACAGCTTTGTTCGGCGGCAGATACTAAAATTAATTTATTACACAAATAATTTCACTTATAAACGGACCAAATATACTAGATCAACTTACTACATATATCGAAAAGGGTAGGCACAATAGAAACATCCAAATATATAAGTGAGCCGTGTTGCTGAATACATCTTGACTCGGGTCGTAAAACCAGCCCCCTGTTATCGACGCCCAAACTCCTTGTCTCAAAATTTCCAAAGTTTGGGACCCCATCGACTGCTCTTCCCACATTATAACTGCTATTCAAGTCATTTCTAGTATGGCGATCGAATTGTTTGAAATGTACGAAACAAATGCAATGTTATTTATGCTAAGGGTTTACTATTTTGGACATTTTCTCCTTAGACAAAAATGTATTGTTAGCAATAACATACAAAAACACAATGTGTTCATACCATAGATAAATCACTATGGTCGACAGAAAACATATGATGCTAAGATCAAAAAAGGTACCGGAAAAATAGAAGCCACTTGCCACAATTTTGCATTTTAACGGTTTTTTTTTGTGCCAGTACTTTATCAAGCAAGCAACTTACAAGCAGGTATTAAAAACTGACACAGAATATTCATAGTGGGAATCGAACACACAACCTACTGCAAGTCTAGTTGGCTTTGCCAACTGAGCCATCCTCTGCCTCATTTCAACTGGGTTATCCCCCAAAAAGTCGTTATGTAACGATGCCGATCGTTAATTAAATCAAAGTTTAAAAATATATAATACGTTAGGTCAGTCGAGATTAGTTACTAAATAAACAAAGAGAAGTGGTTAATTAGTATATTATGCAACAAGTGCGGTAAACGGCTTTGACACACGAATTTATTTAACACGAGAGGAGTGCAGCGGAGCGAGTTTTTAATACCGTGCTGCATACTATACTTTTTCCACGGCCGTTAGTTTTTGGTTATTTACATTTTCGCAAAACAACACAAATACATTCACTGATACGACCGTCAGAATTGACAAACGTCAAAATTCAAAGCTTGGGAAATATCTCCGAAAAGATCCGATTGCTCCCAAACCCGTGCGACAAAATCCCGCAAATGTCCGAAGTGGCTCGGATTCGTGGGAAACGAAACTGACGTCGTAAAGCGTCGCTTCCCGCACGCTGGATCGGTCCGTAATTAGGTATTTTATACACGGGACTAGAAAATAGTATAATATGCAACAAGTGCGGTAAACGGCATTTGACTCACGAGTTTATTTGACACGAGCGGAGTGAGTTTTTAATAAACGAGTGACTTAAAAAGTTTAACGAACGTGTTGCATAGTATACTTTTTCTACGACCGTTAGTTTTTGGGTACATTATCGAAAAACACGAATACATTCACTGACATGACTATCAGAATTGACAAACATCAAAATTCAAAGCGTGGGAAATATCTCCGAAAACATCTGATTGCTCCCAAACCCGTGCGGTAAAATCCCGGAAATGTCCGAAGTGGCTCGGATTTGTTGGAAACGTAACTGACGTGGTAAAGCGCACGCTAGATCGGTGCGTAATTAGATATTTTATAGATGGGAGTAGAAAAAAGGCATTTTCTAACCTTAGCCACTTTAGCCTAGTGTTAAGTGGATAAATTATATGCAAAAATATAGTGTCTTTATTCGCTTGTTTTATTACAGTTTTTGTTAGCATTTTTGAACACTTATTCCAGAAGGTTGCAGCATTTTTTAAGTTGTGCTGGATAGATTAGCAGTCTGTGGTCACAGTATATTTTCCAAAACGACAATTTTATCATCTTAAGGGTTAATCTGTCAATTTAACAATACGGAATTCGGAACATGTAGGATGGCCGCGACGCGAAATATCGTAGCTAAATTAAATAACAGGCACTTTTCCGTATTTGTTGTCCCACAAATTGGGAGGACGACGCGATTCTACCAACATTATCCAAATCTACGAGCTTGCGATGTGTCCTTCCTGAATTATCCTCAACAAAGTAAGTTATTTAACCTCGATTTTGTTCGCAGTTCCGCTAGCCCGAGATCTATTTCGTTCGTACGTTCTAGGCTTGGTAGCTAGTCATAGAACGTTTCATACCGGTTCGAATCTAAACGCAAGACGTGACTATTACGAAATACTAGGAGTAGGCAAAAATGCATCCGCATCGGACGTTAAGAAAGCGTATTACAAACTTGCTAAAAAGTACCACCCGGACGTAAACAAGAACGACCCAGAAGCACAGAGAAAGTTTCAAGAAGCTTCCGAGGCTTATGAGGTACATTTGTTGTCCTTTCTTTTAAAAGGGGCCCGACTAGGAAAGATATTATTTAGATTCTGAGCGACGATACTAAACGCAAGCAATATGACACGTGGGGCTCTACTGCGGAACAAATGGGCGCGGGCGCAAACGCCGGTAGGGCATCGGGACCTCAAGGGTTCAGCCAGTCCTGGTCTTACCAGTCCACAATCGATCCCGAGGAGTTGTTTAGAAAAATTTTCGGCGAGGCTGGTTTCGGCAAAGGCTCTTCTCCGTTCGAGGACTTTGCCGAGTCGAGATACGGTTTCGGCGAAGCTCAGGAAGTGGTTTTAAGGATATCTTTTAGTCAGGCGGCGCGGGGCACCAACAAAGATGTCACTATTAATGTTGTAGACACTTGTCCCAAGTGTAACGGCAGTAGGTGCGAGCTCGGTACCAAAGCGACTAAATGTACCTTCTGCAATGGTACCGGCATGGAGAACATCACCACGGGACCTTTTATCATGAGGTCAACGTGTCGGTATTGTCAGGGCACTAGGATGTACATCAAACACAAATGCATAGAGTGCGAGGGCAAGGGCTCGACGGTGCAGAGGAGAACCGTCACCATACCGGTCCCCGCGGGTCAGTTTTCATTAATTTGTTTAAATAATGACGTAGTATAATTTAGGCGGGATTTTCAGGTATCGAGGATGGTCAAACTGTGAGAATGTCGTTGGGCAACAAAGAACTGTTCGTTACCTTTAGGGTGGACAAGTCTGATTACTTCAAAAGGGACGGTTCCGATGTTCACACAGAAGCGGAAATATCCGTTGCGCAAGCTTTATTGGGAGGTTCCATTAGGATTCAAGGACTGTATGAGGACCACGTCCTCCAGGTAACCTCGAACAATTAACAAGGAGCAGATGTTAATAGGTTATGTACATGCAGATAAAACCGGGAACTTCGTCGCACACTCGAATTAGACTGTCCGGAAAGGGCATGAAAAAAGTGAACGGATACGGCAACGGGGATCACTACGTGATGCTGAAAATCAAGGTGCCCCAAAAGTTGGACGAAAAACAGAAAGTCCTGGCCATAGCGTACGCGGAACTCGAGAAAGACACTCCGGGCCAGATATTTGGGATCGCCCAAAGAACAGACGGTGAGTTCGAAAAATCATAACCAAACCGATACGATTTTTGAATGTTTCAATTGGGCGCATTGACGAGCTTCTGTTTTTGTTTCTCGACAGGAGAGAAAGGAGAAATGCCGTTCGCTGGGTCAGAGGCCCAATCGAAACATTCAGAAGAGAAAGAGGGAATTTTGGCAAAAATAAAACAGGCCCTTTTCGGATAATTCCCGTGGCGCTCTATAGAATTTTTAAGGCTAAAGTATGACGCCGATTCCGTTAATAAAATACATGTTACCGATTTCGTATTTTATTTGAAGCGAAATGAAATTTGTTGTTAGGTTCGAAAGCGCATCTCCACAAGGAACAAAGCGCCACTCTCGATGCGATTAGATTAATTTTGGAAGGTAAGGAGGTAATTCGAAGTGATAGTAATACTGATTCGACGAAAAACGATAGGAAGACCGAGGTGAGCGACGGTGTGGAAGAAGACGCGGAAATTCGGCGGTTAAAAAAGAAGAATTAAGATTCCACTTAAAGATAAGCGAGTCGATTGTAAATAAATCTTAAAAAGTTCTTGCCTTTTCGTTTTTGTCACGGACTTTCCTCTAATCCGACTTTCGGGATCGATTCATTGTTACAAATAACCATTCAACTAAACCAATGAGAATACACCTAAAAGAAACTGATATTTGACGTATGTTTACGGATTAACAGATGGAATACATTCTAAACGTACATCGACATCATTGCCGTACTTGATCCATGACCATGTGACATACTTTGCCCCACTGTATAGTAGTCGGCAGAGTAGGGCAGACCATCAAAATCGAACTTGATTTGTTTTAAAAATATAAACTTTATATATATTATGTTTTTTACATTATTACATACAGGAAATACGATGGCACTAAATACACAGAAATTATCAATAATTCTGTACGATTTTGTTCAAAATTAAATTGTTTCTCTCCCGGACTCGTGACCCACAAAACTGCAGAATTGAGAATCTTGAATTTTTGAAATTTACAGGAAAATCATTAATTCCTTTTTTTATTACATTTATTATGGCTGTAACATTTGCCACTCTTAAATTTGATTTTACTTGGTGCAACAAATGTTCTGCAGGGTTGAGTATTGCTTTAAATGGCATATGAACTTCCGTAGAACTGGAAAAACTATGCATTTTTTTTAAAGTTCCATTCATTATGCCCAAGACTTAAAATTTTGTTTTTAAACAACGATCTTCCGGCATTCAACTACCAAGATGGCCGCCGTGTGAATGCGGTATTTTTGCGGAAGTATTTTCTCAAAATATGTCCAGAACCCATAAAATCTTTAAGCGAAACTAAGTGCGTGAATATCGTTATTTAGAAAGCAAATGGCGCGAAGTGCATGTTTCTAAGTGCAATTTGAGCGCACGCATGTAAGATCTCTTCGCATACATTTTTACAGTAGTAGGGCCACTACATTATCTCTATAACCTTATTTCATAGCCCTCTGAGGTTTATCGATGTTATGGTAATTTTCGCCATAGTTACATACAAACTAGATCAGAACTTAATTTTATGTACAATCTTGACATCGAAGTAACGTCTAGCCAGCCGGCGAACTTAGCTCCCGAAACTATCGACATGTCTTTAGTAGGCCCTTCAAACGTAAAACTAGTTTAAATAATTTACCTGCATATAGATAATATAGTGACCCCACTGCGGATCCGCCCGTTTTCCGAGAACATTTAATGATATTTTATAAAAATGCTGCATTCAAAATTATGTTGGTTGTCAAGGTCGTTGGTTAAAAACGAAATTTTAAATCTCGAGCATGTTGATTCTCATTTTTTTCATATTTGCTTCAAGAAGAAACAATTCGGGAGCAAAGCAGGCGAGAAGTTTTTTAGGATTGACAGCGATAGATGGCGCTCGTTTAGCAGTAGTCTTACCTGTGTCAGTTTTATTTCCCTTGGTATGGCCCAGGAAGAAAACAAAAATGTTTGAATATTGTAATATTTAATCCGGGTCTTTTCTATTGGGTGGACCAATATGTAAAAATATACAATCACCTGGATATAACTTTTTTAATAAAAAAAAATTAAAGGTAAAAAAATTACTGAACAGGATTTTGAAGCATATCTGCATAGGCACCACTCAATAGATCTGATTCAGCGATCCCCAAGCTGTTCATAATATTCTGAACAATCTTTTGACCATCATCAAGAGATTGGTCATCATTCAACATACACTGGAAATCACAAATTCAATGACAAAAATAGAGATGCTTTAGAATCACAAACCTCTAATTCCATAAAATCTCCAAGCCCTTCCACGTGGTCAATGTGAACCCTCGTCTGACCTACGATATACAAATATCTGGTTTTCTTAACATGGACCTTTGAACCCAAAGCCTTGTCTAACACCCTGTGAAGGCTTTCGACATTTTCACTAGCCACCGCGGATTTTTCGTAAGAACTCAACTTGGGCCCTTCTACATCCGGCCGATGGTAATAAATTATTTCCGCACCCTGTAACCGCCAACATTACCAATAACGCGACTTGAAAATGGCAATCTACTTATTACTTGTTCCATTCTCCGAAGTTTAAGTCTGCCGTTCGGCGCATTGTAAAACGTATCGTGCTGTTTGATCAGAGTTCCCTCCGATCCCGCTAGCTTTTTCGCTTTTTCAATCAGGCGGACCATGTCTCCAACCTTAGCTTTAATTTCGATGTTTCTCATTCTCCTAGCAAGTACTCGCCCGAAACTTTTTTGTTTTGCAAAAACGATAAAATTCACACGCACCAGCGAAAAAAACACTAGCTACTAACAGACAAAACTAATCTAATCCATATGCTTAAAAACTGATACCCGGCTTCGCGATCATATGTTGCGAATAATGCGTAGTATAGAAGTTGGTCGAAATTAATTTAAAACGATCACTTCAAAACAAAGGCGGTTTATTTCAAACAACAAATTTTACAATATTTATTGTCATTTTCTACAGAATTCGGACCTCCGCACAATCTATTGAATAACCAAACTTCTTTTGGTGACATTTCCTCTGAATACAATTAAACGACTTCTGTTTTGTGATATTCGTATTTGCTGGTTGTTATTTTCATCGTGCACAGAACTTAAAACTAGACTTGCTTTAGTACGCTCTAACCAAAGGTTTCTAGTTTTTCATTACTAAAATCTTAATAGTAGCGAACTTAATTAATTTTTTTTTTGGTTGGCATTTCTAACGTAGTAGTGCTTATATTTATTACCTTCCCAACTATTGGCAACACCGCTGTCAGCTGGAACATGCAACCGTTTTTGCTTTGTTTTCGATTAGTTACATCATATATTTACTAGAGACGCCGAAGCTCTGTCTATACCAGTAATAGAGGAACTTAAAATTTTGTTTTTAACCAATGACCTAGCGGCATTCAACATTCGAAATGCATGATTGTTATGGCATTATTTTCTCAAAATGTGGCTAGTTCCCGTTGAATGAGTTGAGTATGTGGCAATCGCGGGGTTTCTGGATGTTCTATCTCTCTTCATGAGTGAATCAGTTGCTCTTATTCCTGTATACATAATTTTTTTCAATCCAATTCAATTTTCTGCGATGCTAAAGTGTTAAAAACCATTATAGACTTATTCTGAATAGTTTATGATGTTATCCACATTAAAGCTGGGGAATTATTTATTTAGTAGTTATCTTGCCCTTTGTTTTTAATTTTTAACATTCTTATCCCATAAAACTAATTTGTATATTATGATCAAATTTAATGCCTGATAAATCCGAAATTAAATTTGATAATACTTACCTTAACATTTTATCTCTCCTATCTTTTGTGATTGAAGTAAGTTGAGTACAAAACATTTAAGAATTATAAAACACCCTTGATAAGTGATATAAAAGGGGCAAAAGGCAATTAACTGATAACAGTTTATTAACTAATTTTAATTAACCTTCCAGAAACACAATTTCGAATCATCTCCGACACAAATCAGTGGGTAATGGTAATGCCATTGAATATTTGTCGGAAGACAGACAGAAACGCTCAGTTTGATGGTCTGCGTCTTGATATGAAAAACTTTTAATGAACCCTCCAAACTATTTACCGTTGCATAAAGTTCTTCGTGCGGAGAAAATCTGACTTGACCCCCGTTCTCCGAAAACACTAAATTGCTCTGCTGTGGTAAACTGAAAAGAGCAAGAAAGTTAATCTGGTCACTTTTGGTTCAAAACTACTTACCATGGTTTGCTCAGATCCCAAAATAGCACTTCACCGAGCTGCAGCGATGCCAACACTAGGCTTTCGCTCGGACACCAATGCACCGAAGTTAGGGACTTTGCAAAATCCAATGACAAAATCGGAGTCTCCGATTCCACATTGTAAAATTTTATTAAACCAATTTTTTCCCCCACGAGCAGTTTTCTGGCGTCAGCTGCGTGCCATGCCACGGCAACTACAGCCGAGCTCAAATGCAAAGTCAGTTTTAGGTTATACTTTCCAACGTACCATACTCTAGCAGTGTTATCATCACTGCCTGAAGCTAGATATTTGTTTTCTGTATTGAACGAGACATCGTTGATGTAGCTGGTGTGTCCACTCAGGACCTGTATGGGAAAATCGCAACAGTATATTAAAGCAAAAACTGTGTTACTTACTCGACACACGCTTTTATCCTGCAGGTCACCTTGAAAGACTCGAATTTTATAATCAGCCGCTCCGGAACAAAATAAAACTTCATTGGGTACCACATTAAGCGATGTATTAGGTGAAAGACTTAGGCATGTGCATCGGGCTGGGTGACCAAACTCTGCAAGTTTGGTTACCTGCAAGGATTCCTAAAAAACCTACCATGTTCTTACAACAATTTACATTGTAACATGGAGCTTGTTTACTTGCAAGGTAGATTTGGTTAAAAGAATCCTATGTTCAAAAGCCACTAATATAATCTCTTTCGTCCACTCGAATGGCGAGCAAAGTATCTGATATATTTTTCCATATTCTGAAAAATCCTTAACGTACGCAGGCTCATTGACTTTCGCTGTTTTCCGTTCTAAAATACTCATTGTAACTCGAAGCAGCGCCAAAACAAAAAATGTCATAGACCAAAGGAAATAGACGTTGGCATCACGGATAGTCAACTCTTAAAAACTTGACATTCCCGTCTACCAAATGGCCATTAAACATTACGGACGCTGTGAAAACCAGTAATTTAATTACTTTTGATTCGATTACTGTCATCTATTTCAAAAATATTGTTATAAACATCTCCATTTGTTACCTATTTTCGGCATGGGCAATTGACCCTGGCTACCCATTTGCAATTGTTTAAAAATAATAAAGAAGAACCTGTGTTCTTTGGTCAAAAGGGTGGACAAATCAGTGGAAGAAAATGAGAGAAAGGTGGTGAGTGTCGGTTCTATTGTAGTGTAGTAAGTGGGCGTTTTTTTCCACTTAATAGTAGCCGCATTAATTTCCTCCTTATCCCGGAAAGTAAGTGCAACATTATACTGGGCGTTTCGTCATATTTACCCTCGAAACCCGTTTTAAGTTTTAGTTGTATCAAGCACAAACCGTAACGCCGAAATATGGCGTGGAGATTTAAGGCTTCCAAGTACAAGAACGCCACACCAATTGTGCCAAAACCGGAAACTTACGTTCGTGATATTAGCGTGGGGTCATATCAAACCTATGGGAATAACATTAAAGCCTCGGCCAAATTTATGGCCTTCAACTGGGACCACGTAGGCTCGAGCTTGGCCGTTTTGCCTTTGGACGACTGCGGCCGAAAAGGCAAACTAATGCCTTTGCTACACGCACATTCCGATACCGTGACTGATATGGATTTTTCCCCGTTTGACGATGGAATGCTAGCCACTGGATCTCAAGACTGCTTAGTTAAGATTTGGCACATTCCCTCTGAAGGTTTAACAGTGAGCAGTTTTATTTGTTTATGACCAACTTCTTTTAATTTAGTTTCTATGCATTTGTTCTTTGCCTGTAAAGTACTGTCTCTTCATGATATTTACATTCACTGTACTCCCTATCAGCCATTAGGTGCACACTTCGCACAACAAGATCTGATGAATGCTATTCTTCCATTTTTTTAAACTCTTATCTTATCAATAGGAAGGGAATTGCAAATGTTTAATAAATAAATTTAATTGCAAGTTTTAAAACAGCTTTGGAGGTTTTTAGTATAAAACAGGTAGGGATTTAAAAGTATTTAAAAAAGGTAATGATTTGGATATTGCACGTGGATTGTTATTAAAAAATTAATAAGATTGTTAGGTTTTCTCCCCATAAAGGGAGATTTTGTTGTGAACTTGTTTGAGGCTGGTGGCAAATTTTCATTTTCCTTTTATTTATTTTAATAATTTAGTTAAGTTTAATTTAATACATACCAGTAATTTGAACTAATTGCTAAAAAAAATGTTTAATATTCTTACCAATAAGATAAAATTTTTATTAATTCAATTATGAAACAATCAATATAATTTAGTTGTTTTTTGTAACTTTTTTACACTTTTTGTTGATTGTAAAAAATGTAAAAAACCGTGTACTTTGTATATTAAACACTGTGGTGGATTTCATGGTCTACGCTAACATTGGGTATTAAAGTAGAATTTTTTTTAGGAGTCTGTTAGCAATGCACAGTGTATTTTTTCTCACAAGCAACGCCGTGTTGAGACTGTCGGCTTCCATCCTACCGCCGATTTTCTATTACATTCCTCATCTTTTACCACTTTGACTTTGTGGGACTTGATATCGGAAACAGAGTCGTTTTCGAACTCCGATCACGACGAAGTGATCCAGTCGGTTAGCTGGAAACAGGATGGCACCCTGCTAGGAACATCCTGCAAGGACAAACAGGTGGGGAACTTGTCGGTAGCTTTAAGTTGAAAAATTTACTATGGTATTTTCTAGGTTAGGATCTTCGATCCTAGAGCGAACGTTCCTTGTGTTAAACAAGCCGACGGCCACCAGAGTATAAAAGATTCCCGCTTAGTGTGGTTAGGAAACCAAGATCGAATACTGACCTCAGGTTTCAATGCACAAAGACTGAGACAAATACTGATCAGGGACTTAAGAAACTTTAAGGAGCCTGAAAAAGTGCTGGAACTGGATTGTTCAACGGGGATACTGATGCCTCTGTATGATGCCGACACCGGAATGTTGTTTTTGGCCGGCAAGGGAGATAATACCATAGGTTACATGGAAGTGACCGATAAGGAGCCCTTCCTTGTGGAAGGTATACGTCATTCCGGCGAACAGACCAAAGGGGCATGTCTCGTGCCCAAGAGGGCTCTAAACGTGATGCAGGGCGAAGTGAACCGGATCCTGCAGCTGACCAGTTCGTCCGTCATACCCGTCACTTACCAGGTGCCAAGGAAAACATATCGGTTGGTTGAAAATTTCCTTTTAGGGTAAATTTTACGTCGAAGCGGATTTTCAGGGATTTTCATGTGGATTTGTTTCCCGAAACGCCCGGTTTTCGGACGGAATTAATAGCGTCCGAGTGGTTGGCCGGTGTCAACATGCCTCTTCCGAAAATCAGCTTAGATCCGGCCAAAAGGATTAAGGGCGGGGAACCGCTGACGGTTCATCGCGGTCCTTTGGCAGAGTTAAAAGAACTCTACAAAAATAGAGCCAACAAAGAGCCGGCTGTTGAGAAGGTAAATCCGTCTGCGGTTCAAGAGGAAAGGCATCCCATCAGGAATATTGTCAAGACTTTGGAAAAGGACAGCGAACCGAAAAACAGTATCATCAGGAAGGAAGAAATCGCGAACGTTGACGTCGCTAGACCAATCGTAGAAGAGAATCACAAGGTAAGGTAAAACTTAGGCTCTGCCCTCAATTGTAGATTAAGTAATAAAAAAAAAAAAAATATTAAAAACAAAAGTTCATCTCGTAGGACCCTCATTTATGTCATTTAAGAGTTTAGTGGATCTTCCTTCTAAAATAAAACATTTTTTATTTATAACACTTTTTTAAACATTTATTTTTTATTTTATTTATGTATTTATTTATTTACAACAACAAGCGGCTAACCCGATGAGGTTGATGAATACAATTTACAATGTCTAATCTACTGTGTATATAAATTATATAAAAAAAATCCTTGATATATATATTGGACAGAAGTTTCAGTTTTGCCAATGAAATGTCTTAGTACAGTGAAAACTCCCTATAGCGAAACTCTGTATAACCTAAAACTCTGTATTGCAAACAAAATTTTTTGTACTATTAGGTCTCCATACAAAGCTATGTTTTAATCCGCTCTGTACAACGAATTTTTCATTTTCTATACCGAAAGAAAAAAGGGCACATCAGGTAACAAAGTAATAGAGTCTCTTACCTACTCAGAATTCCTTACCCTAATAATATAATTACCGAGAACTTGGTCGTCCCAAGTGTTTTTCTCGTAATAAGCGATTATTTTAATGCCTCTTTATCGGTATGTATAAAAGTTGTTTGAATCCCCCCTAATTTGACTTAGTGAATACGGCGAGCAAGGCGAGTAAGCGAACAATTTTATCTCCAGATGACAAAGTTGCTTTAATTCGGGAGATAAAACGGGGAGAAAAGAAAAGTGATGTGGGACGTCGATACGGACTTACTCCGTCGACTGTATCCAGGATTTGGAAGTGCAAATCATTCAGGCTGATGCGGCAGGCAATTCTAATAAAAAACTAACAAAGCCAAATTTGAAGATTTGGATCGGGCAATGTTGCAGTGGTTCCAACAGTAACGTCTTAAAAAAATGTACCACTCTCTGGACCTATCGTAAAACTAAAAGCAACAAAGTTTGCTGAACAGCTTGGCATTATCGATTTCAAGGCTTCGAGGGATGATCGGGGAATTTCAAACAGAGTACAAATTATGGACAGAGAAGTGGCGAAGCCCATGATGTCGACAGAAACGTCACTAACGATTGACTGGAGAAGACGTGGCAACACTGTCAGAAAAGTACCCTGCTGAGGACATTTTTAATTCTAACGAAACTGGTATTTTTTACAAAATGGCGCCAGATAGTACTTTTAAATTTCGAAGGGAAAAGTGTGTGGGCGGAAAACTTTCTAAAGAACGTATAACAGTGTTCGTAGCTGCCAATATGAGTGAGAGAGAAAAAAGAAAGCTAGTCGCGATTGGAAAATCAACTAACCCACGATGTTTTAAGAACATCAAGCATTTGCCGGTCACTTGCAAGGCAAACAAGTCTGCATGGATGACATCGCGAATTTTTGAAGAGGAGATACGGAAATGGCATGCGGAATTGAAGGGGAGGAAAATATTACTTCTCTTAAATAACTGCTCTGCACATCCCCATATTCCAAAAAAAGTAGGTCCTTCAATTTCACCACATAGAGTTTCGACTGTATATGTATGTATATAGTGTATCTTCAATGATATCACAAAAAAGAAAAAGATTCTTACCAAAAAGAAAAAGGAAGATAAAGAGTTATTGATTTTAATGAGTATCTACTCTCATTAGACGGTGCAATTCTCTGTCCAATTTGTTTTTGGAAGGATTAACACAGCGTCTTCCGACAGGGAGTTCCAAGTATACACCACTCTGTTGCACAGGCAGTTTTTTCTCCGCAGTTTGGCAGTCATTTCTTTGGTTAATTTGTTAGAGTGACCCGTAGATGGCTATTCTTGTCATTTTGAAAGATGTTCAGTTCACGTGAGTAATAGTTTTGTTTTATCTTGTAAGTCTCAATTAGATCGCCACATAATCGTCTTTCCTTCAGATCTACAAGTCTTTCCCTCATAGGAATCATTAGACAAATGGATTGGAAGTTTTATTATTCTTCTTTAAACGCGCTCCGGCATTTCAATGTCTTTAATAAAGTAGGGATCCCGTATTGTCTGACGATATTCCAATTCGGGACTAATGAAAGACTTATAAAGTTTTACTATGGCCTATTCAGAAAGGCCTTTTTCACACAAAACACCAAAGAATTAACCTGTTTCAGTACTTTTGAAATATGTGTCGTCCGTTTCAAGTTGGAAGTTATCGTAATTCCAAGGTATTTCCGTTCTTCTTCATAGTTAGGTCTTTCTGAAGGTCGTCATAGTTTTCAGTAGGATTCGCATAGAGTTTTGTATCACCTGCAAACAGTGTGTGTGATTGAAGTTTTGATGTTTTCGCTTATGTCGCTTACATAAATTGGAAAAAGCAAGGGGCCAAGAACTGATCCCTGTGGAACACCACTAAGCACCTTATCTTTCAGAAATGAATGAATGAATGAAATAAGACGTAGTAGATTTCCTCTAATCACGAAGTTTGTCAAAAGCCTTTTCGAAATCTAAATAAATTACATCAACTTGTTGATTTTTATGGTAGCTTTTCGTCGAGTCATCTAAGCATTTTGTTAAGTTCGTGATAGTTGATCTCCGAGGTATATTGTATTATTGTTTAAAACTAAAGGCGTTAACTTAGCTACAATAATTTTCTCTATACATTAACATAAATGACATGTTAAGCTAATTGACCTATAATTGCTTTCTATGTGCTTATCGCCTTTCTTGTGTAATGGTGTTACAATAGAGGATTTCCACTGTTCTGGTAATTTACCATTTTCTAGTGCTTCAATCATCATATCCGACAATATAGTGCTTACACTACTAGAACATCTCTGAGGATATACAACCGGTACATTATCAGGACCTTATTATTATGGTGATAAAAGATGTAAATAAAGTAACAGCGAACACTTATCATATAACTGACAGGAACAGGAGCATGAGAAACTTAAACGGTTAGTTAAAAAAAAATAGAATCTTCTTCGTAACCCCTAAATGGATTAACTGAGGGAGCCAAAAGGTTTTTCAAACTATTATTAAATAGGTTTAAGTTATGGTGAACTGAAGTTAATTTTCCAGCACTCTCAATTGCCAATCTATTTTTGTTTATTGCGGATAAACCCTTGGCTACTTTCTGTGGATGAAGAAGTTAGTGGCATTGTAAGTACAACGGTGGCAGAGATTTTTGTGCATATTCTATTCAACTATATGACTAAACTACAGATCAAATTAGATTTTTCCATTCACCATAAACCCTCGCACACGGACACAATAATACATAATGACTCAAATCACCTTTACACAGACAAAATGTCTGCCTCTTGTGTTTTTATCAACAGACTACTTAAAGTACCACTTTCTACAGAAATTTTTTAAAAAGAATGAAATATTATAAAACAAATAACTTTTAACAATGGTTACGATCCCTCTCTGATAGATAAGATTATAACTAAAAAGCAGTTTCAAATAACTCTGAACTGTATATATCCCATATTAAGCTCCGAAAACAAAAAAACATCTAAATTTGGTATTAATATTCCCTTTAAAACTGAAAACACCAAAAAAACGATAAAACTAAATTACGAAAAACTCAAAAATCCGGAATCTACAAGTATAAAAATAAAAGTTCGGATTCTAACTATGCCATTCATTCAGATTCGAAAATGCCCAACTTTGACGGTAATTTTGATATTTTACATAATCATTCACAAAGCTATAGAGATTAACAAAATGAGATATTCGAATTTATTACTTAACCAAGTGGATTTAAATACGTCTCTGTTGTTAAATTTAAATTTATAACACTATACCTGTAATTAACAAATCTATTACTACCCGTTTTTATATATAAGTGTCTAAGTATAAGTATATAAGGCACGGTGTTACGGTAATCTGGATGGATTTTCATCAAGTAAAAGCCACCTCAGTCCGAGCGATGAAGATTGAGATAGACTATAACAAATTTGGAAGGTGATTGATCCTTATCAGCAAGGAGAAACACTCGAAAAGAATTTAATATTTTGTGCAATGTCCATTTCTTATAAAGGAGGATTTGTTGTTAATATCAATAATTTTTTAATAATTCATTGCCGCTTGCCATTAAATGTGCATAAGTAACCAATTAGAACCGCAATTTATCATTAAGGACGCCAAATCATATATCAAACTTCGTAATGTAGCTTTATCACTTTTTTCTTTACAATGCAATGGCAATTACACCCCCTGGCGGTCGTTTCAGAAATTAATAACGCTGCAATTTATATCGGTGTCGCGCGGAACGGTTTTTCTTTTCGACTGACTGCCGACCATGCTACTGCGGTATTAAATTTAAGTTCTATAACTACAGAAAAGAAACTATGGTGGTTATTATATGTATAACGATCGCTAGGCTGTCCCGCCGAAACCACTGCCTCGCGCTTCAAGAACAGGATCCATTACGGAGCCGCTAGAGGAGCCTCCCAAACCGGTGGCTAGGCCCAGGGGCAACAGTTGCACTCCCGTGGTCACTTCCGTGAACCCAAACGCGGTGACCGGCGGATACAAGGTTATTTGGTGTTGAACTGTGTGGCTCCATTTTGTGAATTTTGTTTTGCTGGCACCCGAGACGCAGAATTTTCGTTATTTTTTCGTATTTAGGTAGTTAGAACTGCATGAAGGATGTGCGCAAGCGCCGGAAGGCACCCAAAAATAAAATTTAGATAAGTCCTGACGTAAGAACTAGACATTAAAATATTATGAGTGCAATCAGAGTTTCGAGTTGAAACGTGATTAAAATCAAATGACTATTCAATTTTTGGTAGAAAAGAGAAAAAAAAATTCGTCATGCTAATAAAAAAAAACTTCAAATCCAATGTTGGAATTCTTCTCTATTATTTCTAAGAGTATTCAGCGTATACCAAATCCTTCAATCAATCGATGAAGGTACTGCTCATCATATGTCTAAATGGCGTGGAAGGAAGTTACATTGATCTGTAATTCCAGAGGGCCAAGGAACAAATCAGATATTACACCCAACTTACGCAAATGTTCACCAAAAACTCATCCCGAAAACGCATGTGTGGATTCTCAAAATCCCACAAGGAAGTTTAGTTATAGCATATTTTTTAGAAATTGAGCGAATTGCAGACGAGCTGGTAAATCTTGAGGCAATAACTGCTGAAACGGGATGTAATGATATGGATGGAGTGTTTCCTTTCTTAAAATTGTGTAAATAGGCCATTGATTTTCCCACATACTCATTAAAAGTGATATTTCTTTTCGGTCGAAATTATCCTATTTTAGGTTTAAGATTGGGTTGACTTTTTGGGTATGGTTTGCTTAATAAGAAAATTCAGAATAAAATTTTAACTTTTTTTTAACCAACAAAAATTATGTCAGGCATTTCGAGTGGTATTTTAGAAATTCTGATTTATTTTTCATATGTTCTGACTTATTTTCTAACAATGTTGACTTCGCTCAGAAACTATAACTTTTTTTTCAGAAATTCTGATTTGTTTTCCAAAAATTCTGTTTTGTTTTTGAAAAATTATGTCTTAGTTTAAAAATCGTGACTTGTTTTTCGTAAATTCTGATTTATTTTCCTTAAATTCTGACAGAACACAGAAATGATGTTACCTGTTTTTTAAAACTCCCAAATTTTTTTTCCAGAAATTCTTAATTAATTCAAAAATTCTGACTTGCTTTTCAGAAATTATGACTTACTTTCCGTAAATTTTGACTTAACTCAGAAATGCTGACTTATTATTCAATTGAGTCATTGTTCAGAAATTCTGACTTGTTTTCCAGAAATTCTTACTTAATTCGATAATTCTGACTTGCTTTTCAGAAATTATGACTTACTTTCAGTAAATTTTCACTTAACTCAGAAATGCTGACTTGTTATTCAATTGAGTCATTGTTCAGAAATTCTGACTTGTTTTCCAGGAATTCTGACTTATTTGACAAAAATTCTTACCTATTTTTATAAATTCTTACTTTGTTTTCTTAGAAATTAATTCAAAAATTTTGAATTGTTTTCCAAAAATTCAGACTTCTTTTTCGTTAAATTCTGATCTAAATCAGATATTCCGACTTATTTTCCAAACATTCTTGTTTTTCAGAAATTTTGACTTAACTCAGAAATGCTGACTTATTTTCCAGAATAAATTCTGACTTAACTTAGAAGTTCTGATGAACTATTTAGAAATTCTTGCATTTTTCCCAGGGATTCTGGCTTAGCTTAGTAATTGTGACTTATTTTCCAGAAATTCTTACTTATTTTCTTAGAAATGCTGATTGCATTCAGAAATTTTGATCAGTTTTTTAGAAATTCTGACTTATATCGCAAATATTTGCTTTATTAAAAAAGAAAATCTTTAGTTTATTTTGGGTGACCTTTCGTATCGATCGCACTGTCACGGATATGCATTAATGGGACAATAATTCTTCCCTTTTAGCCGAGACTCGGTCCCAAACCGTTCACACCTCCGAAACTGAACGACACGGAGAACAGTTTTAGTAAAATATTTTCGGTACCTGGGGTACCAAGTGGGCCTATCGTTCCACCCAATGGTGTCATCGAGACTAAGGAGGAGGAAGAAGAAATTCCGATTTTTAAAAAAGTTGATTCTTCTGACGGCGCCGACGCTTGCAAAATCGACAAAGACAACAGTTTGTCGACTTTTGCATCTGCAGAGGATGAAATCAATGTGGATTCCGGTAAGTTAATTATATTTTTATTGACCTCTTTGGTACTTTATACAATTTTTTTAATCTTATACTTTGGTGATTTTTGACCCTTATGACGGGGTAGAAGGAAACGAATGACACCTTAAAGACAGGTATAAACATATGAATGACAGTTAAGAAGGGCACAGGGCCTTACCTCGAATTTATCACTCAAATTCGAAGGGTCTCTATGCCTTTAAGCATTCGCAGCATAGAGAGAAGTCGAAAATTAAAAACCGCATCGTGATATGTCAAAGCGTTTCTGAGCTACAGGGTGATTCTTAAAAATGTGCGTTTCTAAAAACCCTCTATAATTTTTTTATTTGTAAGGTTAGAGATTTTTATTAACATTTTTTGAAGGTTTTTTGATCATAAGACTTGATCATAAAAAAATAATCTATATAGCTTTTTTTATAAATGCTTATGATGGAAAATTGATCACTCGAACGATTTTTTAAAATTTTTATTTTAACTTTTTTTTTTATAATGAAAATTTTAAGCACTTTTAATTTAAAAAATGGATTAAAAATCAACCGGAAGAGATAAATTTATCAAATTTTCAGCATCCATGGTCAAATGAAAATTTTACTGATTTCTTGGTAAAAAAGATCATGTTTTCTTTTATCGGTCATGTGCTTTTAAGTTTAAGATTCCGGAAGGAAATTTCACTGCTCGTCATTTAAACAAAATGAATTTATTTATGACAGCGCGCCGGGGGTCGAGCGTCTCCAACTGCATTGAACGTTTTATCAGTGATAATTTAAAATAATAATACAAGCTATTATTATAAAACAAATTTTATTATTATTTATGTTATTTTGTTATAATTATTATTCATAATTTTTTTAACAATATTAACAATCATAACATACTGAATAGAGCAAACAAGGTTAAATAATGAAATTGTAAATTTGTCGTCATTTATTATTATTATTTTTTAAATAAATACTTTTTTTCATCCTCTGAAACGAGCCTACATTCTAGTGAAAAATTTTCCAATGGTTTGTAATAATGAAATTGGCGAGTATTTTAATTTTAAGAGAACTTTTTTTATCTATTAATCACGGTTGATTTTTAATCCATTTTTAAATCAAAATTGCTTAAAATTTTCATTATAAAAAAATGTTGTTAAAATCAAAATTTTAAAAAATCGTGGGGGGATCAATTTTCCATCATAGGTACTAATAAGTGGTAAATGAGGGGTCCACTGGACGTGATCTTACTCATTAGGATTTTATGTAAAAAACATCTTTTTATAGTATTAGGAATATCGACCCAATATTTTGGATATGACCGTTTTAGAATGAAATAATTAGATTAACAATATAAAAATGTTACATATTTCGCATAAAATACAGACCGAACAAATGTCTTTGTTAGAGTCAATTTCAATAGTAGAAGAGTGCGAACGTTTGTTGAAAAAAAGTTACTTAAAATTTCAAAAATTTTACAATTAGATGCGACGGTTGATAATGATTTACATTATTTGGTCGACGTCGAAAAGACGTTCTCCAAGTACACAAGCATATTAAGCCATAAAAGACAAAAATTAACCATAGAAAATTTAATTGTCAGTTGGTACAATAATAATAACCATAGATTTGATTGTAAAACTAAATAGTTTTTACCATAATATAGGTTAGGTATAAGTATATAGATATATAAATCACTAATTTATTGTTAGCTGATGTTAATAAATACTCCTCATTAAGTATTATTATTTTTATGTATTTTTTTGCGTTGTTTGACTATTCTTTCCTTGATTTTCAGTAAACAATATATGTAAAAAATAAAGGGCATTAAGTTACATAGATGGTAGAAAAAAGCATATATTTGACATATTTTTTGGAAAAATCAGACATATTTAATGTTATAGTGCCCTTTAAAAAAATAGGATTTTTACTATTAATGAAAATTTTATTTAAATTTGCGAAATCTTAATAAATTGTTCCATCATTCGTAGAAACAATCATTAAAATTAAATAAAATATAAGTAAGATATGCCATTATAAAATTCTTCAAAATAATTAGGTGTCAGTATTTTTGGTCAGGAGAAAAAGTTGCAGTGTTAAAGTGCCATTTATTTTCGATTTTTTCCTTTTTAAATTAAAGCCAAGAAAAAATTCAAATAAAATTGCGGAATTTTCAACCGAATTTGAAATTTGGTTTTGCTCGAACAAGGTTACGTCCCGAAAACGCCTAGTACGGCGGAAAGGAGGAAATTGTTCGAGGTCAGGTCGTCTTCGAAAGAAAACGACGAGGATAGCGACTCGTTCGACAGAGGTTCGACTCAGCGTAGCAGCATCGCGGAGCGTCGAAAATTGTACGAGCACTCGCCGCAGCCGCAACAGGAGCCGATAACGGAAAAGGGTACGTCGCCGGTGATGTTGAGGACGAAGGAGACCTTAAAAAATCAGAAAAACATCGAGGAAGCGTCCAAAGAGGGCGGCAAGAGGAAGAGCGCTTCTTTCACCAAGCAACAGTCGCTGGATCAGGGCGTCAAGAGGCAGGAACCCGCGCCGACAACCAAAAGGACTTCCACGGTATTCGGACGTGTGTCGAAGTTTAGGCACTTGAAGGGAACCGCCGCCCATAAGTCGTTCCATATAGAAAATATTCGTAACCTGAGTCGCCAGATACCCGGCGAATGTGACGGTTTTCACGGTGAGTGCGAATAATGACACATTATATCCATAGCGTACCCGACAAGTCATTGAAAAGTGACGGGAAACACTTCAAAATGTCATTTGCTGTCGTTTATGAATCGAACTGGCTGACGTTTCACCAATCGTCCTGAAAGAGCTTCGGCTTAACTCTGATGAAGCCAACAAGATGATTGGTAAAACACAAAACTCTGTAGCTACCTACTTATATATGGTTTGAGGGGGGGCGGAGCTAAATGAGGGGGCGTGGACATTGCTTGAGATGATCGATTCCTATATCGATGAAAGGTAAAGACGTGAGTAACGGTGAGTTGCTTATAGATTTCTATGGATTTTTGGACCAAAAGGTCGCCCTACAGTACAAATACTTATATCCATTTGAAAGGTTTTACATCAAAACAAATTAAAGAAGAGATGGATTCCACGCTAGGAGGCGTGGAATATTCGACTATTAATGCATTATTCACCTAGTAACTCCAAGAACCTTTTTTTTATCAAAAACTACTTCTGTAATGATATGGACGTTTTTTTATCGCATTAATTAAACATAAATTTGAAACACTATAATCGATCGTATGTTTCGCTATTATCTTGCTGGAGTGAATATAATTGAAGACTTTTTATAGTTTATAGTTTTTAAGATGAAATTGTCTTCTAAATGGATGTTAATGTGTTGGACAATACAGATTGTTATTATTATTGTAATTAAGCAATGGGGTTTCTGACTTTAAAATGGGTCGAGCCTCGCTCACAGGTCAAAAATGAGTCAATATTTTGATGAGGCTTGGGTCCATCACTACACTCACGGAAATAAAGAACAGTCACAACGGTTTGGTGCAAAAGGGGACCCAACTCTGCTGTTTCTTGGGATGCTGGAGGAATTATATACATTGATTACCTTGAAAAGGGTGAGACTATCGCCGGTCAATACTGCACACGGTTATTGCGTTTGCATTTGAAGCACGTGATGCAAATTGAACGACCTCATTTGGTGAAGAAAAAAATTTTGTTTTATCGCGATTGATGCCATTGATGTCGCAAGGCTTAGCCCCCAACCAAATTAGAATACTATTATGAGAAACGTATTAAAAAAAAAAGTAAAAGTTCCGACAAGTATGTCTTTATCCAATGTAATATTTACAAAGTACCTGCTACTATATATACCGAAAAATGACAATAAAACCTTAATTAATGTTGCTATTAGAGTATTTATTAATAATTATAAATCCACAACCGCCGAAATTATATTCTTTAGTTCAATTACATAAACAAGACTACTAGTGTACAACAGGTTTCAACTTTAACTTACAACACTCGTACATTAAAAGAGAATTAGACTGTTTAGTTCTTTGTTAGGCGAGATTTTTATTGATAATTTGCAAAATATCATACGAGAACATCCTTTAAGTAAAAGTTTTCTATGGTGGTATAGATACGTGGATGATGTCTTTGCTTGCTTTGTTGGAACGGACAGACAATTGAATTCCTTTTTAAATTACATTAACTCATTACATAATCGTATAAAATCCATTACCGAGATTGAACAGGATAACTTTATTAATTTTTTAGACTTAACTATTTCGAAAATGCAAAACAAATTAGAATTTTCCATTTACCATAAACCTTCACACACGGACACAGTCAGACTTCTTAATACGCCACACTCAACAGAAATTACAACAAAGAACTTAATATCATTAAACAAATTGCACTGAACAACGGCTACAATCCGCCCATTATCGATAAAATTATAAATAAAAAACAAATCCAGACAACAGTAAACTCTATTTATCCGAAACCCAATACAGAACACGAACAATTTAAAACAATTACACACCTAGGAGAACCCAATGAAACAGTTTCAAAACATTTTTCAAAATGTGGTTTAAAAAAATAGCTTTCAGAACTAACAATAAAATAGGAAGATTTTTAAAAAAACAATAAAACGATGTGTCCCAAAATCTCAAAAATCAGGTGTCTACAGGTTGAAATGAGGATCTTGTCCTAAAATTTATATTGGACAAACAGGTAGATCCTTCAAGAAACACATTAACGAACATAAAAGAGCGTTTAAAAACAATAGTCTAGATTCTAATTATGCTACACACTTAAACACAGAAAAACACATTTTTGACGGCAATTTTGTTATTTTACATACAGCCACAAAAAGTAGAAAATTAACTTGGAAGTCGTGAGACATTCAAATGTATTGCTTACCGAACGCATTAACGAACATAAAAGAGCGTTTAAAAACAATAGTCTAGACAATTTTGATATTTTACATGCTGGCACAAAAACTAGAAAATTAAATTTATTGGCAGCCATGGAGATTAACGAAATAAGACGTTGAAATGTATTGCTTAACGATCAATTAGATTCAAATACCTCTCCATTATTAAACTTAAATTCTCACAACATTGTCATTTTTCGTTATATATTGTAGCAGGTAGTTTGTAAATATTACATTTGATAAAGAGACTATGTTGTCGAAATAATTGTCATGTGAATATATATAATTTGGTGAAAATCTGAACTTTTAGTTGTTATTTATTTTATTAAATGGATTTTCATCAAGTAAAGGCCACCTTAATTCAAGAAATGTATTAGTGCTGATCGGGATGACAAAAATAAAGCAAAAAAAAAACGTCGTTTTTCTTGGTCAGAAACTCTTCACCCCACCCTCGTATATCACATCCATAAGCTACCAAACAATATGGGAATCGGCCATCCGGGGTAATATTCGTGCCCCACCTCTAGCTCCGCCCACCTGAAGGCACCGTCAGGATGATGATGAAATATAAAATTTAGAATGTTTCTCTTATTTATGGGGAAGTCTTATTAAGTATTTTAATTGATTAAGAAAGGAGCCTATTAACGTGAAAGTTTGACAAAACTATTTGATTTTTTGATGGTATGTCAGTGCATGGTATGACCTTGCAAAGTAGTAGCGTTCTTTTTTTTTTAATCGGATTTGTCTGGTTGCCTCTGGATATTTCGTTGACGCTTATTAAAAAAAAAAAAACTAATCAAAACTTTAGCCAATCCGGAGAGGGTGGCCGTGCCTCTGAGCGGGGCGGGCGGTAAAATAGCCATATTCGAGCTGAGCAAGACCGGTAAAATTCCGGACGGCGTGATACCGGCATTGGTACACGGCAATAACGTAATGGACTTTTGTTGGGACCCGTTCGACGGACGTCGTTTGGCAGTGGCGTGCGACGACGGCGTCATCAAACTGTGGACAGTTCCGGAAAACGGTCTCACCGTACCCACGAATCAGCCCGACACGGAATTTGTCGCCCACTCTGACAAAATCTACTTCATCAAGTTCCATCCCACCGCCTCTAATGTTCTGGCATCAGGTAAGGCGAGCTGGTGCTGCTGCCGGAGATCGAAATCCTTTTGTTGTGTCAGTATTTTCATTATTTACAAATTGAAACAAGGCCTTCCCGGAACCTGCATTCTAAAACACGTGTACCCAAAAAGGTCGTAATTTTATTTTGCCCTAAAAACTCGTTAAGTTTCTCAGAAATGTCTAATTCTGATTATTATAAAAGAAAATCCGGTATTAACTAGTTCGTTCGTCAAAGTGAGAACTTCGTCAGTGATTTATATAGTTTTGCACTAAAAACTGTGAAAATAATGGATATTGCGCTTCAAGGTATGTATTTTTAATATTTAGAATTATTAATGTAATTAATATATATTTCTTCTATTTTATTTTTTTGGAATGGCCCACCATTGCTCCTCTTTTAGTTTTTTTTTTAAACGTTAATACATGTAAACTTGCAAATGCTTTACCTCTCGATAATCCGCAAGTTATATACCTTGATAAAATGCTTGGAACCTCTACTTTAGAACCGAGTAAGATGCGATGTCGCCAAATGTCGTCGGATGTGTCAAAAACAGTTATATTCTTATCCCCTCATGGTTAGCTTTAAATGCACTTATTATCCAATGGCAATATCAACTTAATCTTTTGTTAAAAAAATTATTTATATCGTTGTTTTCGTTATAGTGCATTATACATCTAGGGACTACAATGTCACTGCGTATCCCGAAGCGGAAAATACAGATAGACAAAACAAACTTTTAAGTAAATACAAAGTAGTAAAAAAAAATATTTTGGATTTGTATTGCCATTTTTGTTAAGTCTATAGAATGTAGGTTACATCAAAGAAAAAAATTCCTTGGAAATACTATATTGATTATGCTTCCAACCAGGTCTATAATATCGTGACAGGTGAGGAATCATGGATCTGTGCATATGAAGCAGCAGTCGACTGTGTGGGTCAGCCAAAACCCACAAAAGAAACAAATGTTTTTTTAGGGAAACTGGCCACGTTGCAAGTGTTCCTCTTGTGAAAGGTAAAACAGTCAATTTTGAATGGTACACGACCATGTGTTTGTCTTGAAATAAAAAGAAAAGAAATAACAAGAACTTTTTGAGCATTAAAAACGTCGATTTGATAAGCCGTCCGCCATATAGTCCTGATTTAGCACCTAATGACATCTTTTTATTCCCACACATTAAGAATAAATTACGTGGGCGACGATTTTTGGCACCAGAAGAAGCGATTGATGCTTATAAAAAGCATATTTTGGAGGTGCCCCACTCGATGTGGGAAATGTGCTTTGATGATTGGTTTTATCGAATGCAAAAATCTATTGATTATCAGGGTGAATATTTTGAGAAACACTACAGTCATATTTATTGGTAGCTTATAGTTTTTTATTACAAATCCCGAAATATAAAAGGTAATACATTGACTATAATCTGCTCGAAATCAAGAGCGAAGACCAATTATTTGTCCCAAAAGGAGGGGTTTTCAGTACCTATCTGCATTTCTAAGTCAGGTTTCGATGCAATAAGAGGCGAAAAAGCAGATTCGGCAACTATTTGACTCAGGGTTTTACGTCGAAATCTAATGGTTTGTTTATTAAGGTTTTCGTTACTATAAAGCACGATGACGCCGATTCCAAAGATATTGACACGAAAAGGTAACTGATTTTGACTGGAATCTGTTTGAAATGAGGAAGAAAAAGCTACTATCAATCGAAGAAAGTGGGTTTTTAAGTAGTTATCTTCAGTTTTAATATAGATTTCAGTCCGCTAAGTTAATGAAAATGCCTGTTTTGACTATAATCTGCCGTAAGTCAAGCGCGAAAACCAATAAGCCAATAAAGAGTTTTGATATAAATTCGTGAACATGGTGAAGATACCTATTATTGATTGGACATTTTTCAGGCTCGTACGATTTGACGATAAAAATATGGGATCTCGCCAATCGGACCAATAAAATCACGCTGACGGGTCACGCGGAGCACATTTTCTGTTTCTGTTGGTCGAGTGGCGGCGATCGCTGCGCCACGGTCTCGAAAGACGGCAAGGTGCGGATTTTCGATCCCAGACGGGGCGGGGCCGCCATAAGGGAAGGCAAAGGACCGGAGGGTAGTAGGGGAGCGAGGGCGGTATGGGCTTTGGACGATCGTTTCCTAGTCGTCACCGGTTTCGACAAGGTTTCCGAGCGACAGATCACGGTCTATAAGGTCAGCGACTTAAGTCCGGTCAACACGATAGGATTGGACGTGTCGCCGGCCATCTTGATTCCGTTCTACGACGAAGACAGTTCGACGTTGTTCGTCACCGGGAGGGTGAGTCGATTGCCAGATTATATGATGTTATATTGTGAAAAATTTTGCCTTTGTGATTTTTATTTGGGGGTCTAGTATACTTATACTTGGACCAGAAATATAGTGCGTTTATTTAGGAATATTTACTTTCCTACACTAACAAGCGCCGGCCAATTAAAAACTTAATACAAGATATCAATTTAATACGTCCTATTTCATTACATTTCTACATAGTATCTACATGTCATTTATACAGACTTTTCAAAGGCATTTGATCGAGTAAATCATCAAATCTTAGTAAAAAAAAATTACGAAACATTGGAATCGAGCCCTCCTCTTTGTTTTATTAACGATCTTCCTCAGGATAATACAGATACATTATTAATTTTTCAAAGAACTTCCACAGGCTACTGTAATACTTTTTCCAAAACTTCTGGATTCCTCCTGCGTCGGTTTTTGCTGAGTCGAACTTGCTGACGTTTCGCCAATCATTCTGTTGGCTTCTTCAGAGCTTGACTGAAACTGGCTCGTATTTTACTCTGTACCTGCTTATATATTGTTTGAGGGGGGCGGAGCTACAGGAGGGGCATGAACACCGTCTCGGTAGAGACCTGTATCGCGGTAAAGATTGTTAGGTTGTCTATAGATTTCTATAGACTGTCGGATTTTTAGTTTTATCGAATAAAATTTTATGTCCGGTTTCGTGAGTGTGTTCGGCAACAGCTGATGAGTTTATTTGTCTTAGTCGTAAGGTTTTTTCGTGTTCTTTGAGTCTAGTTGATATTTTTGCCGCATATGCATGGAATGCTGTAAACTGCTGGTATCTCAAATGGAATGTTATCTTTGATCAAGTGGTAAATCTGGTTTTGACGTTATACTTCTGTAGAACTTTTGGTATGTGGTCAGTGATGTTTTGAATGTAAGGAAGGACCCCAGTGGCAAGTGTAGAATTGCTTGTAAAGTACAGAAAACGTCAAAGCAATAAATGAACTATATTTTTGTTCGTATTATACTCGCTTTTGTATACGTGCAATGTGATCTTTTTTAAATAAGGTTTTCAATATTTTAAAATGTAATATAATAATACTTATGTGAACTATTTTAAGAAGTATTTGGGTTATACAAGCCCACAAACACCCAACTCTTTTAACCAGTGATCTTCTAGATTTCTCTTGCGTCGGTTTTTGCTGAGTCGAACTTGCTGACGTTTCGCTAATCCTATTGGCTCCTTGGAAGCTTAATTGAAACTGAGACGGAAAACGTGTCAGAAATCCAAAATCCCGAGCTTTTAATCAAAGAAAGTTCAGAAGGGTCTCAGGACTGACCGATTAACTATTCTCACAAAAAAAAGAAAATTATTCTTATAATCCTTTAATCCTCTGTTTAAAGAGGCACAATTTTCATAATTGTATTAAAAAGACCCGCGTTGGAAACGTGTTAATTTGTAATTTTTTCGTATTCAGGGCGATATGACGATCTACACGTTCGAAATAACCGACGAGGCGCCCTTCGTATGTCCACTGAGTCACCACAAGTGCAATTCGCTACACCAGGGCTTGTCCTTTTTGTCAAAGAACGTATGCGACGTCGCCAACGTCGAATTCGCCAAAGCTTTAAGGCTGACGAATAATTCGATCGAGCCGCTCTCCTTCACGGTTCCCCGTATCAGGACGGAACTGTTCCAGGACGACCTTTTCCCCCCTACTCGAGTCGCCTGGGAACCCCTCTACACCGGCGACGAGTGGTTCGACGGTACCGAAAAGCCCGCGCGGAGAATAAGTTTAAAACCGGACGACATGGATTGCAGTAAGTAGTTGTCTGTTCTCTGTTCTTTAGGTTTTACGGTAATAACTTTTGAACGGTCTTGTTTTTCGCGATTTCCATCTGTTCCTTGAACAGTGTAAATTTGACCAGTTAATTGACCGAAATAATTTTTAAAATACAATGAAATTTATAATTATTTTTTTGTATTGTGCGTGTGGAGTTGAATTATTATTGGGATTCCACGAATCGCTAAGTGTCATATTCGGATAGTCCTCGTAAATTGAATATCACAAACGCATAATAATTTAACGTAAAATACATATTATTAAATAATGGTAGATAACACTCTACAATTGCAAGATGTTATTTAAAACGTTTTTTGACTAGTCAATTAAAAAGTGACTGCCAAATGGCCAGCCCCATATCATACATGATACATTTGTAAAAGTTACATAACAGTAAAACATTCCTTTTTATCCCTTATACCTGTACAAATACAGCTCGGAAGCTTCATCCGTATTTTGACGACGCACTACAATTTTTCAACATTTCCAAAATCTTCGTTGACGGCCATAATATTTCGAACAATTTAATGAACAAATTAAATGCCTTAATAAAATTGCCGAAGTTATATTCAGCACGTTTTGTAATATTGACCGCCTGATAGTTTCTCTAGTTAATTTTTTTTCTCTGGTCTCTGTTGTCCGTTCTCCGTTCTCCCTAGTCTGTTCTCTGGTCCCCGACGTCCGTTCTCTGTGCTTTAGCTTTTACGGCAATAACTTTTGAACGGTTCGAGTTACGGGATCGAGATTCGTTCCTTTTTTAATGCTCTACGAGGGCGATAGGTCGATTCAAAATGGCCGCGACGCGCGCCGGCGTCCATCTTGTTTTTCGCGATTTTTATCCGTTTTTTGAACAGTGTAAATTTGATGAGTTAATTGACCGAAATAATTTGAAGAATACAATGAAATTTATAATTATTTTTTTTATATTGTGCGGGTAAAGTTGAATTATTAATGGGATTGGACATCACAAACGCATAATAATTTAACATAAAATACATATTATTAGTGGTAGATAACACTCTACAATTGCAAGATGTTATTTAAAATGTTTTTTGACTAGTCAATTAAAAAGTGACGGGCAAATGGCGAACCCCATATCATACATAATACATTTGTAAAAGTTACATAACAGTAAAACATACTTTATTATCCGTTGTACCTGACAAATACAGATTTAATCAAAACTCTATAAAATAATAACAAATTTGCCAAACTAAATAAGAACTAGAAGTTCAGATTTTCACGAAATTATGTATTTTTATATGACAGTTGTTTCAACAAAACCGTGTCTTAATTAATGTTGTGAGAGTTTAAGTTCAATAATAGTTCAATCTAATTGACCGTTAAGCAATACATTTGAATGTTTCATTTTGTTAATCTCCATTGCTTCCAATAAATTTAATTTTCTATTTTTTGTGGTTGTATGTAAAATATCAAAATTGTCGTCAAAAATAGTCTAGTCTAGATTCTAATTATACTACACACTTAAACACAGTAAAACACATTTTTGACGACAATTTTGATATTTTACATACAACCACAAAAAATAGAAAATTAAATTTATTGGAAGCCATGAAGATTAACAAAATGAGACATCCAAATGTATTGCTTAACGATCAATTAGATTTAAATACCTCTCCTTTAATGAATTTAAATTCTCACAACAGCATTAATTAAGGTTTTATTGTAATTTTTCGGTATATATAGTAGCAGCTAGTTTGTAAATATTACATTTGATAAGGACACTGTGTTGTCGAAACAATTGTCATGTAAAAATATATAATTTCGTGAAAATGTGAACTTTTAGTTCTTATTTATTTTGATAAAAGGATTTTCATCAAGTAGAAGCCACCTCAGTTCAACACATTTGCAGTTTTAACGATTAAAATTAAAATCAAATGATGATATTTGAACAACGTTATCATAAACAAAAAATTAAAAAAAAAAAACGAAAAAACTGGCTACCTACGTTAATAAATCTTTATAGGTATATCAAAAAATTCTCTTTCGTTCGTTGCGTCGCGAAAATCAAAAAGTTTCCGAAAATTGTCACGAATCGTAATATTTTTAAAAAATTGCAGTGTCAGAATCCCAAAATCACACTAAACAAGAGAGAACAATCAATAAATCGCAATCGACACCATTCATCTCTTCCGCTCAGCCCCACAACAGATTAGGGTGGAACGCGGAGCTCAGCAGTCAAGTGAAAAATAAGCAGGAAGAGGTGAGTGGACCGCCGTCTCGGTTGGTTTCCTTCAAACTCCATACGCGACGTATTTTAGATTCAGAAATCGGTAAGCGACAGGTTAGAGATCAATTTGAAGCTCGAGCAAGACGACATGGAAGGAGTGGACGAAAAAGAATGGCTAGATTGAGACTTTTTTTTAGCAATTTTTTAAACGGATTTTTATACACACGTTCGTGGAAGTCGGCAGGTATCGCAGGCATTTTTTTTTAGTGCAATTAAACTAAGAATGAAAACTACCGTGTATTCGCCAAAGCGAGGCAATAATATTTAGCTTTTATTAATGGACTTAAACATAATATTCCATTGTGCGACAAATAAGGCCCGGTTAAGGAGAGATTAATTTTTATTTCTCGGAAACTAAACTGACTGAATGTCTGATGAAATGTATGTCATCTAACCATATTTCGATGTCTTAACGGGTCTGAGGCAGTATTGCGCATTTTCTCATATCTTTGAGCATTTTTTTTTTGCTGTGGACTAATGGATTGTCGATCCTAATGAGATTCAAAAGATTAGTTTGCTGACACTTGTCTAACGGTCTGAGTTTTTAGTTGTATTGCTGGGAAGGGATAGCGGTGCTTCTACAATGCCGTAGGCCAAATGTGAAGCCTCTCTGTCAAAGACCAAAAAGATGGGTCTAGCTACGTTAAATTTTGATAAATGGCGAATGAAGTGTGATTAAAAGTTAATATTAAAGTTAATCTTTTGCTGTGTAAACACGGGAATCATTATCTCGTCTTCAGTTTACAATATTATTATGAAACAGAGTAGGAAAAAGTAATTACTGATCCCGCCCTAATCGTTTATATCGCGAAGAACGTTCTGTTTAGCTTACTGCAAAAGCTATCTATGTCCTGGTCCAGAAGGAGCTTTTAGAAGATGCTTTCTTAAAATCTAAAACCGACACCTCGATTTTTTTTTTAATATTCGAATTTTTACTTTTAAAATTCGTTTTTAATCTCTCTGCTAGTTTATAAACAACTCTGTTTTTTTTTTAATTTCTGGAGCGTTTTCATAGTTTCCTAATTTATTACACACCTGATTTATCACATCTCAGGAGGACTTTCGGTCGTAAAACGAATAATACCGATTTTTTTGGACCTTTACACACTGTATATAAACAATGTTTCGCCAATCATTCTTCAGGACTTAAACTGAAACTTGCTCGCATGTTACTCTGTGCCTGCTTATATATTGTTTGAGGGGGGCGGAGCTAAATGACATCTGGGTTGCGGTTGACACTACTTACTTCTTTGCTCCGTCCCCTCGAACAGTATATAAGCAGCTCGAGACTTATTTATTATTCATTTTGGTTATGCGGCAAATATTTACTTACCTGTACTACAAGAAAAAACAAAATTTAGTAAACAAACGCCAATAGGCAGTCTAGAAATATGGTAATTCCCGAAAGTTGGGAATTTTTACACCGAACGCCACCTGCAGGCGCGTATAGCAAGTAGAAGCAACTAAATTATGATCACTGCAGGTTATTATTGTTCAATATTATCGTGGGATCGAATTCTGGGCCTTATTTGCCTCACCTACCCATTTCCTGGATTTCCCGTTTGAATCAAATATATTTTTTTTATAGTCCATAGTCGTACATGTGCTTGGGAATAATGGTGGGTAACCTTATGAGTTGGACCATTTTATGTAGAATATATTAGGTGGTAGTATAGTCACATGTGCTTTTCAATAATCGTAGTGATCGTTCGGTTTGTGTTTTTATTTAATGTTATTTGACTTCTAGTCATTGGAACGTGCTTTAAGTAAACGTAGTTATAAGGAAAACTCGGAGTATGAGCTCACTGCCATTTCGTTTTCCGTCGGGATGAAAAATAATTCCGATAACACGTAAGAGATGCCATAATTGTCGGGACTTGTTCGCATTTGCTCATCCCCCTTTGATTTTATGCTCAAATACTCACTTTTGTATGTTTTAATTTGTTTTCTACGGCCGTGTATGATATTTTTATATTTTCGTATTCCCTTTATATTAAAATTTCATATATAGTATCTAAATAAAAAATAGATTGAAGTTTTTCCAACCTATTTTCCTTTCCCGTGTCCTGTTGCATAAAGGTAGCCATAAGAATATGATTAACCTTCACGTGCGTTTAATAAAAAATAAATGGAGGTCTGTGACGTTCATTTTTGAACATCCGGTATATTTTTATGAGGAATAACTAACTGTCTAGTCCGAGAATACTTTGGCGATGATCTTATGGATCACTAACATATTTCTCACAGATACTACATTCTGATTGGTTTGTAATGGTCATGTGACGCATAGATAAACGTAAACATTTGAACAATTTGAAAAAATTATCCAAGACAATATTATATGATTAAAGAAACTTCTAAGGCACTTCCAATTAATTATCTGATATTAATATTTGGCTCATTCTTTTGCAAATAGGATCTTTATATTACAGATCAGAGTAGTACAATAATGTATAACTTAAAAAAATATATATCTAAAAAATAAAACTACTAAAAATTAAAATTTTAAATACTTAATGGTATGTACAAAAAGATATTTATTAGCTTAATTTAAATTTTATAACCTATAACACACACCCCTGACATAAAAAGCCCGACTATTAATAATCATATCCAACACAGTAATCCGCCGACTCTATCTCTGGGAATGAGCCTGAGTTCTGAACCATGTTTCAGAAAAACGTTACCTGAAATAAGAATAAAATTAGTGACTGCAATTTTATTTTTGCGAATGACTACTACCAGCTGTCTGTTGCGGATTTATCCCTATACCATCGTCGGTTATGATCGCTGATGTCGCCGGAGGTACTTTAAATTCCTCGGCTGCGAATTTTAGCACAGCAGTGAAGGGAGTCTGCTCGGGCACGTTCAGGCTGAAATTGCACAGTTTATTGGGAGATTTCCTGCGATACAGCTTCCCAGAATAATAAACTAGAATTGATTTTCGCCTTTTGAATGGCCTCGCCCACGTAATGGCGTAAATCGGAACCGGGCTTAAACATTAGCTTTAACAAGGGCACTATATCGCTACCACCGATTTCAGGGCAAAACGATACACCTTCCATGGTTTTCCACTCAAAGACACTTTTGCCAGGTTCTACTCGTATCATACTGCCCACGTATTCCAAAAAGCTAAAAATCGATTCCAGAAATTCCTTATGAACAACGCAAACGTTTAGTATGGATACGGGGGTTAGATTTTTAAACATTGAGAGCCAAAATGTTTTCGACAGTATACTCCTATCGTTCATTTTTTCCAAAGTGCACTCTAGTATCATTTTTTGGGTTGACCTTTCCGATTCGGAGAGGCCATTCAATGACAACATTTTCATAACGGTCGGCAGCATGGCATCAACTTTATACAAGGACAAGTAACCCCTAATTTCTGAAATGACCGCTTCTTTTCTTCCAGAGACCAAATAATTAGTCCATGTTTTTATTATAATCGTTTCCTCAAAATTTTCAGGGAAGCCGACGCAATTCGTAACAAATTCTTGAATAGCCAGTACCGAACTGCTACGCAACAAAATGTGTTGTAAAAACATCTTGAATCTTGACTTTGGATAAAAAGAACTGTATATACGGATGGATATATCTAAAGTCGATTCTGAAACGTTAGCATAACAGAATATTTTCTCCAGTAGCCTATCATTAGCTTTGGTAAAAAATTCCACATCATAAGCCCTTTCTTGCTTTTGAGAAAACCACTGGTTCAACAAATCCGAAAATTGACCCCCGCATTGGTTGGCTTCCAAGGATTCCAAAACCCTTTCTATAAAATGCCCAAGCTTGAATGCGGACTTGATGGAATCCGCGTCAGCATCTCTAACCCACACATTGTTATTGTATATTGACGTGAAATTTTGAAATGTTGTTATAACTTGTTGGATTTTTGAAAATGTTTCGTTCATGGTTTCCCGTTTTGGTAGTTTCTATCAGATGCTTGCCTGAGATCTGCCAACAAAACAAAAAAATTGATCTCAATGATTATAAGGATGCCACACATGACAGAAACTTCCACAACTAAGAAATTTGAAATATTGTTAATTCTATCCCCTACTCACATCTTATAGGGTAATTTTGGGTCCGACGTCAGGGTAATCTTAAAAGTCACTTTGGCGCTAAAAAAGAAAAGAATTCGTATTTAATCCGCAACCATATGTTACGCTCTTACCTCATGGTGTAATGTTATTTTAACTGAGCGAAACTGACTGCGGCTAACAAATTAATTCTTAAAAGGCAAAAAAATATTTTTTTTATAATTTGTATTAAAAAAACTTAATTTCCTAAAGTGGGGTTTCCTTCGCTCATAAGAATAGAAAATTACCATTACATTTCCAGCACAAATAAATTTCGCCAAGAACGCATAGAACTAATCTTCTTCTTTGGTTTATAACAACGTTGATCAAGTTTGCTAAGGGCGTTCGGCCATTATCGAATTCTGTCGAGAAAACTTTCCAAAACAACACACACACACAACACGTATACCATGCCATGGTCTGAAATAATCGTTATTTATTCGAAGATAAGGATTCTGCTGTGTTAATGATTGATATTTGCTTATGTGGTCATTGCTACAGTTTGTCGTTTATTGAAGACCGTATGTTTTTTATTCGCTATCCAAGATTTTTGAACATAAACTCTAGTTCGTCCCGCATTATAAAATAAATAACAAAATGTATGAAAAAAAATCTTTAGCCTTCGCTTATTAAATTTCTCTAGTCTCTTCTCTTTCTTTCGTCTCTCATTTAATTCGTGATAATGTTTTTTTTTACGTATATTTCAAAACATAAGAATAATATTCTGTGCATATTTGCATCACGTTTGCATCAAAAGATTTGTTCACCGATATAAAAATGGCCGCCAATCCAGCGTCATCACTTATATTTCGACCGATTTAAATACAGAGAATATTTTTATGTATGTAAGATTTGCTTCGAGCAAACCATACAGTAAATTTAGATAGAACGTCACAGAAAGAGATTTTCCCCCGATGGAAACGCAAATACTCATAAAACCTTGTGTACGCAGATTTAATTCTCTAGAACTTAATTTACGTAGCAAGCAAATTAAACTTTTTAAAAAATTAAAATTTCATGAGATTGCGCACAAAATATTTGACTAGATCTGGCGAATTGTACAGGGTGGTCCATTATTAAAGTTCACCTCTTTCTCTTACTTTTTCTCTTGAGATTTCAGAAAAAAAGTGTAACACAAAAGTTGTATAACTAGAATGTTCTGTACAATGCCATATTTACGTATACGGGGGGATAAAAAAAATGGCTTTATATTTAGAAATTAAAAATTTATTATAGAAATTATATAAAAAAATTATATATAAAAGCATAACGTAAAATCCTGTATTACCAACAAAATTTGGTGTACTATTAGGTCTCCACACAAAGCTATTGATTAATTCACTCTGTATAGCGAATATAACGAAAAAAGGGCACACCAGGTAACAAAGTAAGGAATGTACGTCGCAAGTTGCTTTAATTCGGGAGATAAAACGGGCAGAAAAAAAGTGATGTGGGATGTCGATACGGACTTACACCGTCGACTGTATCCACGATTTGGAAGTGCAAAGAAAAAATCATTCAGGCTGAAGCGGTAGCTGGTTCTAGTAAAAAACTAAGAGAGCCAAAATTTAAAGATTTGGATCGGGCAATGTTGCAGTGGTTCCAACAGCAACCTCTTAAAAATGTCTCACCCTCTGGACCTATCTTAAAACTAAAAGCAGTTTGCTGAACAGCTTGGCATTATCGATTCAAAGGCTTCGGAATGATCGTTGGGGAAGTTCAAACAGAGACATGGTATAAATTATGGACAGATAAGTGGCGAAGCCCGTGATGTTGCGAGAAACGTCACTAACGATTGGCTGGAGAAGACGTGGCGAAAACTAGTAGAAAAGTACCCTGCTGACTACATTTTTAATGCTGACGAAACTAGTATTGTTTACAAAATGACGCCAGATAAAACTCTTAAATTTCGAAGCGAAAAGTGTGTGGGTGGAAAACTTTCTAAAGGACGTATAACAGTATTAGTAGCTGCCAATATGAGTGGGACCACGATGTTTTAAGAACATCCGACCATTTGTCGGCCACTTACAAGGCAAACAAGTCTGCATGGATGACATGGCAAATTTTTTAAAAAAATTCAAAAGAAAATGACCGATTATTTGAAACATTAAATGTAGTTCTTAAATATTTATATAAAATGTAGATGTTAAATATGTATACCTATAAAAAAAAGAAGTCCCTTCAAATTCGCTATGTAGATTTTCGACTGTATTTCAAAAACTTTTTCATAACACTCCTTATTTCTTCCAATATTCTTTGCTTCACAACTTCTTGGTTATTTTCGGTGGGTCTTTGATTTTTGATTTCCAATATGGCTTTTGTGCTTGAAAATTACTATTGTCGTATTTTGAAATTGAAAATTATATCTTCCGTACACTCAAATCAGATGTCATTAAATGTTTCATTGACTTAATTATAAGTAGCCTTATCTTTTGTACGAGACGCTCGAGATTTGTACTTTATTGTTGTCATTTATTGGGAGTCAAGGAGTATTAAATTTTTATTCCCTCGTAAAACTTTTAATCTCTCAAGCTGCGACAGTTCAGTCATTCAAAAAATTCAAAAAACTTGAAATGAAATTTTGGATTTGTGGATTTGAATTTGGAACTTTTGAAGTGTGTATCAAGTCCTTCGAGTACATTGAGATGTCCAGAGGGCTTAAGTCTGACATGATTGGTGGTCAAACAGTATCACTCGTGTAAATACTGCTGTTGTATTGTATAAGTACAACATAAATACAAAATACCAGTACATTATCTTATCAAAATACAAAAATTTAATACAACAAAATATGTCAAAATGGCTGGTTATCTTAAATCGACTTTAGCTTTTTGTGACGTCATCAAAATACAAAAATACATTACAACAAAATACGTCAAAAATGGCTGGTTATGTTAAATCGACTTTATATATGGTATTACAGATATTAAAATTGAGCTTCAAAGTATTTCTGAAGAGTCGATATAATTGCTAGCGGTTTCAATGGCGGTTCCAAGATTTTAAATATTCTTCTTCTTTTTTTCTTGAGGTATGTTATTATTTTCATAAAATCTACGTATAATTTTAAGTTTTCGATTTAATGGCCACGATTTAACGGCATTTTTTGCAAACAAAACAAGATCGAATCTGCACTTGTTTGAAGGTAAGTATTTCAAAATAAGTTCAACGTATTTCGTATTTCTGAAAAGTCAAGTAAATTTTTAATTTTGACTTAAAACTTCTTTTTATTTCTGCAGGTAGATTGTCGTCTATTTTTCGGCGATCTAAATGAAACTTTAGAACTACTGATATTTACACCGAAGTTATTCCTACCTAGTGTTAAATTTATGTACGGCTGGTTTCATAAAAAACTGATAGGCCACCATATCGTTGTCATGCAAAATTTCATTGGTTCCCTATTTCTAATACTGTCACCGTCAAATAAAAAAAAATCTTAGCGTTGTCACAAAGGAACCCTAAAATGGCTTCACATACATTTTAATATAAACAGAACAATCGGTTTTTCCATTAATAAAAGGTGAATACAAGAAGCAGTGTTTGCAAGGACAAGCGAATCTGGTCTGGTCCAAGAACATCAGGTTTTGAACAAAGCGGTTCACTCATTTATTGTAAAGTCTGTTCATAGATATAAGAAAGTGACTAACTGGTACGAATTAAGGAAAAACCCGGGCAAGCTGTAAGAATGAAATATGGCTGAACAGGTCCGTACTTTGCTTAGAATTTAATTATTTGGGGTTTTCTTAGGAAATATACTAAACAATATTTATTTATTTATGTTTTAATCTAAAATAAAATTGCAAATTATTTTTATTACTTACATAAATTAGAAATTATTTTTATTACTTACATAAATTAGTTAAAATGATCCACATAATGTATCAGTATCACTATCGCTATCATCGCCTGTTCTAATTATTATGGATATACGATTGCTCTACTTTTTCTATATGTTTAACAGAATTTGCCCAAATTTGTGGAGGGATGTTCAAATTATTATTTGTTCTATGTTATTTGCAATTTGCAACTTAGGTTTCTATAAGTTTGAGGACATTGGAGTTAACACGGGGAAAAACATTGGTACGACGAATGGTAGATTTCAGTTGGTGCTAAACATGGGATTAAATACACAGTGGTGGCCTTAAAACTGTATGCCCTAGATTTTTTGCATAATTATCACAGACGGATTCCTTTTGTAGGTTCAAGCTTTGTAGAACCTCAATTAATTGCTTTTTGGTATAATCTTCGTGAAAATAAATGTCATTATTATACATGTAGTTTTGGTTTGTTGCTTTTGTGTCACATGAGGAAGGGGTTTTAGTCAACTGTCTACTGTGATAACTTGCCTTGTCCATTACAATTACGCTATTAGGAGGAATGTTTGGAACTAGTTTGTTTTTAAACCAATTTTCAAATAAATCAGCGGTGGTGTCTTCATAGTAATCCAAAAAAAATCTTAAATATTTTTCGCAGACAGAGAAAGTCCATTTGAAATCCAACCATCTTTAGAGCCAGCATGCAAAATAGTTATTCTTTTACCTCTTTTTGATGGCGCGTTTGTTTTACACTTATCAGTTGAGTCAACCCAACCCTTTTCCGGGGTATCATAAGTGTCGGACCAGGTTTCATGCAAGTAAATAATTATTGGCCTTTGTTGTTCTCTGTAAATCCTAATTTTTTCTAGATATTGCAGTCTCGATTTCCGAATTCTAAAATATTCCATTAAAACTTGCCCTTTGTCAATTTTTCTAAATCTAAAACCGTTTTGTTGAATACACTTCCATAAGGTAGTCCTGCCATATTTAACACCGGTTTCATTTTTTTCAAGCCTCCTAATCAAGATATCTAATGTAGGTACGCTTTGTTCCTCGTATAACTGGTAAATTTTAGGCCGTATTATATATTGATCACTTTCATCTATACTCGAGAAAATGTCACCATCGCTTCTTTTATTCCTGGCTGAAATGGGATTATTCACATTTTTCCATACAGTTGATGTTGGAATTTTTGTCAATGTGGTCTTTTTTTCTAAAGATGCTTGCTTGCTAGCACCACGTTCAATGAGAGTCAAATATACATTGTCTATAACTTCCTTAGTCTCAATAAAATAGTATTTTCTACATTTGGGCGGGAGCATCTCCTGAGATACCCTAGACTCGCACATATTTTGCATAATTCGCACACGATTCAACACACGCTGTATTTCGCACGAAATAAGAATGATTACTAATAAACTTAAACTAAGTAGTATACCAAACCAAAGAATATTAAACACAGGTAGGTATAAAATTATTTTCTAGTACGGGCCACAATTTTACCTGAATTTAAATTCCGAAACTTTAGGTAATAATCTTGTTAATGGCCACCCTTGGATAATCCCATTCAAAAACAATTGGTCACTTTCTTATATCTATGAACAGACTTTACCTCCGAAATTATTTTCAGTTCTAAATTATTCAGCCAGTTTTCATTTAGTAATTCTTCAGTACCTTTTCTTTCTACTTCTCGTTTCACATCTGCTGCAGTTCACTCGGCTGCAATGTGTGTAATCTCGTTATAATTTACGAAACGCCGTCGACGTGAGAGATGGTTGGTTTACCGGCACCTTTTCGATAAGATATCGGTACCGAAAAAATCGTAATCCCAGTTCCACCATATCTCCATACGGCGGCCAGAGCAAACAAGAGATTAAGTAAATTCCTTTATCATTTCACATCGTTCTCGCATATTTTTTCGGTTTTCGTCAGTCTGCCGGCATCAAATATGCAATGGTTATCGTACGAACGTCGCGCCTTTTCAAACTATGCTTCGCGGGAATCGTGGTGACGTTGTTCCTGATGATGGTGAGCAGGAAGGGAATCTCACAAAGGACCGGTTACGTCGGATATATCACGCTGTACCCTAGAAGCGAGAAGGATATCGTCGATGTGGAACAGGACTATACCGAAAACGAGTACGTCGAGGTCACTACGAGTAGGATAATCGACGAGAAGATGCCTGGAGGTATTGACGTATTGACAAAACCATTTGGTCCTATACCATTCATTTTCCCGGTATTTGGGGGCGGGGTTTCGCGGCTCTTGGAAGCAAGCCGAAGTGATACCCTTTCATAAGAGTGTCGTTAATGATTTTAGACCAATCGATGGTTGAAAAAAAAATTGCAGGTCGTGTGCAGATACTCTGTCGTGAGTGCTAGACTGCTTCTGATTTGCTTTATGTTACTAAGGTGACCAACTATTTTTTTCCCATAAATAACAAAGTTTTATTTCACAGTATAAAACCAGTGGTGGTGTTGAGATTTTCACAGTTTTTAATACTTTATGTGCCTTTATCAAATACAAAGTGTGACTATATTCCGACACATATATAATTGCAGGTAGTACAGGGATATAGGGTTATAAATTGAAATTTAACAACGGAGACGCATTTAAATCCAATTGGTCATTAAGTAATAAATTCGAATATCTCATTTTGTTAATCTTCTATCAAATTTAGTTTTTTGCTTTTTGCAATTGTGTAATTTAATTAAAGAATATAACTTTGGAGTTTGAGGGTTCATGATTATTAGTTGGTATTTATTCTTGTCATTAAAAAGTGATGAATCGCTAATTATTGTGTTCATTTGTTTTTGATATGATTCGGTGGGATCATATCGTATACTTTGATACCACTTTCTACAGAAAATTAAAAAAAAAATTATAAAACAAATAGCTTTTAACAATGGTGACGACCCCTCTTTGATAAGATTATAATTAAAAAGCAGTTTCAAATAACTCTGAACTCTAAACTCTACAAACGACGATCTGGATGTGCCGCCCAAGACCTAAGAACTTCTTGGTCCAGTAGTGTTGTCCCAGATCATTGGTCATGTTACCCTTTCTCGACCATTTTAACTAGGGCACCTGGTGGTAGGTTTTCTTTCCATTCAGGCTTTAATAGCTTTCCCTTAAATATGAATAGGTGGAATACTATTTCCCAACGCATTACGGCATCCAGGTGCACCTAAGTGAACACGTCTGGCACCTTTTAACCCAATAACAAGCTGTTGATGATGAATAGTTATTCGGCGTCCCATATCGTCCATATGAAAACGCTGTACACTACACTTTGCATGTATTTCATAAGCGAACAAAAAAAAGAAGAAAAAACTTTATTTTCTTTTAAAAGCAATAATCGTTCCCTTTCAATTTCTGTTAAAACTTTTGAATCTTTTGTCAAATTCTATTTCTTCAATTTTTCTTCATTTAAAAATAAATATCTTCGAATTTTTTCAAACTGAAAATTGTCATTAATAGCAATAAAGATCCTGCATTACGAATTCGACTGCTGAAGAAGTTTCTTTCCATTCAATTTTACTATTTAGACAGGCGGTCCATTTGAAACAACTTAATGCTCTAAAGTTCACCATCAATTCTTCGATATAATCTTAGCAAAAACGGTTATTTTATTCTTTAGAATTAAAGCTACAAATCACTCGTTAAATCTTGATTTACAGTGTGAAATCACAAGGAGTGAGGTCTGGAGAACTGGGAGGCCGCCGTCAATAAAGTTGACCTTCTGCTCTTGCTCTTTTAACTTTACTGTAGTAATAATAACTTTAACATTAGACTCATGTTTCTACCTTTACTGGTTTCGAAATCTGCTCCAGCAGAGTGCTAGTCAGTTTCGCAGTAGGAACCCGAAAAATGTTTACGGAAGTTTCTTTGACAAATGTTTCAGCATTTCTGAGGTCTATCCCTCCGGTGAAACAAACGAATAAAAGCTACTGCAAGTTCAACTACGGCCTGCCGTACGACTTGAAGTACAAAGCGAGACACATCGGGTTTTCCCCCGAAATAGGCAGGGCCGGACCCTACAGGATCATCCACAACGTCACGGAGGCGTGGCACTTCGACGGGGTGCCGATGGTGACGTACGCGAGTCACGTGACGGCCAACTTTGCGTACTACATTCCCGAACTGTTGAGGTTGTTGTTTCCTGAGAAAATGGCGCGATAGTGACGATTAGGGAAGTTCTGCTTCAGATACTGGGACGGTTTGGTGAGCCTTTCCGCGTTCGTGCCTGATCTGGACGTCGCCATGTTCCTTGAGCAGATCAACCAGTACTGTTACTGCGTGCCCGGGATGGCTAGAGTCTCTATCCATCTGATTTACCATAAAGGAATACCGATGTCGAAGAAAGACGTATACTTTACCCGACCGGATGATTGTCTAATTCAAGACTCGTCGAAGATCAAAACCCACAGGGATTTTGACGACACCGTGGTCTATCCGGTTAACGTCTGCCGGAACGTGGCAAGGAATAGTTCGCTGACCAAGTTCGTGATGGTATCGGATATACAGTTGATGCCCAGCAAGGGTAAGCACCATTTTGTTAATAAGTGGAGGCACCTTGCTTCTTGACAATTGACGACCTAATAGTCGTCTCAGGTCATCTATAGTCTGTTCATAGATTGATACGAATTAAGGAAAGACCCGGGCAAGCTGTAAGAATGAAATATGGCCGAACAGGTCCGTACTTTGCTTAGAACTTAAGTATTGGGGATTTTGAACGACAATTCCGTCAGTATCTTACGAGGGGACCATTTTTCATAATTTTTTCTTTTATACCAGTTTTGTCGGTTTCAAATCTTTTAACGCCGAACCATTTTTTGAAGTTAGGAAATAGGTATAGTCTGTTTCAATCTTCATAGTGTTGGCTTTTCGAAGGATCCTCCCCAATAAAATTTTAACTAACGATGTGATTACAGACTAACGACAAGGTGACAACGCAGGTGTTTCTGATACATTCCTTGAGTGTCGACCATTTGTGGCCTTTTAATTTTTTTACTGTGGGTTTCGAAATATATGTGAAACTGCGATTTTCACACTCACGGTATAGACAATAGTGAATTGAACCTAATAAAAAGGAAAATATTTATTTATTTATATTTTACATTCAACGGGCAGATACAACTACCCAATTGCAGAGTGGTACTATATATAATATTTAACAAAATCGGCAAGCTGAGCAATAAATCTCTTATATCTAAAATGAAAACAAAGGTTAGAGTTAAATAAATAATAACTACGAGCTAAATAAATTTATATAAGTTTGTTTCAAATAAACTAATTATTATAAATTTGATAAGAAATGTAACTACCATATATACCATACCAATTGAGGGCACATTATAAAAATTGCAAAATTACATTTCTATAGGAAACAACATTAACTCTATTATAATTAATCTCAATGACGAATCTGATACTGAAACAGAATTAGATATTTAGAATAAAAATGTAAGGATATATGGATATTCTCAGCTATGAATTTATTGTGTATATTTAATAACATTGTTCTTTCACCTAAATAAACAAAAAATCCTTTGATTGTCCGTCCCTAATGTCCTGTCCGTTAACAACTATAGGACCCGAGCTTTATTACCGTCGGAGGTTACTTCCACAATTGCGGAGGAAAGCCAACACGACGAAGATTAAGGCAGACCATACGCCCATACTCAAAAATAGATTTATATCCCCGCAAACCTGAGCTATTAATACGCGACATCTCTCGTACACTGGTGGAACTATTTTTTTTTCGGTTTGTTTGGAAACCTTTAAATTTGTCATCTCAAGATCTCCCCAGGGGCGAAAAGGGGCAAACATGCTACTTATTTTCTATGTGATGATATTTCGGGGGTATAAATCTACAGGAAAAAAAAATTGTTAAATAAAGTATGTCCCGTGCAATAAAAATTTAAACAATACCGCAAACAACAATCGTAAAATTAAAAAACATATATCATACTACCAGAAAATGATCCTTGGTTATATCAAGTTTATTCTCTTTTTCCCAGTATTTTTTATTATTAAACTGATCCATTTTTCTTTGGAGAGCTAAAATACATATATATTTTTTTTTTCAAAGAAACTTCCACATTCTACTGTAATACTTTTTACAAAACTTCTGGATTCCTCCTGCGTCTGTTTTTGCTGAGTCGAACTTGCTGACGTTTCGCCAATTATCCTGTTGGCCTCTTCAAAGTTTGATCGAAACTGTCTCGTATTTTACTCTATTTGAGGGGGGGCGGAGCTAAATGAGGGACATAAACACCGTCTCGGATGACCGATTCCCATATTGGTGACAGGAGACCTGAGTCGCGGTGAAGATTGTTAGGTTGTTTATAGATTTCTATAGACTCTCGGGTTTGGTAGAAGAACTGATTACATGCAGAACAGCTGATGAGTTTATTTGTCTTGGTCGTAAAGCTCTTTCGTGTTCTTTGAGTCTAGTTGATATTTTTCGTAGTCGCTCCAATGTTTCTTTGCCGAATATGTGTGCAATGCGGTAAACTTCTGGCATCTCAAATGGAATTTTGTCTTTGACGGGCCGAAGATGTTGAGAGATTTTTGGACACGTTCTAAATCTGGTTTTAATGTTACACTTCTTTAGAACTTTCGATATGTGGTCAGTGATGTTTTCAATGTAAGGAAGGACCACAGTGGCAAGTGTTTGTGTGTGTTTATCTTCTACTCAAAATCACGTTGAGAAATTTGAAAAACTAACGTCCACTCTAGGAAAAACATCAAACTCTTGTCAACTACCAAAAACAGTAATAAACATATCATGTATCATCAACTTTCGGAAACGGTTCCAACTTCGTCCTTGCCCCACGTATTATCCCAAAAGAGCAAATCATTTCAAATGTCGAGCCTATCCTAAACAAACTGCCATCTCAAACAGCTAACGAAATTCGATTTGAAACCTTACGGTAGTCATGGACACAAAAGAATATCAGGAAAATATTCAAGACACTCTTAAAGACGGATCATACCGTCAACTTAAAAAAGATCCTACGTCATCTATGATTCACAACAGTTTCATTCCGGCTCTGAAGAAGCCAACGGGATGATTGGGGAAACGTCAGCAAGTTCGAGTCAACAAAAACCGACGCAGGAGGAAGTATGATAGTTTTATCATTTATTACTTTCAGACCTGGCTCGTAGGTTCCTCCAAATGGTGGATAAGTACCACAAAAACAACACCGGCGAAGTGTTCGTGGTACCCATTTTCGAAGTGGAGGAGACCGAGCGGGTACCGCGGACTAAAAACGAGTTGATACGACTGCTAGCGGACAGGAAGGCCGTATACTTCCACGGAATGGTGTGCGAACACTGCCAAAAGTTTCCCGCCATAGAGAAATGGGTCATGTCGGATTCGGGAAAGACAATTAAGCCGTTTTATACGGTGAAAAGGAGGTTCCCGTACCATAGGTGGGAGCCCATCTTCATAGGGACCAACGCTGAACCATTGTACAACGAAAAATTGTCGTGGGACGGACTGCAGGACAAAATGCCGCAGGTAATTCCGTTTCTTCCATCTTTTCCCAATAGAGGGAGCCAAAAGTCTGCATTTTTTTCAAAGTACGTTCGTTTAAGTTGTCGGCGTCCATGTTATATTGCATCGTTTTAAAATCATTGATTCTGCGTGATGATGTGTTTAAAAAAAGGCGCTTATAGTTCAAGGTTTTGTTTTAATGATTTCGTTAGTACTTATTTGAAAAAATTAACAATTTGCTCATTGTTTGAAAAAACTAGTAACTGTTGTTTAAGTTTAAAATGTAAAAAGTTAAAAGAAAAGGCGCCTTTATTTCAAGGTCGTCTTAAGGTCAAATTGGTCTTTATTTTAAGGATTTCGTTAGTACTTATTGGAAAAAAATTAATCACCTTCTGTATTGTTCAAAAAAATTAATAACTATAACTATAACTCTAAAGTGTTTGAAGAAAGACGCCTTAAATTCAAGGGCGTCTTAAGGTCAAATTAATTTTGTGTCAAAAAGGTCGCTGGTACTTATTGGACAAAAATTAACAACTTTTGTATATTGTTTGTAAAAACTAATAACTTTAAAAAAAGGTGCATTTAATTCAAGGTCATCTTAAGGTCAAATCGATTTTGTTTTAAACAGCTCGCTGGTACTTATTGGCAAAAAATTAACAACTTTTGTATATTTTTTGAAAAAATTAATAACTTGTTTAACTTTAATGTGTTTAAAAAAGGCGCTTTTAATTCAAGGTTTTGTTTTAATGATTTCGCTAGCACTTATTGGAAAAAAATTAACAACTTGCACATTGTTTGAATACACTAATAACTCTTATTTAAGTTTAAAGTGTTTAAGAAAAGGCTACTTTATTTCAAGGTCAAATTGGTCCTAATTTTAAGGATTTCGTTAGTACTTATTGAAAAAAATTAATCACCTGGTGTATTGTTTAAAAAAATAATAACTATAACTATAACTCTGAAGTGTTTGAAGAAAGACGCCTTTAATTCAAGGTCGTCTTAAGGTCAAATTGGTTTTGTTTTAAAAAGCTCGCTGGTACTTATTGGAAAAAAATTAAAAACTTTTGTATATTTTTTGAAAAAATTAACAACTTGTTTAACATTAATTTGTTTAAAAAAGGCGCTTTTAATTCAAGGTTTGGTTTTAATGATTTCGCTAGCACTTATTGCAAAAAAATTAACAACATGCGCATTGTTTGAAAAAACTAATAACTGTTGTTTATGTTTAAATGTTTAAGAAAAAGCGACCTTATTTCAAGGTCGTCTTAGGGTCAAATTGGTCTTTATTTGAAGGATTTCGTTATTGAAAAAAATTAATCACCTTGTGTATTGTTTAAACAAATTAATAACTATAACTATAACTCTAAAGTGTTTGAAGAAAGACCTCTTTAATTCAAGATCGTCTTAAGGTCAAATTAATTTTGTGTCAAAGAGCTCCCTGCTACTTATTGGCCAAAAATTAAAAACTTTTGTATATTGTTTAAAAAAACTGATAACTTTAAAGTATTTAAAAAAAGGCGCATTTATTTCAAGGTCGTCTTAAGGACAAATTGATTTTGTGTCAAAGGGCTCTTAGCCGGTACTTATTGAAAAAATAATAATAACTTTTGTATAATATTTGGTTGTTTGAGTCAGTTGTGCTTAAAATATTCGCTTATCTTAAAGTCATTTGAAGGTCACCTTGTGTTTTTAGAGAACATACATTTAAAACGCTCTAGCATTCGTTACAAATAATTCGTAACTGCTGTTTAACTTAAATGTTTAATTAAGTGTTTTCTTAATTTATTTTTATTATCTTATTATTAAAATTAATATTTTGCTATAAGTAGTTATAATCAGAATAACTTCCATTGGGGAGCGTCTAACATTTAAAAATATATAGGGTGTTTCATGATTGATGGTACCTTGCACGTTTATGACGCTTACATTGAATGTTCTCAAAATTTGGTTAGTTTCATAAGCAGCGATATTCCACAGACATATCTAAGAAAAACATTTATTTTCTCTATTTTTCGACCAAAACATCGCTTAAATGTTTGGTGTGGATATTATTTCTATATCATACAATATACAAAAATAGTAAAAAGTGCATCTTTTTCACTAAAATTTCCCTTTCGAAATATGTATCACGTCCCTATACCTAATTTTTTTGTTTTTTGAAATTAAGGCCATAATTAATTTTCCTGTTTTAATGAATTTGTTCATTATGCATAACCAGAATGTGTAGAAAACTTAATGAAACGATTTCTCTATGGTGTATCCAAGATAAAAATGTGTATCGTGGAGATATTGGAAGCCATAACAGATAAATTCGAAAAAAAGTTAAAAATTAAAGACTTTTGAGAAAACCAATGGCAACAAAATTATTTTGACGCCACCATATTTTTTTGCGATTGATACAATGTATTGTGTTGTATTCGTCTCAAATAAATGCTGCAGAGAGAGGCCTTTATTGTTTACATCTCTTTAAATAACACTAAAAATACATAAAATTTCTTTTTTTTTTTGGTTGGTTTTGATTAGTTAAAAATAACATAATAAAACAATAACAATAAAACAATTACAGCCGATCATAATTTTCTAGTCGTTGGAAATGTGCCTGAGGGATTACGATTACACAGTGTTGGACGGTTGTTTCTTGGTCCACTGGCCAGGCATGAAAAAGACGAAGATTGTCGACGAGGAATGGCGGATACCGTTCGTCAGGGACAATATGCGCGAGTACAAGAAGATCCTTGGCCGGTTCTACAAGAAGTACAAGATCATACCGCAGTGCAAGATACTGACGGTTTCTAAACTGCCCGGTTTTAACGAAACAATCAATTAGAATACATTCGATGCGAATTTTCAAATAGCATAGGGTTATTTATACGGTTTAACTTAATAAATTATTTAATCGCGAGTTATTTTGTTTCAGTGTTCCAACGGATCCTTAAAGCTTCCCCTCTCAACAGACTACCAAAAGGTGGGGGGGGGGGGGGAGGGGAAATCATTTATTGAAACAAATAAAAAATAATAACAATGCGAAACACGAATAATAATAAGATGAGAAAAATACGTGAAATACAAAAAAAGCTCAAAAAATAGTAAGCTATTTGAGAGATATATAAGTAATATTCTAGAATTTATAATTAAAGTTGGGATTTTATATAAAAAAACATCTTTTATATTATTAGGAATATCAACCCAATATTTTGAATATGCCCGTTTTAGAATGAAATAATTACATTAACGATATAAAAAAATTACATATTTCGCATAAAATGAAGCTTTAGTACATATTTTCAGTTGTGTTTTCTATTTTTCGAGCATAAAATCGCATATTATTATTATTATTATTACAAAAAATTAAGTGTAGAGGAGAACCCCTTATGCACATTGATAGCAGCACGAGAGTGTTATACATATATATAATAAATATTGAGTTATTCGGCGCACACACAACATCTGTTCCAATAATCGAAAGTCCTGTTGCTTATAAAATGCAGGCGATGTGTTCTTATTTTAAATGGATATACATATATACATTTGAATATACATTTGAATGAGATCACCTCGATCGCCGACGCTGACTTAATATTGGTAGACTGGGGAAGCAAATTCCAGGATGGGGCGAATGTAAGTGGTGAAAAGTATGCAAGCGATGGGAGGACTAGGATTTTTAAAATCCTTTTTTAACAAAAATAACGCGCAGTTTGCTTTCTTTGCAATATTTGATACATGTACAGACCACGCAGTTACTGTCACGCTTGACACAACATTTCTATTGATATAATAGTTCAAACCCGAATTGTTCTTGCCAACATGCAGCGCAGACCACTTTTGAGCATTCAGCGGCGATAGCTAAATTGAACACCACTTGGAAATAGTATTCCATGCTGGAGAGCAAATCCACGGTATACACTAAGAATAGCACTAGTCCCAGCACCGATCCCTGGGGAACACCACTAGGCACGTTTTGTGGCAGCGAAAAAGCGTTATGGTCTGTTCATAGATATAAGAAAGTGACCAATTGCTTTTGAATGGGATTATCCAAGGGTTTCGGAATTTCCATTCAAGTAAAATTGTGGTCCGTAATAGAAAATAATTTTATACCTGCCTGTGTTTAATATTCTTTGGTTTGGTATACTACTTAGTTTAAGTTTATTAGTAATCATTCTTATTTCGTGCGTAATACAGCGTGTGTTGAATCGTGTGCGAATTATGCAAAATATGTACGAGTCTAGTGTATCTCAGGAGTTGCTCCCTCCCAAATGTAGAAAACACTATTCTATTGAGACTAAGGAAGTTATAAACAATGTTTATTTGACTCTCATTGAACGTGGTGGCAGCAAGCAAGCAACTTTAGAAGGAACGGCCACGTCGACGAAAATTCCAACATCAACTGTATGGAAAATTGTGAATAATCCCATTTCAGTGAGGAAAAAAAGAAGCGATGCTGACATTTTCTCGAGTGTAGATGAAAGTGATCAAGATATTATTAGGCTTAAAATTTACCAGTTATACGACGAACAAAGCGTGCCTACATTAGATATCTGAATTAGGAGGCTTGATAAAGATGAAACCGGTGTTAAATATAAACTTCTTTAGATCGTAGTTATAATTTACCTAAATCCAAGCTTTGCTTTCACTGTAGAGATAAGCCTATATTGTGCCATTCTGTAATTGAGTAGCTGAGTCTGCCTGTTGAATGGCCTGTGACATATAAATAAATAAGTAAATAACACGGTCTGAATCGATTAGCCATGTTTTTTCAGAATTTTGATTTGCGTTTAATAATTTACTCTGGAAAATAACAATTTTCAGGGTCTACAAATTTTTGTGCATAATTGAAAAACATTGTGCGTAATTGTAAAAATGCTTAAAATAAAAGTTATTCTGCGTCTCCTGGTTAAAGTAATTTGGGGATCGGGTTAACAGTTTTCGAAAAAATAAGTTTTGTCTGGAAGCCAGGATGACCCAAAAGAAATTTCTTCAAAAATTTATAAACAATACTTGCCGAAACTTGATTGCTCCCAGTCTTTACAGTTTAGATATGGGAATAGACTTTAACTTCTATACTAAATTACGTTTTTGAATATGTGAAAGAAACTGACAACTGAATCAATGCCCTCTAGTTACGGTCGATTATCATTATAAAAAAGGCCAATTTTCAGTTTTTTGCACGTTGTACATTGTAAAAAAGAATAAAGGTTTTTGGTCTGGATTCGCACGTCTTTTGGTTCAAAAATTTATTCGGTCGTATATAACTTTTTTCCGGATACCATGCAAATGCAATTTTTAAATTTTTAAAAATACTCCCCGACCCGCCAGCACCCCCAGGTGCCATTTTGAGAAGCCTATACCAAGGCTAACCAACCTTTATATTTTTTCAAAAAGACGAAACCATTTAGAAGAAAAAAACTAACTACGCCACTGAATTTTACGTAAAAATATTTCTTAGGATACCCGAGATACGGGTGGTGCCCCAGAATTTTAAATTTCCCAAATCACTCTGTATTTTAAAAACTAAGCAAGTCATGAAAATTTTGATAACATCATCATGTCGGACATACATCTCAGTCGCGTCCTTACTTGATAAGGTTCTTCTTTGACATGCAGTTGAACGTACGTATTTCATCGCTGTAATTTTATGCTCAGTTTCACTCGTACCCTGTACCGTGCGTTTAGTTTATCTTGATAACATTTTAGTTGGCTGTAACTAGTTTGTTTTTAGAGATATCAGGGTAAACAAAAAAAAAATCTAGGATTAATAGCCAAGTGACGTATAAAACAAAACGCTGTCAATTTTCTGACATATAAGCGTACATGTTTTTTTTAATGGAACACCCTGTATATTATATATGTGTTTAATAGAATATCTTATTCCGATTATATGTTTATATTTTAGTCCACTCGTTTTTGACGAGTAGGCAAAAATTTTATATTTTTATATAATTTCAATGAGTGCCCTGACTGACAAATAAAAATATGTTTATGTTTGACATATTAGTAAGCAACGTTGGTGGTTGAATTATTGTCCAAGCCATTATTCTTGGAATGAAGAAGAACGAAACAAAATAACGTCGCCTGCAGCGACCCCTCTAGTGGCAGTGCATAAATTTATTGATCGTACCCAAACTCCGCATTGGGGCGCAGTTGGCCCTGGTCGGACTCGGTCCACGCAATCGCGGTTAATCGGTTAAGTTTCGCGTAAACCAAACGTCAGTATGGCTCCGTTGTCGGAAGATTGAATTATCATCGTGGATGGCCGGGTCTCCGACGCAATTAAACATGTCACGTGAGTAATAACGCGGGCCGACAATTTTGAAACTGTCGAAAGTCAATTTTATTGTGACATTTGATAATTTGGGCCTCGTAAATTTAAACCTGATTAATTAAAATGACGATCTCGGTTCATTTAAACATTATTTGTATCATTACAAGAACTAAATCCGAATTTAAAAATCAAACGATGGTTAAGTCGAACTGAGGTGGCTTTTACTTAATGAAAATCCATTTAACAACATAAATAAGTTCAGATTATCACGAAATTATATATATTCACATGGCAATTGTTTCGACAATCCGTGTCTTTAACAAATGTAATATTTACAAACTACCTGCTACTATATATCCCGAAAAATGACAATAAAACTTAATTAATGTTGTTGTGAGAATTTAAGTTCAATAAAGGAGAGGTATTTAAATCTAATTGATCGTTAAGCAATACATTTGATGTCTCATTTTGTTAATCTCCATGGCTTCCAATAAATTTAATTTTCTACTTTTTGTGGCTGTGTGATAAGTGTGATAGGTGTGTGATGTTGATTAGAATCTGTTTGAATAAAGGAAAAAAAAAACCTACTATCAATCCAAAAAAGTGGGTTTTTAAGTATTCATCTGCAGTTTTGATGTATATTTCAGTCTGCTAAGTTACGAAAATGCAGGTTTTGACTATAATCTACTCGAAATCAATGGTTTATTTGTCCCAACAAGAGGGGTTTCAAGTACATATCTGCTTTTTTAAGGTAGTTTTGGGTGGGTGGATGATAGTATAAGCTGATTTCTGCTGTTTTGATGCGGATTTAGATAAGATATATGTCGGAAGAGCCGATTTCGACTGGAATCTGTAGAAATGAGGAAGAAAAACCTACCATCAATCCAAGAAATTGGGTTTTTAAGTAGCCAATATCAAAACTGTCGTCAAAAATGTATTTTTTTGTGTTTAAGTGTGTAGCATAATTAGAATCTAGACTATTGTTTTTAAAAGCTCTTTTATGTTCGTTAATGCGTTTCTTGAAGGATCTACCTGTTTGTTCAATATAAGTTTTAGGACATGATCGGTATTTCAACCTGAGGTTTTGGACACTTCGTTTTATTGTTTTTTAAAAATTTTCCTATTGTATTGTTAGTTCTGAAAGCTATTTTTTGCAGTGCCGTAGGCGTGTTTACGTTAATTTTCAAAACCAAATTTTCAAAATTATTGTTAGTGCGGAGATAATTTATCTTATTCTTATTCGCTCGCCTTTTGTAATAACTTTGTTGCAATGTGTTTCTTATCAACTGCATGCGCGAAAGCGTTTCATTTTTCTCGGATTTTAGATAAATAACGAGTATTTCGATGGTCGTCGGGCCCAGGAACCAAAAACGATGCTTTTCCGCCGTGCTGACGTGCTGCATCCTCTTGATTTTTTTCGGTTACCAGTTCAACGCGAAACATTTCGGCCTGTCACTCGGAACATACGACGACGACGGCCGGGACAACTTGCCGGGAGGTAACTGACACGAAGAGACCTTACTTGGACAGTAGTACACTCTCTAAAGTCTGTTCATAGATATAAGAAAATGACTAACTGATACGAATTAAGGAAAGTCCCGGGCAAGCTGTAAGAATGAAATATGGCCGAATAGGTCAGTACTTTGCTTAGAATTTTATTATTTGGGGTTTTGTTAGGAAAGATACTAAACAATATTTATTTATTTGTGTTTGTATTTATGTTTAAATATAAAATAAAATTATAAATTATTTTTATTACCTACTGAAATTACTTAAAATTATTCACATAATATATGAGTATCACTATAGCTATCATCGCCTGTTCTAATTATTATGGATATACTCTACTTTTTCTATATGTTTAACAGTATTTGCCCAACTTTGTGGAGGGATCTTAAATACTTCGGTTTCTATAAGTTTGAGGACATTGGAGTTAACACGGGGAAAAACATTGTTACGACGAATGGCAGATTTCAGTTGGTGCCAAACATGTTCAATGGGATTAAATATACAGTGGTAAAGTGGAAGCCTTAAAACTGTAGGCTGTAGATTTTTTGCATAATTATCACAGACGTATTCCTTTGGTAGGTTCAAGCTTTGTAGAACCTCAATTAATTACTTTTTGGTATAATCTTCGTGAACATAAATGTCGTCATTATACATGTAGTTTTGGATTGTTGGTAAGGTATTAGTCAACTGTCTACTGTGATAACTTGCATTGTCCATTACAATGACGCTGTTAGGAGGAATGTTTGGCACTAGTTTGTTTTTAAACCAACTTTCAAATAAATCAGCGGCGGTGCCTTCATGGTAATCCAGAGAAGAATCTTTAATATTTTTCGCAGACAGAGAAAGTCCATTTGGAATTGAACCATTTTTAGAGCCAGCATGCAAAATAGTTATTCTTTTACCTCTTTTTGATGGTGCGTTTGTTTTACACTTATCAGTTGAGTCAACCGTACCCTTTTCCGGAGTATCATAAGTGTCGAACTAGGTTTCATCCAAGTAAATAATTGGCCTTTGTTGTTCTCTGTAAATCTTAATATTTTCAAAATATTCCAGTCGTCATTTCCGAATTCTAAAAGATTGCATTAAAACTTGCTTTTGTCAATTTTTTTAAATCTAAAACCCATGTGTTGACTAAATTTCCATAAGATAGTTCTGCCACATTTAACACCGGTTTCATATTTTTCAAGCCTCCTAATTAAGATATCTAATTGCTCCTCGTATAACTGGTAAATTTTACGCCGTATTATATCTTGATCACTTTCATCTACACTCGAGAAAATGTCAGCATCGCTTGTTTTTTTCCTCGCTGAAATGGCATTATTCACAATTTTCCATACAGTTAATGTTGGAATTTTCGTCAATGTGGGCGTTCCTTCTAAAGATGCTTGCTTGCTGGCACCACGTTTAATGAAAGTCAAATAAACATTGTTTATAACTTCCTTAGTCTCAATAGAATAGTGTTTTCTGCATTTGGGCGGGAGCATCTCCTGAGGTACCCTAGACTCGCAAATATTTTGCATAATTCGCACACGATTCAACACACGCTGTATTACACACGAAATAAGAATGATTACTAATAAACTTAAACTAAGTAGTATACCAAACCAAAGAATATTAAACACAGGTAGGTATAAAATTATTTTCTATTACGGACCACAATTTTACCTGAATTTAAATTCCGAAACTTTAGGTAATAATCTCGTTGCATTGTATGTTAATGACCACCCTTGGATAATCCCATTCAAAAGGAATTGGTCACTTTCTTATATCTATGAACAGACCATAGCAACCTAAATTCTAATTAATGCCTTCCAGAAAACCTGAAACGACCCAAAAAAAAAATTAATCATAGCTTGTAGTGATGTTTCCATTTTTCCCCATGTTTACGCAAAAAGTAGTATAACAATGACGGTTCTAAGCCCCTTTTGGCTAAAAAATTTAAATTAATAAATCAGTAAATTTAATAATAACAATTTAATAAAATTAATAAATAGCAGTGTGTGCATGGAATTTGTATTAGTTGTATTGTTAAATATTGACTATTTGTGTTAGATACTAGTGTGATTTGGATTTATTATTGAAAACCATATGAAGGGTTGATTCTGGAAGAATAATATACCGGCTATCCCATTTTGGGCCCTTTTATGGGTCCCTCGGTTATTTTTTCACATAGAAAGTTGCGGTGCTCTTTTTTTTTTTGAAATTTGAGATTCCGCCAACAAAATTGTCATGGGTTTCGATTTTGGGGCCACCCTCGTGTCTCGGTTGTTTTACAAGTTATTGAAGAGCTTAAAAAAACGTTCGTGTAAAGTTGTTTCGAAAGTTGAGCTCCAAATTTAGTTTTTTTCCATATTTTACTTTGTTTGTAGCAGTATTCCATGATTAGTCTAATAAAAATAATATCCAAGTGAACAATTACTAACATACAGGAAACTCAATACTTTGAAATTAAATTATTTAAATATGTAATAATTTTCAACTTAATATAGTCCGTTCTACTAATATACTAATACTAACATAATGTTATACCTACAACTGTTGTGTTTAAGTTGGAGACTATTTTCTAGAATGTAAAAGTGGCACATATACCCCGAAAAAGTGTTCAAAATGGGATACACTGTGCAAATGTATTCGTCGGCCATCTTAAATTTTAAAAGTGCACGCATAAGTAAGGCCTTAAAACTAATATTGGGGTATAAGAGTTGAAGGTCTTCAAAATGCGGCATTGGCACAAAATAAATTCAGCTTAAATCTTAAAACCTATAAAGACATTTTTTTCCGACTTTATTCAAAATACCTTCTACTTAAGTGTCACTTTAACCGTCGGATCGCATTTGCAGCGTACCTAAGGTACTTAGTACCGTCCAACGCGAGTCACTGCAAGTTCAACTACGGCTTACCCGAAGATTTCATTTTCTTCGATGGGGATACGTACGGCAGTCCCGAATTAGGAGCATCTAGTCCTTTCCGCGCATTGTACCACGTAGTGGAATCTTCTTCATCGCCTGAATTACCCGCCGTCACTTACGCCACGCATCTTACTACCAATTTCTTAAGCTACTTAACGGAAGTACTTAGGTAAGTAAGTTAAAGCCAAGCCAATATTGTATTATACCATTGTATATGAAATGTCAAATAAGGAACTACAGAATTAAAATTAAAAAAGTATTTAAAAATAAACTACTGTACTTTCAGTTCCTTTGTTTGTAACCTTGAGTAACATCTGCTAGCTACGTCATTGTTCCAGTGTGGAGGAACGTATACCTTCCTATTTTTGAAGAAAGTAAACGAGATAAAGAAGATATTGATTTGTTGATACTGCTACTATTTACTTTTTGAAAGCCCAAGTACAATCACAAAGTTTGACTGAATATCCAAAATGCCAAGAAGTATTTACAATGATTTACTCTTCTCCACACGACATCTTTACAAATGGAATTCGTTTCGTTGATGAAGTTGATGGCATTATAGATATTTGAAGTAGAAGCTGAAATTATTATATGATTCTAATGAAGAGACAATTGATGCATCCCTTTTCTTAGAACAGCGGACAGAGATTCTGCAAAGAAAAGAAAATGAAGATGAAGAAATAATTGAAGTAGAAGTAGACAATTATCTGTGGCAACAACCATTTTGAAAATTATCAATATTACCATACTTTCAATCAGTAGGATACGATCTGATCAAATTTTCTTAATTACAATAGATCGTGGAGTATAACTACTGGGGAAACCACTTAAAAAAAATTCATCAAGTACATTACCTGATAAGTGGTGCGGAAATGTGTGCGTATTATGTGAAATATGAATTTTCTAATAGTGGGGACCGCGGTATCTCACGAATAATAATAAAATGACAATTATTAAATTCCGACAGGGATGTTACTTGCAAGTCGTTGAGTTTGGGGTTCCTTTGATAATATAAAATCAACAGTCAGCTTGCCAATGTACTGAAACACCTTATGAAAACATGGAGAACAACACTTTAATCTTCAAGCCTACAGAATAGATGAGATTAACAAGCCCTTAAGTGATATGCTAAGAAAGAGTAACGATAAGAAACAAAAGACCAAATTATCCCGAGCAATCTACATGTACATGTACATCAAAGTACATGCTAAAACCCCACATCAACTGCGGAGTTACTATTTTCAAATCTTCTGGATCGACAGTCGACACTTTATATAGCGAAATTGAAGGGACTGCCTTTTTTTCGTTATAAACAGTTATAGGCATTTGGAAAATAACAATACGCACATGTGTTTTGTAATATTTAATTATTTTATATACATATTTTAACATCTACTTAGGAATATTTTATATAAATATTTAAGAACTACATTTAATGTTTCAAATAATCGCTCATTTTCTTTTGAATTTTTTTAGTATGTCAATACGCATCTCGTAATTTGGGTTGTATTTTCACCATTTCTTCGAGAGGGACATCTTCCCCATGATACATAAAAAATTTCTCTTGTTGAATGGTTGGTGGTGGTCCCAGATCAATTTCTTCATCTTCTTCTTTCTCTTGGTGCTCTTCCTTACCCTTTCTTGCTTGTTGTAATATGGCTTCCTCTGTCAAGTCTGCAGTTGTAGGCAAATCCTGATCTATCACCATAAACTCCTTACTTGTAAACGTAATTGTTCGCATTCTGTCTCAATAATAAGTTCTGCATGACGATAGGAGTGTTGAATTGTTTCTGCTGTCACCTCTTTCCAAGTTTTACTAATAAAGTTGACTGCATCTGTCATATTAATGGAAAATTTGTCTTCGGACTCGATCATTTCCATTAAAATGTTTTTCCTGTATCGACTCTTAAGACTTTTTATTACGCTCTGGTCCATCGGTTGTAATACACTTGTCGTTTTGGTTGGAAGAAATGTGAATTCCGTAGATTTAGAATATGGGGATGTACAGGGCAGTTATCTTAGAGAAGTAATATTTTCCTCCCCTTTAATTTTGCATGCCATTTCCATATTTCCTCTTCAAAAATTTGCGATATCATCCACGCAGACTTGTTTGCCTTGTAAGTGACCGGCAATTGCTTGATGTTCTTAAAACATCGTGGGCTAGCCGATTTTCCAATTACGTTTTGGGTCACTGGGCGGGGCAAGTCCGTAGCGCGTAGTGCGTGTGGTAAAGGGACGCATTGTTTTTCTATCGTGCTCCTGTGGACCACAATGGAACTTTCGCAAAAATCGATGCAATTTAATTGTGCATTCACCCTGTATAAAATGTCCTTCACATCTCGTCGAACTTCAAAATTACAGCAAACATCGGTAAATATCAAAATTTGCACAAATAATAGCGTTGTCGTAGGATATTTTTTCAAATATCTCGCGCCCTGTATAATTGACGAAACTTGAAACTCTCACGACACGGTTCTCATCTTTAACGGTTTTTCATTTATCGCCAATAATTTAGCCACAAAAACGGTAATTTTTAGCATATTTTAGATTTTTTGCCCATAAATGACACACGCTGTATATGATACAAACATTGTACGAAGTAGAGGTTATAGCCCTGGATTTTCCACGGGTCCTGGTTCAAGAATTTTTCCAATGGAGTAAATGGTTTTCGAGAAAATAAGTTTTTTCTGAAACCATGCACTGCGCCGTAATAATCATGACGTCATGGCGTCTTGACAGCCCCCGAAATAGCGATTTCAATATGGATTTTTTCAAATATCCCCAGCAACGTATGTGAAAGACGAAAACCGCAAATACAAAAATTGTAGCTCTTGATGCGGCCTATGACACCGTTTGAACCAATTAGCCATATTTTTTACGATTTTTGATTTGCGGGTAATAATTTACTCTGTAAAAAAGCAATTTTCTACGTCTTTTAGATTTTTGCTTATAATTTGAAAACCCTGTATAAAATCGAAAAAATTCTTGAAATAAATGTTATTGCACTGGATCTTCTGCGTCGGCCGGTTAAAGAATTTTGCAACTCGGATGAATGATTATGGTGGAAAACATATTTTTCTGGAAGCTAAAATTACCAAAAAAAAAAAAAAATCAAATATATTTAAAAAATACTTGGTAATATTTGATTGCGCCCAATTTCTACAGTTTAAATGTGGACACGGACTTTTACTTCTCTGCCAAATTTGAAGTTGATATCAAATTTAGGACACCTAACGCATTTCTCATTTAGCACGGAATATCGAGAACACCCTGTACAATAGGTGAAACCCTTAAATACAAAAGTTTTTGCTGTCTATGCGGGCTAAATCGCAATATAAAAGAAAGCGAGATCTGAATCAGTTATACCAATCAGTTTCAGTTTTTTTGAATTTGCGCCGCACCCTGTATACTTTTGAAAAATTGACACGAATGAAAGTTTATAGAGCCGTATCTTCTGCTTCTTCTGGTTCAAGAATTTTTTTGAAAAATGATGTTTTTTGTAGACCCTTGCACGCGCGATTTTTATTTTTTTTTAGAATACTACCCGACCCCCCAGTCCCCCCGTTTTCAATAGGTTCCGTCACGGGGCAAAGCTGCACATATATGACAAATATGAAGTCGAATTTCGGACACTTATCGTGTTTCATAGCACGGTCCAAAAAATAGTGGAAAATCGCGAAAAAAATATGGATACCGGCGTCAGATCTGGGCCATTTCTTATAAGCTTATGTGCTTAAAAAGGTGGCAAGTTTCAATTTTGTAGCTCCAACGAAAGTTATTCTGGAAAAACAAAAAGACGAGAATGGAGAACAGAGAACGGAGAACGGACAAACAGACAAAAAAAAATTTTTGTTTTTCGACTGTGATCATTTATGTACCAACAGAAATCCCATAGGACTTACCGTTACCGAGATACATAATTTTTATACGAGCGCAGACACAACTGACATTTTTAAACAAATCAAAAAGAATAACTGTAGAAAAACAAAGAAAAAAATTGACACTGAAAAAAGCAAGGCAATATTCAAAAACGACGAAAAGAGAATGAAAGGAAAAATTGAATAAGTCTTTCAGCCTCTCCGTAATTTCCAGTTCATTTAATTTATTTTTAAGTTCAGTCCAAGATTTTAAACATTTTTTTTTGTTCTGTTTCCACACCAACGTTCGGTTTTAGGTATTGGGACGGTCTTGTAAGCGTAGCAGCCTACGTGCCAGATGGAGACCTTCGATCTATCATCAGACAACTGATTCACTATTGCTATTGCGTTCCCGCCATGTCCAGGGTTTCGTTGCATTTCGTTTTCCGTAAAAATGTGACGTTCAAGTCGACGTTATCCTTCAACAAAGGGCCGCCCACGAGTTGCGACATCATCGGAGGGTCGCCAAAAAAAACCGAACCCCCGCCGTTGATTCGCACCAATGACAGTTGGTACCCGGTCAATGTGTGTCGAAACGTAGCGAGGTCAGCGTCCGTCAGCGATTACGTGATGGTGTCCGACGTGGAACTGATGCCCAGCAAAGGTAAAGCTCAGCTCGTCTGGTTGTTTTTTTTTCAAAAGTTGATTAGTTGGGTCTTGTACAGAATTAAAAAAAGTAATTGAAAATATGTAATCCCTAATAAGACGTTTTTGTAGAACAATTTTTTTCATTCCAATTCCATTATAAATTTTACGTATTAAAATTAAATTCTCAATTTGTATTTCTAACTCAAGGCAGAATTACTGGGCTAATTCAGAATTTCTCAATCATAATGGTTTGATGTATAGTCCCTCACCAGATATTCTTACTTGGTTTTCAGAAATAATAACGCGTTTTTCAAAAATTCTGACTTAAATTATAAATTCCGATTTATTCTTCGCCGAAATAAACTAAAATCTGTACAAGTCAGAATTAAAAAAAAAAACGTTCAAAATAAATTCAATTGAATTGAATGACATCAGAAAGAATGAAAAATGAGTTATAATTTCTGTGCTAAATCAGAATTTCTAAATGGGTTGTTTATGAATCACCCTGTATATCTGATTAATCGATTGGCGATCCTTTACGAGAGATTTATGACAAATATTTTATAATATATTTTTTAGAAATAATGACTTGTTTTTCAAAAATTCTAATAAACTAAAATCTATTCAAGTCAGAATTTCAAAAAAAGGTTCAAGATATGATGAATGAATGATGAATGATTGAAAAATCAGTTATAATTTCTGAGATAAATCAGAATTTTTAAGTGGATTGTTTCTGAATCACCCTGTATATCTGATTTATCGATTGGCGATCCCTTGCGAGAGATTTATGTCAAATGTTCTGATTTCTTTATCAGAAATCCTGGTTTAATTAAGAAATTCTGACTTGTGTTTCAGAAATAATAACTTGTTTTCCAAAAATTCTGGCTTAAATTATAAATTCCGATTTATTCTTCGCCTTAATAAGCTAAAATCTATACAAGTCAGAATTAAAAAAAAAGTTTAAAATAAGTCAGAATTTCTGATCTAAATCAGAATTTCTATATGCATTGTTTCTGGTTCACCCTGTATATCTCATTTATCGTTTGTCAGGATTTGATTGAAAATTTGATTCAATAAACTAAAACATGTATAAGTCACAAAATACCAGAGGAATTTTGAGTCAAAAATTTCGGAAATTAATTTAGAAATTCTGAGTTAGGTGAGAATTTTTGAAAGATATCTAACAATTTGTGACTTATAATTTCTCAATGCTTCCGGTTTAGAGATTGCCCGTGCTTAATCAGTCACCCCGTATACCCGAGGTATCATTTGGCACTGTCCGTTAAGACGCGTCCAAAAACTCATACTTCTATTTGAGAAATTCTGATTTAAGCACAAAATTCTCATTAGGACCTAATTTTGTCTTATTAAACCAAATTCTAATAACTGATTTCTAAAAAAACCTATCAGTACTTCTGGAAAACGTCAGAATTTCTGAGTTACGTCAGAGTTACTGGAAAATAAGTTTAAAGTTCTCATTCACAACATTTTGGCGACCAGTGCACCCAGTTCACAGATTTTCCATTCCTTCTAAATCACCCTGTATATCTGATTTTTTCGAGAGTCTTGTGTCAGATGTTCTAACGTGTTTTTCAAAAGTTGTTTTCTATAAATTCTAACTCAGCTGAGAAATTCTGACTTGTTTTTCAGAAGAACTGAATTGTTTCTCAAAAACCGCAAATGACAAATCGGAATTTCTGAAAAACTATTCACATTTTCTGAGAAACAAGTAAGAATTACTGACTCTGGCAGTCAAACCATCAGAATATATCTGAGAATCCGATTTACTCGGAAATCCTGACGTGCTTTTTAAAAATTCCTGCTTAAGTTGGGAATTATGACGAAAGAAGAAACGATTAAAATAAACGCAGTTCATTTTAGAATTAGCCAGACGATTCATGAACATGATAGAACAGTCGAAATGTCCGACTGGCAGATGCGACAAAAGGGTCTACGTAGTTCCCATATTTGAAGTCGAATCGACCGAAACCGTTCCGCGCACTAAGGAAGAACTGAAATTGTTGCTGACCGCCGAGAGGGCCACGTATTTTCATCGCCATATTTGCAACCATTGCCAGAGGTTTCCAGGCTTGGAGGTATGGATGGAATCCGATCCTGGCGACGCGATCGAGGTAGTAAATTAACTAACAATTTTTCAAAGCCACTTCCACAGCTAACTGTAATATTATTTGCCGATTTCGTTTTCATTTTCTCTGATGTAAAAAAAAAGAAAGTTATTTTTTCACCTTTCAAATGGAAGTTCTAATTACGAATGCAATAATGTACAGTACAATAAAAAGTTTCGTCTATTCGCCGAAACTGGCTCGTATTTTACTGTGTACCTGTTTTTTTCATATTGTTAAAGTTGAGTCTTTAAGCTTTCCAAAACCGTATAACAAAGTATGATTATCATTAAAAGAAGATTAATTACAGCCATTTACAATATACTAAATTTTGAACGTTTCACAAATAGCTTCTAATAATTTTTTATCTACATAATTTCTCAAAATTTTTATCCTAATTAATAGACAGTGTTTTATTTCTATGTCCGTAGTGTAGGTGGCAGCACTAATTATATTAGATCACACGGTACAGTTGTCAAATTATCAGTGTCTGCAACACATACGAGGTTAGCGCCAAAATTTCCCAGATTGACAGCTCCAGTGTCACGATAAAACTTTGTCTTCTTTTAAATATATATCTTAGTAGGCTGCGAAAAAAAAAATTGAAATCTCGCGTCAAATAGTTTTTTATTGACAGCATTTTAAACAAGACGTTTCGGAAAAAATGTCGGAAATAACGCAAATTGAGTGTAGAGCTGTCAAAGTTTTTGACAAAAGAGGGGTTAGTACCTACAATTATTAAAGAAAGGCTGGATGGCTAATCATGACTCATCACATCACAGCACACATCACACAATTAACAGGAACATCGACATAGTACTTTTTAACTTCTGCAAACTTAGAAGTTTCGACAGAAAATCTAATTGTGAGTGGAATTGCGTAGGCTTTCACGACCGGCGTCGTAATCTGTGAGATTTTTTCGTTCTGTTAGGCCGTGGTCCGTTGGTTTTGCTACAAAAGCTTTCAGCTGCTACTGCGGCAGCCATCTTCAGTGGAAAGTAGATTGTAGCGCCATGACTGGATCGGTACTGTTGTTGTGTTGTGAGTCATGTTAAAAAAAGCCCAAAAAAATATGTAATTTATTAAGCAATATGTTAAAATTTTAGCACAATTTAGGGATGCTGTTGATACTATACCTGCTTTATTTTATAAAAATAATTTTGAAAGAACGGAGAAAAATGTTTTTCGTTATAATATTAATAAATTTGTTTTCTTTTTTTTTAGAGAGCGACGGTGGAACTTAAGTTTAATTCATGTCAGACATTGTTATTATTTCTGTCCTAACTTTTGTTTACTATTGATTGTCATGCTCTTTTGACACTAAGAGTAACTATAAATCAAAACCTTAAATGCAAACTTTTTCAGGGCTATGACTATAGCAGAAATTGTAAGAAAAACAGAGCAAAGTGATTAAGTGAGTGATACTTTAGATGTATAAAAACCCTGTTATTGTTTTAATTCGTTTCTTTCAAGCAAACAAACTTAAATATTTTAAAAAATGCGATAACAATATTTTGTTTTAATCGATATTAAATAAATAACTTTTTTCTGTTGAATTGTTACTTATGGGATACCCTGTATAATTTTTTTTTATTTACCTAAATATAATTATTTCAAAATGTTTCAACATTTTGTGTAGTGTTATTAAACCGTTTTCCCGATTTTATTTAAAACTGTTTGTAAATATAGAGTTTTTTTTGTGAACACCCCGTATAATATTTACATTGTATTAAAGTTCGTAATAATTTTCTTTTTATTGATGTGTTTTTATTATTATTAAGTAAAATTTATTGGCGTTACAAAAAAAATCTAATTAGTCAAACACCTAGGGTTTCCATGGCCCAATATGCGGAGGAACAATCCAGAAGTTTTGTAAATAGTATTACAGTAGCTGGTGGAAGTCGCTTTGGCAATAAAACAATATGATTTTCCATTGCTTAAATTAAAAACAAGGACCTTATTGCACTATCCAATTTGGGCACACTGTGTAATTACTTATTACTTATTATACTTATTGTAATACGAAATGTTTACAATTTTTTGTTATAAACATTTGCGCTACACCGTTAACTTTCTGAAGATACGAGCAAAGAAGTTTAAATTAACTAAATACTAAAATATTTATTGAAAAGACTTTATTTAAATTGCAATTGAACTGAAATTTTTTCAATGTCAATTACTGAATTTTTATTTATATTTATTTATATCATTATTATTTAAACACCAAGGACTAGAGAATTATGCCAAAAAATTTAATTAAAAAAGCAACGTGAAATTTTAAAAATGTTTTTTTTTCAAATGAAAATCTACCAATAATAATTATTTTTTAATTTAAATTTATTGAAGAAAAATTGCCACTGAAAATGATAAATTCTGTAAGATTTGATTTTAACTTTTGATAACTTTGGTACAGTTCAAGTCATACTGAGAATACAGTTTAGAGTCTTATGTTATAGTTCAGCAATTTTATTTTAACATTTTTACTTTGTCGCTCTCAGTCGGCCGTATTTCCTTTTCGGTTTTTTGCCATGACGTGTTGGACATAATTATTCCAATTTTATTCAGTATCATGTCGAAACGCTTTATTTATGAAGGAACGAACGTGTTCTGTTTTGATTGATTGGTTTGTCATGAAAATTTGGTTAGTTGGTAGTTTTTTAACCCATATTGTCCCAAGCATAAAAAATACTTTCTTCCTCTGAAATTATTTATTTTGTTGCACTTAAGAATACATTACATGTGTCAAAAAAAAAAAATAAAAACTCGAAACGTACAAAAAAATACTGGTGCGTAAACGAACCACTGGGAAAAAACAATAAATAATGTTTTGGGGCACATAAGATGTAACATATAATTTATACAAAAATATACATACGAAAGTTCAAATTTGACAGAAAACAACTAAAAAAAGTAGATTGTGTTCCAAATAGAACCTGATTTGATACAAAAAAAACGCATAATATTTTATGGTGCGGGAGCGCACCACTGGTAACGCCCGGTTTCATATTTGGTAATATTTTACAAAACATAAAGTATGTAAATGCACATTACATTTATCAAAAACGTAAATTGTGTGGCTGCGGCAGATTCCACATCTCCTTCGGGCTTTATTAGCATGCACAATCATGAGGTGACCGTGATTATGCGAATCTCAATTGGCATCTTCAATGCTCACGCTCCGAAAACACTTCGAACACTGGGGGGTTCTCGGCGGTGCGTGCGGTATTTATACTCTGCGCCGGAGATGGTAACGGTGCTGCTTGTGCGTGGGGGGAGGTGGCTCCGCCCCCTGAATTGTCGCGTTGTTAATTTCGCCCGATCGTAGTTGCGATGTCCCCGTTGGCTGCTGCGCATCGCTCTGCTGTTTGATTATCGTTCTCCACGTGTTGGATAAATGCAGAGCGTCGTCTCTCGTATGGAGGTGTCCGGACTTTTCTATTTCGATGGCCTCTCGTATAATCCTAGTCCTAAAATCAGGAATATTAGCTATTTGTTTGCAAGTGCCGAAATCAATTTTATGGCCTGTCTGATGTTGGTGCTGAAACAAAGCAGATGTTGTTTGTTTGTTTCTTATGGCTAAACGATGTTCCTCGAGCCTGGCTGAAATCCTTCTGTTGGTCTGTCCCACATACGTCAGGCTGCACGATCCGCATGCTACACTGTATACTCCTTGGTTTTCCAGAGTAATTTTTTGTTTTGGGTTTCTTAGTATTGCTCCGATAGTATGGTCAGGTTTGTATGCCGTTGATATGTCGTTTTTCCGTAATATTCGGCCGATTTTGTCAGTAACCCCCTTGATGTATGGCAGGACAGCGATCGATCTTCGTTGGGTCTCGTCCTGCACACTCTGCTGCGGCTGTTGTTGTTTACTGATTGCCTTGCTGATGGTGCGCCTTTGGTATCCGTTTTGTCGAAGACAGGTACTAATATATATATATATATATATATATATATATATATATATATATATATATATATATATATATATATATATATATATATATATATATATATATATATATTTTCACGTATTGATTCACGGATGGAAAAATGTGATGACATTATATTCCGGGATATCATCCGTTCGCTTGTTGAACTCTGACTGGAATCCTGCAGACGTTTCGCCAAAATCTCACTTGGCATCTTTAATGCTCGCGCTCTAAACAAAAACGAAGATATTCTAATAATGCCAGCAGACAAAGGAAATGCCACTGTCGTCATGAATACGTCGGATTATAATGCAAAATTGGAGGATATTTTGAACGACCCAATATACAAACTAGTCACCAGAGATCCTACGACATATTTGGAAAAAACAACTAAGTCCAAAATTCTCGATTCATCAATAAACGAGGATACAAAGAAGAAACTTATTCCGAGGGAAAAATCGAGTCGTTGCCCAAAACTCTACGGGCTCCCAAAGATCCATAAGGACGGGGTACCCCTGCGTCCAATCGTAAGCGCCTTTAACTCACCATTATGCAAGCTGGAAAAACATCTGGCCAGTGCACTTCAGCCCATAGCGGAAAAGGCAGACTCCTATGTTAAAAACTCAGAACATTTCACTCAGATTTTAGGTTCTCTCAGGATGGACAAGGACGACATTATGGCAAGTTTCGATGTCAAATCCCTCTACCCGAGCATTCCGGTAGAAGAGGCACTCTTGCTTATAGAAGAAAACGAAGATCTTCCGCCGTACATAATGGATCTGTCAAGACATTGCGTGAAAAACGCTTAATTTATGTACAACGGGAAAATTTACCGACAAATAGATGGAGCAGCAATGGAATCATCTCTCTCACCTGTGATTGCCAACCTCTTCATGATTTACTTCGAAAAGAAAGCAATAAAGAAGGCAAATCTGAAGCCAAAACTATGGACAAGATACGTTGATGACGTATTTGTTGTATGGCTTTTTGACAAGGAGGAGCTTTTGAAATTCCTAGATCATCTGAATTCCATTCACCCAAGGATTCAATTTACAATAGAACTTGAAGAGGATAACAGTCTGCCCTTTTTAGATGTGCACATCACAAGGACCGAAGATGGACATTTGGAACACACTGTCTATAGAAAACCAACACACACTAGATAGATGGATATCTGAACGCTAAATCTCATCACCACCCATCACAGATACAGGCAGTGGCAAATACATTGATTGCTCGGTCCTTCAGGCTCACAAACGAGAGGAACAGGGATGAAGAACTGAAAAAAATTGCACAAGCAGCACCGTTACCATCTCCGGCGCAGGGCATAAATACCGCACGCACCGTCGATAACCTCCCAGTGTTCGAAGTGTTTTCGGAGCGCGAGCATTGAAGATGCCAAGTGAGACGTGAGACGAAACGTCTGCAGGATTCCACTCAGAGTTCAACAAGCGAACGGACCGCTGGGACAAAATGGGTTAAAGCTGCGACGTTGCCGCTTCTTGGTGACGCTTTTGACTCGAGCTATGGGCTATGAGCTTTTGACTTAATGATATGAAGTCGCAGGTTATCTCACGCGGCGATCACAAGCAACTCATTAATTACGTTTTAGCCGTTTCTTTCAGTGAAAAGGGAGACGCCCTACCACAGATGGGAACCCGTTTATATCGGCACAAAAAGCGAACCCTTCTATAACGAGGCCCTCTCCTGGGAAGGCTTCCAGGATAAAATGCCGCAGGTATGGTCTCTTCATAGATATAAGAAAGTGACCAATTGCTTTTGAATGGGATTATCCAAGGGTGGTCCGTAATAGAAAATAATTTTATACCTACCTGTATTTAATATTCTTTGATTCGGTATACTACTTAGTTTAAGTTGGACTTTCTCTGTCTGCGAAATATATTAAAGATTCTTCTCCGGATTACTATGAAGACACCACCGCTGATTTATTTGAAAGTTGGTTTAAAAACAAACTAGTTCCAAACATTCCTCCTAATAGCGTCATTGTAATGGACAATGCAAGTTATCACAGTAGACAGTTGACTAAAACCCCTTTCTCATGTGGCACAAAAGCAACAATCCAAAACTATATGTGTAATAATGACATCTATTTTCACGAAGATTATAACAAAAAGCAATTAATTGAGGTTCTACAAAGCTTGAACCTACAAAAGGAATACGTCTGTGATAATTATGCAAAACATCTAGGGCATACAGTTTTAAGGCTTCCACTTTACCACTGTATATTTAATCCCATTGAACATGTTTGGCACCAACTGAAATCTGCCATTCGTCTTAACAATGTTTTTCCCCGTGTTAACTCCAATGTCCTTAAACTTATAGAAACCGAAGTCTTTAACATCCCTCCACAAAGTTGGGCAAATTCTGTTAAACATATAGAAAAAGCAGAACAATCGTATTTCCATATTGCAAATAATATAGAACAAATAATAATTAGAACAGGTGATGATAGCGATAGTGATACTGATATATTATGTGAATAATCTTAAATAATTTAAGTAGGTAATAAAAATAATTTGTAATTTTATTTTAGATTTAAACCTAAATACATACATAAATAAATAAATATTGTCTAGTATCTTTCCTAACAAAACCCCAAATAATTAAATTCTACGCAAAGTACGGACCTGTTCGGCCATATTTCATTTTTACAGCTTGCCCGGGTCTTTCCTTAATTCCTATTAGTCACTTTCTTATATCTATGAACAGACTTTATTTGTCCTGCGTCGTCGCCGACACTCGCCGAAATTTCTCAATTTCAGATGCTCGAGTTGTGCCTTCAGGGTTACAAGTTTGTAGTGTTGGACGGTGCCTTCCTCGTTCACTGGCCCGGCATAAAAAAGAGCAACTCGTATTACGCCCAGTGGCGTAGCAGGTTCGTCGAGATAAACAGAAGACAATACGATTTGATTTTAAAGAATTTGAGTAGAAGATACCCGCGCAAACCGCGTTGTAACGCCAATTAAAATTGCCGATTAAAAACGTTTTACACACGACCCGTTTTTTAAGAGTTTATTGAGATTTAATTTAATTTCTTGGAGTTACGGTAAGTGCCAGGCGTGCCTACAGGTCAATTTTGTTAGATAGAAAAAAAAACTGTAGATACAAAAGTTTGAAGATTTTTGCTTTGCTATCTTATGCAAATGTCAGAAAAAAACGATCATCACAAGCTGTCAAAATGACAGAAAAATCTATTTTTTTATGGAATGTCCTATATATTATCAGCTTAAAACGTAGATCTTATTTTCCTGGTTCCAAAGGCATATAACTGACATAGATATATCAGTTTAAAATCAATGGTCTTTCAATTTCTGGACAATAGTCATATTGTTTAAAAATGGTCAAGTCTGCCTTGATAGCAACGTTTGCAATTGTTTTAACGATGTTCTACTTTTTTCATCTAATCAAAACTAAAGTTCTACAGCGTAAGTTAAATAACTTAAGATATTTGAAATGAATAAAAAAATTATATTATTGAAACAATATAAATATCAGTAATTAACGATTAGTTAATTGAGTAGGTGTCACAAGTAGAATATTGTCAAAACAATTGCACACATAGATAATATCGTTGCTATCTAGGCAGACTTGACCATTTTTAAACAATATGGCTATTGTCTAGAAAATCGAATGATAATTATTTTTAACCTGAAATATCTCGAAAACGGCTAAATGAAATGTCAATAAACTATATGTTTTTGATATCAGGAAAAAAAGATCTACGATTTAAGTCAATTGTCATTTTGACAGCTTGGGATTTTCGTTTGTTTTTTCTGACATTTGCATAATAGAGAATAGAGCAAAAATCGTTTGTATTTACACTTTGCTTTCCATCTGGTGGGTGTCAAAATATAATGAATAACCCTGTACAGGATGAGTATATAATAGAGTTCATTTTCAAGGGTTTCAAAGCTTATGAGAAAATGTTAGCAAATACAAAAGAAGAAGAAGAAGAAGGGAACGCCCTATTTTCAAATTTTTGTTTTGAATCCTGTAAAAATTCTCTATTGCATAGCCAAAACCTAACAGTTTTTAAAATATTTTAAATTTTGTAAAATAAATACTAGTTTTCACAAAAAAATCCCCCATTTGAAACTACACCAAGAACTTCTAGTTTGCGTTTATCAACAAAGAGTAAACTTCTGTAATAGAGGCCGATAATTGTTATTATTCAAGTGTTAATCCATACCGTGTAAAATTAAATTAAAAAAAACTAATCAGAAATCAAAAATAACCTTCAAAACGGAAATATTTTTAACTAATAAACAAATTCGACCTATTCGGAAACGATTTTCCAGCACAGCATTTGGTAACGAAGTGACTGAAAATGCCGATAAAAGTTGCATACGTTTATTCAGTAGTAATACAGATGAAATTGTCAGTTTTATTAGCTTTTTTTATTACCTTGGATATTAAGGATGCCAACCATTAGACTTTGCAATCGCTCTCTGAAGGGGTTTCACTTTTGCTACGTCGCTGTCTCCGTCTGTAAAAGAATAAAACACATATCGATTGCATTCTAGATGCGTATTTTGGAGTTTTTCTTTTTTCGTTTTCCTTCAGTGACGCCATTTCAATGGTGAAACTTTCCAAAAACGAAAAACACAGACGTTTAACATTTTGGTGCATCCGGAAGGCAGTATTTTTTGTCTCATTTTTCAAAATAAAATTTTAAGTAAATTTTAAGTAACCAAAAGTCTTTAATGATTCCTTAATAACAACCTTCCTCAATGATGGAAAGGACCTGTTAGATGGCCTTCGTGGTTTCCCGATCTTCGAATTTTACATTTTTCTTTGTGGGGCTATAAACAAAATGGAGTATACAAAACAGGATACAACAACATAGTAAAACTTCGAGAAGTACTTCATTTATCCTTTCTAAATATGCAAATGAGACCAATGATTCCTCTTAAAGCTATTCGAAGGACTATGAAAATGTGCCAAACCATGCTATTATATATTTTAGAAGATGTAAAAAAAGATAAATTTTATGTCTGCAGATATACAGGGTGTAACATTAAAAAAAGTATGCTCCGATAACTTTTTGACTTGGCCCTGTATAGTAATACCGAAGGCGGAATTTGGTTCTATAGGAAACATTGCTTTGGTTAAAAATTAAAAGGACTATGGCAATTTTATTTTGCATAATTATAATGGGTGATTTTTTTCGAACTTTAAGTTGGCATTAATGTTCAAGATGGCGACCGATTTAACAGCTGTCAAGTGACTTATTCTCAGTTTTGTTTGGCAATTCATTATGAATAGACTCACGCCTGAACAACGCTTGCAAATGGTGCCAATTTTATTTTGAAAATAATGGTTCTGTGCGGAATACGTATAGCGCACTACGTCCATTTTATCGTCGACAAAATCGTCCATCAGAGCAGTTAATTCGATGAACCATGGAAAGTTTTCGCACCACGTTAACTCTTATTGATAACTCGCATCCCCGGAGACGCCGTACGGTGCGTACAAAAGAAGCTATTGCTGCTCTAGAGCGTAGCATTGAGGAGAATGAATGGGGTCTGTGTCCATCCACTTTATGGAAGATTTTGCGGAAGGATCTTGGTTTACGTGCTTACAAAATCCAACTCGTGCAAGAATTGAAGCCAAATGATCATCAGGTAAGGCGTAGATTCGTCGAATGGGCCCAAAACACAAAACTGCCGCATTTGGAGCGAAGCTAATCCTCAAGTGTATGTCGAAACACCGTTACATCCAGAAAAACTGACTGTTTGCTGCGCTTTATGGGCTGGTGAAATCATTGGTCCGTACTTCTTCAAAAACGGTATAGAGCTATGGTTACTAACTCTTTCTTTGCTGAATTGAATAACCATGATGTCCAGGAGATGTGGTTTCAACAAGACGGCGCAACATGTCACACAGCTCGTGCCACAATCGATTTATCGAAGGACACGTTTGGTGTCCGCCTAATTTTACGTTTTGGACCTGTAAATTGGCCTCCAAGATCTTGTGATTTAACACCGCTAGACTACTTTCTGTGGGGTAAAGTTTATGCGGATAAGCCATAAACGCTTGACCAATTGGAAAACAATATTCGCCGTGTTATTGCCGATATACGGCCGCAAATGTTGGAAAAAGTCATCGAAAATTGGGCGTCCAGGTTGGACTACATCCGCGCCAGCAGTGGCCAGAAATCATATTTAAAATGTAATGCCACAAGATTATCTTTCGAATAAACAAAATTCATGTCAATCGAATAATCCATCGTTGTTTTATTGCAACTTAAAGTTCTATACATAAAAAAAAACACCCCTTATATAAAAGTAACGGAAATATGGTATCCATTGCTACCAAAAACTCCAATGATGGAGACACTACCCTAATGTTAACTCATTTGGGACTGCTAAAAGAAGAGAAGAAGAAGAAGAACCGCTGTAATTCGTATGCGTTTGCATTTTTAAATCAATTACATTGATTTTTTAAATGTTGAACAACAATAAAGCTATTGCAAATTACATATAAACAAATTAGTAATACGTTGCATCGATCAAAACTGTAATAACAGAATAAAACAAATAATTCGAGCAATTATTCGAACAAAAAGTACCTCACTTAAAAATTTGCTTTTCTAGTAATTTTTTTTTATATGATAATCATCGAAATGTGTTTCAACCTTCCATTTTCTTCTTCTTCACAGATTTACTTTATCTACATACTACCCTATAAGCTACATAATCCCGATAAGCAAATCCAGTGTGTCGGGCATGTTTTTGAGATTTCCTGGAAATATTGTCTAAAAATACATTTGCATATGTTAATATCATTTCATATCAATATTAATTAATTTATTTTATACCCCTTTTGGACTCACTTACTTCGTTTCAATGCGTACATCAACGTCTGATGTAGCGGCGATTCGAACAAAATCGTAAACAGGAATCCTGCAAAGAGCATGACGCACACATCACCCAACGCTGCGAATATCTGAAACAGTGGATGACTAAAATTCTTGAACCCAGTTCGAGGCCCCACGCTTGATCACCGCGTAGAAGTCGGAAAAGTAGCCGGGCATTTTTGCAGCCCCGCTCATCGTAAATTGCAGCAGCATGTGTAGCAGGTACATTCCGTAGCTGATCCTGCCAACCACGCGAAAAACGTGAAGCGATAACACGTAATTGATCGGTCCTGAAAACGCGGAACTCAGTGTACGAAAAAATGAGGAAATTCCTCAAGATAATGTCACCTCCGGAGCCGTTAACGCAGGCCCATACCATCCAGAGTACTCCGAGGGTCCATGACGATCTGGAAACGGCCAAGAACAAAGAACTCTCGATCCTGTCGTAGTCATGTTCTTCCACGAAAAACACGTGACAACCTGCCAATATGCGAGTCAAATAGCACTCAAGGTATAGCGAAATTGAAGGGACTGCTTTTTTTCCTTATAGAGAGTTATAGGCACTTGAAAAATAAAAAGACGCATATGTGCATATTAGGAACATTTAATATAACTATTTAATGTCTCAAATAATCGGTCATTTTCTTTTGAATTTTTTTAGTATGCCAATACGCATCCCGTACATTGGCTTGTATTTCACCATTTCTTCGAGAGCAGCTTAACTGAATATAGGGCTTGTTGAATGGTTGGTGGTGGTCCCAGATCTACTTCTTCATCTTCTTCTTCCTCTTGGTGCTCTTCCTCACCCAGTTATCTAAGAGAAGTAATATCTTCCCCCCTTTTAATTCTGCATCCCATTTCGTTGGCCTTGTAAGTGACAGGCAAATGCTTGCTGTTCTTAAAACATCGTGGGTTAATTGGTTTTCCAATCACGACTAGCTTTCTTTCTTCTTTCTCACTCATATTGCAGCTACTAACACAGTTATACGTTCTTTAGAAAGTTTTCCACCCACAGACTGAAATTTAGGATTTTTAATCTGGCGTCCTTTTGTAAAAAATACTAGTTTCTGCTAGTTTTGGCCACGTCTTCTCCAGCCAATCATTAGTGACGTTTCTGTCGACATCCGGGCTTCGCCCCTTATCTGTCCATAATTTATACCATGTCTCTGTTTGAACTTCCCCAACCATGATTCCGAAGCTTTGAAATCGATACCGCCGAGCTGTTCAGCAAACTTTTCTGCTTTTAGGTTTACGATAGGTCCAGAGAGTGGTACATTTTTTTAAGACGTTGCTGTTGGAACCAATGCAACATTGCCCGATCCAAATTTTTCAAATTTGGGCTTTCTTAGAACTGCCTGCCGCTTCAGCCTGAATGATTTTTTCTTTGCACTACCAAATCGTGGATACAGTCGACGGTGTACATTCCTTACTTTGTTACCTAATGTGCCATTTATTCTTTCGGTCTAGAGAGTGAGAAATACGTTATACAGAGTGGATTAATAGATAGCTTTGAACAAGTTTTGTTCTTTATGCAGAGTTTTAAGTTATGCAGAGTTTCGCTATAGGGAGTTTTCACTATATATAAATATAAAATAATAGTAAATATTTAATAACAAAACAATTGAGAAATAAGTTAACAGCGATAGAAACCATTGCTGATAGAACTAAAAAGCCAGAACATAAACTTATTTATAAATCTTTTCACAGCAAATACAAACAAATAATCGAAAATATGGACCAAGTTTTCTCTCTCTCTCTCTCTCTCTCTTTTACTTTTTATGAGCAAAAGGCTCTTCGAAAATTAAATTTTATAAGTAAGTATTGTTCCTAAATCGCCACAATTACATTTCCAACCAGTAAATGAATCCCAGAAAATTAAAAATTTTATATTTATTGAATATGAGACCAGAAAGGGAGACGAGAAGTTTGTAATTGCAAAATTAAGAATATACAGAAAGAAAACTCGTAGGAACCATGCTTTTGCTCGAAACAAGTATAAGGTTGTTCGGAAAGTCATTTCGTTTTTTCCCGTCGGAGGACTTAATTACGTTTTTTCGAAACCAACTTCACACTTAAGCCGCATAACCATTATATGTCTTGAGAGCTGATATTGCAAGGCTTGTGTGTGAAAAAGTCCTATTAATTCTACGCAGTAGTTTTTGGTTGGTGACCTTTTAAATATGGAGAGCAATAAGCAGCATTTTCGTCATATTTTACTTTTTTACTTCAGAAAAGGTAAAAATGCTGTCCAAGCGAGAAAAAAATTGACGGATGTGTATGGAGAAGGCGTGTTAACAGTACGCCAGTGCCAGAACTGGTTTGCAAAATTTCGATCCGGCAATTTTGATGTCGAAGATGCACCACGGTCTGGAAGGCCGGTCGAAGCTGACAAAGATGCGATAAAGGCATTAGTTGATGCAAATCGGCGAATAACCATACGAGAGATCGGGGAGAGATTAAATTTGTCGAATTCGACTGTTTATGGCCATTTGAAAGGTATGGGCTTAACCTCGAAGCTCGATGTATGGGTGCCCCATGTCCTTACGGAGCGAAATTTGTGTCGTCGCGTTGACGTGTGTGATTCGCTCCTCAAACGTCAAGAAAATGATCCATTTTTGAAGCGGACGAAAAATGGGTTGTATACAACGATGTTAAACGCAAGAGGTCATGGAGCGGAAAAGATGAACCGGCTCAAAGCGTGTCAAAACCCAACATTCACCAAAAAAAGGTGATGCTCTCCGTTTGGTGGGATGTCAAAGGAATCGTTTTTTTTTGAGCTTTTGCCGGACAATACAACGATTAATTCAGAAGTTTATTGTCATCAACTGGACAAATTGAATGATTCACTTAAAGAGAAGAGGCCCGAATTAATCAACAGGAAGGGTGCAGTGTTCCACCAGGATAATGCGAGACCTCACACAAGTTTGGTCACTCGCCAAAAACTTTTACAGCTTGAATGGGACGTACTGGAACATCCACCGTATTCTCCAGATCTGGCGCCTTCCGACTACTATTTGTTCCGGTCCCCGCAAAATTTTTTGGATGGCAAAACCTTTACCTCAAATGAAGATGTCAAAAACCACCTGAACCAGTTTTTTGCCAGCAAGGACCAAAACTTTTATGAGAGGGGAATTATGTTACTGCCAGAAAGATGGCAAAGGGTGTGACCAGAATGGCCAATATATAATTTAATAAAATATTTATTCATTATACGAAAACTGTCTTTCATGTTCCCCAAAAAAAATGAAATGACTTTCCGAACAACCCAATAAGAAATAGACAGAGAAATGGATTTTAGAGAAATACTAATCCATTTAAAATAAGGAAATATTAAAAAAAATTAAAAAGGTACCGAACTCACCTACGAGCGACGCTAGCATCGTCGCAAAACATAATGACCAGCCAACGAGAGCCATTCCGGTGCTAATTTTCAAACGCTTGTCCCGCGTTTTGTGTAGGGCGTAGCCCAATCCCAAGCCGATCAGGTAGGGCGATACCCTGGTATGCGGACTTATATAATAATGTTGAAAAAATTTAGTCGAGAACAGGTGATTTCTAAAAAACAACGTGGTTAGAATTTTGAAGAGTTGATATCGACGACGCTATAACTTAAAAATAAAAATACAAACCAATAATACAAAAAAAAAATACAAAGAGAGATTTAAAAAATGTACAGAAGCGTGTATAAATATAAATAGAATCGGTTTATACAAAACTTGTGTGTACGTTTCTAAAATTTAAAGATTAAAGACATGTGAAAAAAAATGTTTGGAAATCGAAATCGACAATATAATTTAAGCGGTTTAAATATCCGCAGAAAATAGATATTAAGATGTTCACAAGATCAATTGATACGCAAATAAATACCGGTTTGGAGACTAGCACGATAAGCTTGTCTTTTTACACTCCCTGCTAAGCCATCACACGCTCCTTTGCCATGAGACGTAGCGAAAAAAGTCCAATCAGCGTCAACACCAAAATCATTTTTATGATCAACTAAATTGGCAAAATTATATTTAAATAATAATTAAAACTAATTTTTTAATCACACAATTTCATAATTCACTCGGCCCATTTTAAATCGCAGAAAATATTATTATTACAATTAAAAATAATAATACTAAAATATTAACTAAAAAACACAACTCAACAACACTTCAGCTTTTATTTTTAATAATTATTTCATGCTTTGCGTATAAATTTATGTCACGAATAGACAGGAATGAGTTCTGAAATGATTTTGTTATTTACTAGGATACGCGAAAAACAAATGAAAATCGTAACGGAGCGTTTTTCTTTTGTTAACTAAAAATGGAGTGTTGACCAGTAAATTTAAAAATAATCATTTACTAAATTGCCTAGACAAAATAAATATAGACCATAACAGTTTTAAAAATTTGAAGTTGATTTTTTTTCTAAATTTACGCTGTTTGGTAAAAATAATAAAAGGAAATTGATAGTATTCTTTATAACATTGTTAAAAAAATTATTAAGAATATTTATAATGAAATAACATAAATGATAATAAAATTTGTTTTATAATTATCTTTTGTGTTATTATTTTAAATTATCACTGATAAAACCTGCAACCTGCAACCTACACAGCGCTCGGCGCCCGGTGGGCTGTCATAAATAAATTCATTTTGTTTAAACTAATGACGAGCAGTGAAATTTTCTTCCGGAATTTAAACTTAAATGGGTAAAGCGTGCGACCGATAAAAAAAACATGATCTTTTTTAACGAGAAATCAGTTAAATTTTCATTTGTTTACTTAAAAGTTAGTTAATAATACGAAATTAAACAAATAATTTGAAGTCGTTAATATATTCTCAAAGTATAGACATTTGACCATGGATGCTGAAAATTTTTTTTTAATTAAAAGTCCTAAAAATTTTCCTTATAAAAAAATGTTAAAATCAAAATTAAAAAAAATCATTTGGGTGACGTGATCTTACTCAACTATATAAGTAATGGCAAAATAATGCAAAATGGCCTCACGTTATAGGAACGCCTCCGTTGTACTTATTGATCCAAGCCAAATAAAAATTCACCGCTATCGATATCGAATAAATCAAAGCTAGATTCGCGTATCCCAGCATCGGAAACTTGTCCAGCGGTAACAGGACAGCGGGGGACAAAAAGTAATATTGCATGTCGCAAGTCAGATACCACGCCTGCACCATACACTGCAAAAGAAAAAAACTGCTCGTTTTCCGACATATTGCATTCCAGTTACTATCTGCAATTCTTTTGCCGACGTTTCGCCGGTCGTCTTGCTGGCTTCTTCAGAGCCTAAGTGACACTACATTTGCGTCGAAATTAAAATGGACTTCTTCTGAATTCATTTATATTTGTTGTCCTATGTTAATTTAATACGGCACAATGCATAAATCACAAACATCTACTTTTCTTTCTAGGACCAACATCATCCTGTTCGATTTCTAAATAGTATTACACGTGGAAGTTTCTTTGGAAAAATTAATATCAACGCTGACGTCTTACTGAAAGGTGTGTATAAAGGGTTTGAATATCCATCAGAAGAAAGTACTGGTTAAAGTCTGTTCATAGGTATAAGAAAGTGACTAACTGATACGAATTAACGAAGGACCCGGGCAAGTTGTAAGAATGAAATATGGCCGAACAGGTCCGTACTTTGCTTAGAATTTAATTATTTGGGGTTTTGTTAGGAATGATACTAAACAATATTTATTTGTCTATGTATGTATTTATGTTTAAATCTAAAATAAAATTACAAATAATTTTTATTAACTACTTAAATTACTTAAAATTATTCACATAATATATCAGTATCACTATAGCTATCATCGCCTGTTCTAATTATTATGGATATACGATTGCTCTACTTTTTCTATATGTTTAACAGAATTTGCCCAAATTTGTGGAGGGATGTTAAAAACTTGGGTTTCTATAAGTTTGAGGACATTGGAGTTAACACGGGGAAAACATTGTTACGACGAATGGCACATGTTCAATGGGATTCAATATACAGTGGTAAGGTGGAAGCCTTAAAACTGTATGCCCTAGTTTTTTTGCACAACTATCACAGACGTATTCCTTTTGTAGGTTCAAGCTTTGTAGAACCTCAATTAATTGCTTTTTGGTATAATCTTCGTGAAAATAAATGTCGTTATTACACATGTAGTTTTGGATTGTTGCTTTTGTGTCACATGAGGAAGGGGTTTTAGTCAACTGTCTACTGTGATAACTTGCATTGTCCATTACAATGACGGTATTAGGAGGAATATTTGGAACTAGTTTGTTTTTAAACGAACTTTCAAATAAATCAGCGGTGGCGTCTTCATGGTAATCCAGAGAAGAATCTTTAATATTTTTCGCAGACAGAGAAAGTCCATTTGGAATCCAACCATCTTCAGAGCCAGCATGCAAAATGATGGGGCGTTTGTTTTAGGCTTATCAGTTGAGTCAACCCAACCCTTTTCCGGGGTATTATAAGTGTCGAACCAGGTTTCATCCAAGTAAATAATTGGCCTTTGTTGTTCTCTGTAAATCCTTATTTTTTCTAGATATTCCAGTCGCCATTTCCGAATTCTAAAAGATTCCATGGAAACTTGCCTTTTGTCAATTTTTTTATATCTAAAACCCATCACTTCCATAAGGTAGTTCTGCCACATTTAACACCGGTTTCATCTTTTTCAAGCCTCCTGAAATGGGATTATTCACAATTTTCCATACAGTTGATGTTGGAATTTTCGTCAATGCGGCGGCTCCTTCTAAAGATGCTTGCTTGCTTGCTGGCACCACGTTCAATGAGAGTCAAATAAACATTCTTTATAACTTCCTTAGTTTCAATAGAATAGTGTTTTCTACATTTGGGCGGGAGCATCTCCCGAGATACACTGGACTCGGACATATTTTGCATAATTCACACACGATTCAACACACGATGTATTGCACACGAAATAAGAATGATCTTGGATAATCCCATTCAAAAGCAATTGGTCACTTTGCACTTCCAAATCGTGGATATAGTCGACGGTGTAAGTCCGTATCGACGTCCCACATCACTTTTCTGTTCGGGAAGAATTAAAGCAACTTTATCATCGCCATGCTCGCTGTATTTACTTTTTTTTTCGGTATAGAAAGTGAGAAATCCGTTGTACAGAGTGGATTAATACATAGCTTTGTATGGAGACTTGATAGTACTACAAGTTTTGTTCGCAAGAGTTTAAAGTTATACAATCATATATCATCAGCTTTTTCGATAAACGAATGTAAATTTCAGGAACATGCGAAAGAAACTGGTAATTTGTTAGTAAATAAATATCCATTTTACTATATGCCGAGCATCCTGCATAAAGTCTTAATTCGTTAATTTCGCAATACTTCCTAGAGGGATGTTATCATAAGATGCGCAATACAAATAAACGTTTTTTTTTCTGAAGCTTTGCATCTGCTTATTATTATTATAGTATTGTTAATAATTATTTTACTTACTTAATAAATTCAACTAACTTTTTTTTTGTTAATCATTATTTTACTTGCTTAATAGAGTTCAACTAATTTTTGTGGTCTCTGTCCATAGCTAAGAAATGAGCTTAAAAGATGCGTATTCCAAAAAAGTCTGTAAAAGAGTGAATTTATAAAAAATATAACTAAATTAATTTCCCTTTCTGTCCCAAATCATAGAATCGTATGTTACAAGCGATAACATACAGACATCAGCGCAAGTCGCAAACACCATTTTATAACGTTGGGGGGGGGGGGTGAAGGGGAGTCATTTAATTAATTTTCTATGGTCCTACCCTTTTTCGCCTATTCTTAGACCACACACATGTTTTAATGCTCATTCCTAAGAGACTCATACATGCATGTTTCATTTCATACCATTTCATACTGTCTTATACTAGTTCATTTTCTAAATATAATCTCTCTCGCCAAAATTAACATGCGTTAATATTATTACAACATAGCATAATGTCAATAGTACAAAATGTATTGGTACGTACCAACGGAAATGGGTGCACGTAGTTTTGCACGTGGGTGATAGTGGCCCACCAATATTCCTGGCACGGCTTTTGAACCTGTTGCAACATGTCGTTCCATAAGGGACCGGAGCCGAAGAGGTGCATCAGGGTGGCGTACCACAGTACCACGATTGCCAGTGGAACGCTGATACGAAGGTAGCGGTAGAGGTAAAAGACCAACCAGTTCGTACTTCCTTTGGACGCTTGGGTGAAGTAACCCAAACTGACCAGGGTGCCGCTGATCATGAAGAACGTGTCCACGCATAATGTTCCTCCGGTGATGGCCGTGCTTCGGTAATACAGTACCCACTTGAAAATCGGATGCTCATTACTATGATGTTCGGTACATCTAGAGGAAGTTTACACTCTGTGATAATAGAGATTATTTTAAACGTACACTTGTATTATGTTTTAAGCGGTCCGTATGGAAAACCTAATTTTTTGTTCGTATTATTCTTCTTTCGGATTATCTCCCACCCAAATTGGCCAGCTCGGTCTCCTGAGTTAAGCCCATTAGATGAAGTAATATTTGGAATGAAGGTATTATAAAACTACAATGGGTAAGTACAAAGTACAAACATTTTTTTGATGATGTTAAATTATTGAAATTCTGGGAAACAAGTCAGAATGTCTAACTTAAATCAGAATTTCCTAGAAACAAGAAAGAATTTCTGGAATATAAGTCAAATTTTCTGAATTAAGCCAAACTTTCTGAAAAATAAGTCAGAATTTTAGAGTAAAGCCATAATTTCAATTCATAAGACAATTCAGAATTTCTCACTTAAATCAGAATTTTTGTTAAACAAGTAATAATTCCTCAAAAACATCTGAATTTCTGATTTAAGTGAATCTTTCTGAAAATGAAATCATAATTTCTGAAAAATAATTAAGATTTTCAGAGTTAAGTCAAACAATTTTTGGAAGATAAGTCAGGATTTCTAAGTGAAGGCACAATTTCAGGAAACAAATCAGAATTTCTGGAAAATAGGTCAAATTTTCTGAATTAAAGCAAACTTTCTGAAATCCATAATTTCAATTCATAAGACAGTTCATAATTTCTAACTTAAATTAGAATTTTTGTTAAACAAATAAGAATTTCTCAAAAACATCTGAATTTCTGATTTAAGTAAAGCTTTGTGAAAAATAAGTAATAATTTCTGAAAAATAATTAAGGTTTTCAGAGTTAAGTCAAACTTTCTGAAAAATAATTACCAATTTCTGAAAAATAAGTCAGGATTTCTAAGTGAAGTCAAAATTTCAGCAAAACAAATCAGAATTTCTGGAAAATAGGTCAAATTTTCTGATTTAAGGTAAACTTTCTGAAAAATAAGTCAGAATTTTAGAGTAAAGTCATAATTTTAATTCATAAGATAGTTTAGAATTTCTAACATAAATGAGGATTTTTGTTAAATAAGTAAGAATTTCTTAAAAACATCTGAATTTCTGATTTAGGTGAATATTTCTGAAAAATAAGTATTAATTTCTGAGAAATAAGTAAAATTTTCAGAGTTAAGTCAAACTTTTAGAAAAATAATTAACAATTTCGGGAAAACAAATCAGAATTTCTGGGAAATAGGTCTGAATTTCTGAGTTAAGTAAAAGTTTCTGAGGAATAAGTAATAAACTCTGGAAAATATGTCAAAATTTCTGAGTTAAGTAATAATTTTTGGAAAGCAAGTCAGACATTTCGAGTTAAGTTATAAATTTTGAGAAATAATTCATAATTTCTAGAAAAAAAGCCAGAATTTCTGATTTTAACAAATATATCTGGAAAGCAAGTCGGAATTTCTGAGTTGGGTGAGAATTTCTGAAAAATAAGTAATAATTTATTAAAAATAAGTCAAGATTTTTTGAAAAACTGAATTATTTTCTAGAAACTCAGAAATTATAACTTATTTTCCAGAAATTTTATTTAACTTAAATCATAAACTCCAGCTTATTTTCCAGAAAAATTATTAATATTTTTTCAGAAATCGTAACTTCTTTGCCAGAAATTCTGAGTTCTTTTTCAGAAATTCTAACTTATCATGTTTAAGATATATTGAATGATATGTCCTCATATAAATTGTGCTTAATCTGTCATTCAGTTAAAATGTAAAAATGTGTCTTATTGGGAAGACAGGAATATTTTAAAGTCTATATTTAAGAGACTACCTTTCGTGCCATTGATGGAAATAGCTGGAACCATTCACAGGCAATAGAGGCATTCTCTCCAAAAAGTATTTAGGGATTTGAATTGTTAGTGACGAAACTTTATATTTAAAGTGACATTGATTTGATATGTTAACTCTGCAACCTTTGTCACTGTCTCTTGAATAAAGGCCCCCTGTTGCAGGGCAAGTATTTTATACCTTGTCATTTCATTACCGATTCTCTCATAAATTGATCCCACGTCATCATACAACACCCCGTATGCGGCTGCAGTTGATTGGACACAACACGTACCTCAATAATATGCAGACTGTTGATCACAGGGTAAAACATCACCATAAGAAATCGGTGCCCTATAATTACGTAACAAGTGCTCATGACCCTTATTCCGTGTATACAATCTAGGTCGGAGGTGCCTAAAAATACATCTGCGTCATCTGAGAGCAAGAAATAACTAACTTATACCTAATTTAATTTTTGTAATTTATTGTAATTAAAAAATAAAAAACACCTTTTGCTCTGGCGAATATCCGTTTGGTGTTCTGCCTAGCGGAAAATGTCTTGACAACGTAGTTATTGTTTTCTAGAACGCGAGAAAAAAGATCGTAATTAGCCCTGAAATTTTTATATGCCAGTGATGTTTCCAAAGTTCTGGAAATGTTGCCATCTTACTATCAGCAATAATTTTCTTTTTGTGAAATGAACGTGGGACAACTTCTGTAATTACTGAGCGTTTGATGGGAGTATTTGGTGAGTCTGCAAAATCTGAAAGTACTGTCTATGAGTGGGTTTCAAACGGGCTTTAGCTGGATGCCTAGGCTTTTGGGATGAGAGCAGAAACTCAATACGTCTGATACTAGGGTACAATGCAAAAGTATTGTAAAGAAAGGAGCTGTTAATCAATATGTGGTTAATAATTTTGATTACTGTCTCCATATTAGAAGAACTAGGGCTTGTGGTAGATAATAGAGTCTTCAGTTGTTAAAAAGTATTTGTCGTGCTAGTTGCAGAATGAGATGGCGGTGGTTATTGAGGTACTAACATGGATTAATGTTGGAAAGGCTTACTGTAATGTGGGTTTAAGGATTAATTAATGCGACAGATGCATCAGCAACTGCAATTGGATATCGTAAGACGACACACCGAAAATCAAAGATGCTTTGGACAATTTACGATGGAAATTGGTTCCGCAACCACCTTATGGCCCGGATTTTGCTCCTAGTGATTATTGTTTTTAATCCATTTGCAAAAAGTAACCAGCTGCTTGGTAATATTGACTCAGAATAACAAAATAATAAAAATTATAGTTAAATTTCCATAACTTTGGACACATCGCTGGTAATATATACCTACCATCGGTTGGAAAACGAAAATCGTATGTCGTTATGACTCCCACAGTCAGGGCATACACGCCAAATCCCATGCTTAAAAGTTAATCACCGTTTAACTTCATATTTTACACTACCTATGTGAACTTCTAGAAAAGATTATTGATGACCACTGCTATCTTAATTTAGGTCAATCAGTTGCTGTGCGCCGCAAGGTTCCATACTGGGGCCGCTTTTATTCACAATTCCCACAAGCAATTTTGTCTCGTGAATGATTAAAAAGCAATTGTGAAAATAGTCCTAGAAACCTAGAAACTAAGTTCAGATTTAGATCTCATTTACTTACAGAAGAGACAATAATGGCTCTAAACAGGGGTACCCCATGCTTCACCAAGATGGACGCACACAAGATTTGAACCAATTTAGGGCTTTATATCCATTTTTCCTAATTTGTTTATTGAAGTATCCCTATTGACAGGCTCAAAACCTCTTCCAAAGTCCAAAAACCCAATAAGAGGCGAAAAAGCAGGTTCTGACAGGGATTTTATCGAAATTGGCAACTATATGACTCAGAAAGTGGGTTTTACGTCGACATCTAATGGTTTATAAAGGTTTGCGTTATTCTAATGCCCGAAGACGCCAATTTTGACTAGTATTTGAATCATATCGACAAAAAAAGGTAACTGTTTGGAACAAAAAATGATAGTTTAAGCTGATATTTGCAGTTTTGATGCGGTTTTTGGGTATGATATGAGTCGAAAAAGCTGATTTTGACTGTAATCGAATAATGGAAGAAAATCCTACTGTCAATCCAAGAAAGTGGGTTTTTAAGTAGTCATCTGCAGTTTTAATGTATATTTCAGTCTGCTAAGTTATGAAAGTGCAGGTTTTGACTATAATCAACTCGAAATCAAGAGCGGAAACCATTTATTTGTCCCAAAAAGAGGGGTTTTAAGTACATATCTGCACTACAATCAATCTGCAAATCCATCACGGTCTGGTAAGAATTTTCCATATATCTAACAACTGCCAAAATTAATTTTTTGAATCAAACTTCCATAGAGCTAATAATATACAAAGGCTAGCTTTTATATTTCGGGATTTGTAATAAAAAACTATAAGCTATCAATTCGCATTCGATAACCCGAATCAATAATACGTGGGTAATAATTTTCGCTACCGTCTCCGTATCAGAGGAATTAGAGCTTGCCGTAGTCTAGACAGAAGAAGACGAGTCCTCAGTGGTTGAAAAGCAATGACCATGTTAGTTGAGTTGGAGGCCCCATTAAGACGATATTATTGGAAAAAATGCACTTTGCTAGTTACCGAGATAAAATGACTTACAAAATGCTGATTTCCGTGCCGCTGATTGACGCCCAGTCGCATTTTGTGTAACAGTTTCCTTCTGTCAAACCAACAGTCACGTTCAAACCTTCAGTTAACACTTCGATCAACTTTCGGAAATGGGACAACACGTCATCAACCCCACACGCCTCTGGAATGCACACCGACCAATCCAATGTGGCGTTTTGCACCAAGCCGCTGATTATCCTCCACCTCTGGAACATTCGCGGTCGATCAGCTCACCAATCAAAACACCAGTCTCTTAGTTTACTCTTTCCGATATGTTTCTGTAAGAGAGGATCTTTTTGATCAGGCGAGTGTCCGGATAGACCTTCAAGGTGCAGTGCTTTCCGGCGATGGAGCCGAATCTTGTCGTCTCGTCTATCTCCAAGCACTGCCGGAAGCTGCCGAATTCGAAAAGGTTCCCGTAGAGTATCCCCGATTGCAATTTAGACGAGGAATCAAACACTGAAATGCAAAAAACCCTCTTAGAGGACTAAATGAATATTCAAATTTCATAGGGAAGGTACTGACTTTTTGACTTTAAATAAGGAAAAGGTATGGAGAGTAAAAGAAAACCAATATTTACGAGTTGTCCACCAACTATCCTCAGGTGGATGATGGGATAGGTCTGAAAACCATTAGTAATAGTATAATTTAAACAGGACTGAATATACGAATAATAATATAGCAATAAAAGGCTATATTCGACCCTTCTTCTAAGTTGCCAAATGACAAAACAGGTGTGTGGATAATTTTTTGAGAATGATGAGACCAAGAAAGACCCGAATCGATATAAACTCCCAAGAATTTCGCATTCCGCCTCTCCTCGATCGTTTTATTATTACACTTAACTAAGATGCTCTTTTCTATGCCTCTTAGTGAGAAATGAATCAATTTAGTTTATCAACAACAACAAATATTCAACAATACCTGCCACCGCCTCATTAGAGTTCTTAGAGAGATCCTCTATGTCGGCACCGCAGGAAACCACAGCTTTGTCATCACCAAATAGTGATTGATAATTATTATCCGATCACAGGAAACTATGACATTGATAATGATAATAAATAATAGAGGCCCCAATATAGTACCCTGCGGAACGCCACTGGAAGTCATGTCGTCACTAGAAGAGAATTTCTTTTGTTTGTTTTGTTTTTAGACAACTTTTTGCACACCATCCTAGAGCGTTGCCAAGAATAAAAAGCTCTTTTTTGATCGAAAAGAAGACAAGTCGTTGGTTAATTATTATCTAAATTACTTAGTATTTTATTATATAGAGGCACAATTGCATCATGTGTTGATAAGTTTACATTCTCTAAAACTTCCAACAGCCTTTTATAGAAAGCTTCCTCCAAAATTTTTGAGAATATTGACGACAATGCTATTGCTAATGCTTTTCGTACATCGATTGTACTTGGGTTTTTTTTAGTATAGCATCTGAGAAGGATTCATTAAATCAATAACCGACAACATACACTTTTTTCACCGGGATACGCGATTCTTACTTTTCAAAGCCCACGGTTCGAAGGCACGCAATGCTCGAGCAAATCCCGCGGATTGCTTCCTACACAAATCGTTGGTGGCGTTGGTTATGGCGTAAATTCCCAGCACCTGGTTCATCGCCAAGCCCTGTTTCATATTTAGCTTCGCCGGGCTTTCCATAGCGAGCGACGATTCGAGAAGAAAGAACGCGAAAAACACGAACAACGTGGCCATTCGGAAAGACTACGTAACTGATTAATTTTCCCTTTTTTTATAGATAGTGACATATGAAAAAGTTGGTAAACTCCGCCATTGTTGAAAGTTTGCGACGTAGGTCGTAAAACTTTCCAACAAGTCGTATTTTCTTTGCAAAGTTTAAGCCACGTGAGTTACGGTTATTAGCGGGGAACATCTGGGGTCCCGCCTCGGTTATTTGATTATTTTTTTATGTGTTTTTATTATGTATTTTCGTTTCCTTCTATTCCATTCCAGTCCATTTTGGTGATAATAATGTTTTTTGTCTATTTAGGTGAGTATAATCTTATTAAATTACACTAAAAAAACAATGACATTATATTAAATCTAAATCTGTTTCACTATCGTAATTAAGGTTGATTATATTTATGTTGTTTTGTATGGCAAGAGTCGTTAACTTTATAATGTATTCCATCTTTCAATTGGTACGTTTGTATGGTATTTTTTATTAAATTTATAACTACTATTTTTTAAATGCAAAGAATCTTTTTTATTATTAGGAATATCAACTCAATATTTTGGATATACCCGTTCTAGAATGAAATAATTAGATTAACGATATAAGGAAATTACATATTTTGCATAAAATGAAGCTTTAGCAAATATTTTTAGTTGTTGTACATGAAGTGAATATTCTCTATTTTTCCAGCATAAAATCGCACATTTTTGAACCATTCATTAGTTATTACTGGGATTTTCCAAGCGGATAAGATTAAAAACGAAACATATCTGCAATGTTGTGCAATGTATGAAGCCGATTATTTCAAATTTCGGACACTTATCGTGTTCCATAGCAAAGTCCAAAAAACAGTTCAAAATCGCGAAAAGAAGATGGATACCGGCGTCGGATCAGCGCCATTTCTTATAAGCCTATGTGCCTAGTGTTGGCTTAAAAGGGGGGGTGGGGGGCAAATTTCAATTCTGTAGCTCCAACGGTTCGAAAGTTATTCAGGAAAAATCAAAATACGAGAACGGAGAACGGACAAACAGACAAAAAATTTTTTTTTCAACGGTGATCATTTCTGTACCAATGACGATCCCGTAGGACCTACCGTTGCCAAGATATAAAATTTTTATAAGAGAGTAGATACTTTCGAAAAATTTGATTTTCGAAAATAACAAGTGTCATAGAACGTAATGAATTATTGCTTTGTAGTAATTTTTTTATGTACATGTGTGCTTGGTGGAAAAGATTGAAAACACGCTTATATCCTGCTTGTTAGTCTTGGTAGATAAATTCCTAGGACGGTCCTGGAGTCGTTACGGGAAAAGCCGGCTATACACGATACGGCAGGCCTGTCAGTTCGAACTGAACAGTCCGCCTGAAGACCAGTCGCCTGAACGTGTATATGTATATGAGAAGTGTATTTATTGTATTGTATTGTATTGTATTGCACCCTAGGGATAATATTATAATGTAATATTAGAAATAAATACTTCAAAACTAAAAACCAAAGTGCATAGCAAAAAAGAACTGTTTAATTACGAGGGCAGCGGGATATATACCGCCGTCCACGTAAGTCCTTTTTCAAATAGCCAAACAAATAATAGTCGCTGGGGGCCATATCTGGACTACAGGGAGGATGATCTATCTGTTGGAACCTACAGTCTAAAATGGCCGCTTGTGCAACACCAGCAGTATGGACAGGTGCATTTTCGTGCCTCTGGTCAGTTTTCCTCGACGTTTTACGCGTATGCAGTCTCGCAATTTATGTAATAATGTTGCGTAATATTTACCATTGACAGTGGTATTAGTTTCTTTAAAATCTATCAAAAGAATTCCTTCACTATCCCAAAAGATCGCGGCCATCACCTTTTTTGTTGACTGGCAAACTCTGAATTTTCTTGGAGGTGCATCACACTTACGACGCCACTCCATTGATTCTTTTTTCGATAGAGGGTCATCTCTCGTTACAATAGTTTCTCTCACAGGCTTCGGTTCCGACCCACAGAGTTCCAAGACAGACCGCACACACTCGACACCATTCTTTCACTACAGAAGAAGAAGGAGAACTTTGGCTGTACACACCATTCAGTATGTCTTTAATAATTGTAGGTGCTAACCCTTCTTTTGTCAAAAACTTTATGACTGCTCTATACTCAATTTGCGTTATTTGCGACATTTTTAAAATGCTGTCCATAAAAAACTATTCGACGCAAGACTTAATTTTTTTTTTCGCCGGAGCTGCATCTATGTCAGGCCGGGAAATTTTGGCGCTAACCTCGTATACCTGGCCCACCTCCGCCTTGTCATTCAAGTCAGAATAAATTTGTTTTTAATGGTTTTAGCCAATAACAATAGGTAATAACATCGTAAAAGTTTCATTGGGGAGGGTTGAAGATTGAGGCACACTATACTGCGAATGCATCAAATAGGATCACCTTTGTCAAGTAACGTAAAACAGAACGGTCGATTTTCCATTAAACATTCTAAATCCCGTCGCATTTTGGGGGAACTACGATCAAATCCCCGCTTAATTTGTCTTAGTCCGTCCCGGGATATGCGAGATAGACTTACAGGTAAGTACAGGTGACACGATGCTTAAGGATTTGATAGACTAGGTTGGTCGCTTAACGTATCAACCTGAGACCCGTTTAAGCGCGACTTATTTGAGTTGATTTTAATTCGATTAAGGAGACGCGCACGAACTAATTTGTTCTCCAAGACGTCAACTCGCAAACGGTATTAACTTCGTTAGCTTAATGAGGCAGCAACACAATAGCGGAATCTAATTTTAGTAGTCGGAAGAAAATTGCTCCAAGTTTAGTTCATCTAACTGATCAATATACGGGGCGTTTAAGATCTCGTGAACTAGATGTCAAGTTGAAATAAGACTTTTGTGTCCCAAAGGGTTTTCCGAAGTGTTTAGGGTTTAACTTTGCACGCCAGACTATACTTAGTGGTCGGCCAAAGAAGGTACACAATAACTTTAAGGAATACTATCTATAACTTCATTCATCCCGTTCTCTTCTTGTATACTTTCGAAAAATTCGGTTTTATCTATTTTTCGCTTGGCAACGAAACTTATATCTCGACATCGGTAGGTCCTAGGAGACCGCAACCGGTATAGAAATCATCAGCGTCGAAAAAAAAAACATTTTTTTTTCTGTTTTCCGTTCTCCGTTATCAAACCAAGGCTTCATAAAACCTAAAAGAAATAGGAACAGGACGGCTACAAATGATGAAAATACTGCTGCTGTAATTCAGCAGGTTGATAATAACCCCAAGATATCCCTATCAGAGATAAAACAAAATACCGGTGTTACCATAAGTTCTTCGTGGAGAATTCTACGTAGAAACTCTTTTCACCGGTACAAAAGTAAAATAGTTCATAAATTAGAACCAGGCGATTATGCTAGAAGAATGTATTTCTTAGCGACATTGTCCGATTTGTATAGCCAAGATGCAAATTTTCTCTCGAAAATTTTATGGAGCGACGAAAGTCGATTTCAAAATAATGGAATCGTTAATAGACACAACTGTCGTTTTTGGTCCGAAAACCATCTTCGTTGGATTACAGAAAGAGGTAACCAACGAATTTTTAGTATCAATGTTTGGTGCGGCATATTAAATGGATTCCTTATTGGACCGTACTTTTACGAAGGAACTTTAAATGCAGATAGCTATTTAAGATTTCTTCGAACTACACTTCCGGAACTATTAGAAGAAGTGCCTCTTGACACTAGAATGAATATGTGGCTACAGCAGGATGGAGCGCCTGCACATAATGCCCAAATAGTAACGAGGTATTTGAACCGAGAATATCCCAATAGATGGTTTGGTACTAATGGACCGGTAAGGTGGCCGGCGAGGTCCCCGGACATTACACCACCAGATTATTTTCTTTGGGGCTACCTAAAAAACGTTATCTATGAAGAACCTATCGAAGATATGGCTGATCTCATTAACAAAATTAGTGCAGCGTGTGCCGCTATCACAAGAAGGACTCTCCTACAAGTGACCCAAGCTCATCTGTTAAAAGTTTTTGATAGTTGTGTTCGAGCAGATGCACATAATTTTGAAAAAAATTGTTGAAATGTCTTATTATGTAGTTAATTGCAATAATAATTTTGGTTATTAACTTGTAGGTATTTTACTGTTTTTTCATTTATTTATCATGTTATCAGAACTAAATCGATAAAAAATAATAAATAAAATCATACTAAAATAGTTGAAATCTATTGTTTGTAATTGCACTTAAAACAACTGCGATAACAATGGTTGCCATAGTAACTAACATTCATGGCATACTTGTAAAAATAAGCGTTAATCACATTTTTTATTAATCAAGAAATGTTTACTTTAAATCGGTATAACTTAGAAACGGGTAACGTAAATAAATTTGAGTAAATAACAAAAAAGTTTTTAAATAATATGTACTTTTGTATGCTCGTATTTCCAAAGTCTCTGCAATCGAATAATTTTTCGACGCGTCGCGACGCCCAGCTCTTTGCAGGCGTCGAATTTTTTAAACTTTAGGAAATATCTACTTCACCCCACACTTTGACTACTTTTTACATAAATTAAATATTTCTTTTCGTTTTGGAGTTATTGGTGTGCGGAGTTTTAAGTGAAAAACCCTGTATATATATATATATATATATATATATATATATATATATATATATATATATATATATATATATATATATATATATATATATATATATATATATATATTGTTTTTTTTTTAAACGAAAAAGAAAAATTTAATGTTTACGTCCTGACACTCGACATCTCTTCTCTGCAATTATCTTTCCTATTTCTGGAGAAATTGTGTTTGCAGTGATAACTTTCAACACTGACCCAAGGTGAGCATCATTGATACGGTTTCTAATAGGAGACTTATTACCTTTCATGACTGAAAATAACTGCTCGCACCGATAAGTACTACCAAACATGGAAATAATTTCGTATGCGAATTTTCGAGTATTTTCAAATCTGGCTGGTAAATATTTGTAAAATTCAGGCACGCCCACTTGAATGAAATTTTCTTTCAAATTTGCGTCGCATTGAATCTCGATCACCTCCATTTGCATATGGCTTGGTACTGAGTCTATGAGAAAATCGAAGAAAACAATAAAAATTTCGAGTTAACTAGAATCGTTAAACCTCATTTCAAATTCAGCTATTAAATTTGCAATTTTTTCTGCGTATTTTTGATACGAACAAGTCTCATCTAAACTCGTTTTGTTCATGCTGCACGTCGGGAAGTGTGTCAAATCTTCATTTTTGTTAATTATGTCAAACATTTTCGTAATAATATGATCTTTCCCTTGTAACGATAAATTTAAATCGGTTAAGTGTTTGGTTATATCAACTAAGAAAGATAAATCTTGTATCCATATTGGATCGGAAAGTAAACTTACGTCTTTTTCTTTCAAATCCCAGAATTGTTTGAGAATCTTGGAGCAAGATAACCAACGTACCTCGGTATAGTAGGACAAACCCGAATATTCACTAAGTCGCTTAAGAAAGCAGTGAATTGACGCTGATTTAAGCCTCGAGATCTTTTTTTATATATGATAAAACATTCTCCATGTTTATTACCTTCGTGCATAGAACTTCTTGATGTATAATACAATGATGAATGTTTGAACCGTGAATTTCACTAATTTTTTTTCTTAGTAATGCGACCAAGCCCTTGTTTTTCCCGGTCATTGATGGAGCGCCATCTGTAGCGACAGAATTTAATTTTGCCAAAGGTAGCTCGTATTTCTGCAGAAGTTCAAAAACGCAAGTAAATATATCTCGTCCTGTGGTAGTACCAGGCATCGGTATTAATTCCAGTAATTCCTCAAAAATGTTAAAATTCTTGTCACAAGAACGAAGAAACACTGCTAATTGAGCTTTGCCACTAATGTCCGTGCTCTCGTCACAGGCAATGGAGAGACTGTCGAAATTAGATGCTTTTGCTTTAATCTGATTACTTAAATTCTTTCTTGGAATATCCTATGTTCGTCAATGATTTTTCGTTTAATTTTACTACCACTTGGTTTTAATACAGACATACTGAATACAATGGGCTGGAATAAATACGCTGTTGTTAAGAAAAAATAATACATTTTAATAAAATGTATAAAAAAAATATATAAATTAATAAAATATGAATGTTAACATTAACTTACCAGAGAAACGGAATAACGGTATAAATAAATGAGAGTACTATGAATTAAGTTATAATTAATATTAAAACAAAATTATTCCGATTACCTGCACTAATTCATGTATATCGTACAAAACTATGTTCAGAGAACTGAGACCATGTGTTTGGCTACTTTCGGCTATCGTCGGCTATCGTCGGACGCTACTCACACGTATTTATTATTATTTGCGGATATATTGGCCGGGCCGCAAAAATGTTCGTAGTGGGCCGCATGCGGCCCGCGGGCCGCGAGTTTGACTTCCCTGGTCTAACAATTTATCGAATTTTAGGTTGGTTAAGAGACAAAAGTTTAAATAAATTGTTGTTATCCGAAACGTTTGGACGAATTTTTTTTTCGTGTATTTTGATTACTCTCATACCATTTTGCAGTTGTCTTTGGGAAAATAAATATTTTACACCTTACCTTTCATTACACCTGCCTTACCCTGCCAACGTAAAAAGTAAAAAGAATCCCTCCTACTTCAATTTCGCTCAATTTTTTACCCGACACGCGAGTTACGACACGTTTTAATTTAAAAGCTTTTGAACTTCCCAACCCTGAAACAAAAGTTGTGGTTCGCAATCGACTCCCAACTCCCGTTACATGTGTGCCAGTTTCCGGTATCGCGTAAGTTTCTCCATACCTTCATCGAATATTACGTCACACAAAACTATTTCGCCGATAACTGCAAGACCCCACGTGTCTCGAACTATCTCGAATTGAAATTCACCGATGGAATGAAAGATCGACCTGTGATAATTGTCGTATCTCGTGCATTTTATGGACCTTGGTTACCTTAGATTTGCGAAATCGTGTAGGTTTACTCCAGTCAGAGCAGTTGTGTAGTTACGTAATCAACCCCATTTACCACCTGATCATAAAAAATTAATCTATATATATTTTTTATAAGCACTTATGATGGAAAATTGATCCATCAAACGATTTTTTAATTTTTTTTTAACAATGTTAATAGAGTTATCCTGTTCAAACTCGACAGTGAAATTTATACGATTATGTAATGAGTTAATGTAATTTAAAAAAGGATTCAATTGTCTGTTCTTTCCAACATAGCAAGCAAAGATATCATCCACTTAGAACATCCTTTAAATAAAAGTTTTCTATGGTATAGATACGTATAAATTTCACTATCGAGATTGAACAGGATAACCCTATTAATTTTTTAGAGTTAACTATTACGAAAACGCAAAACAAATTAGATTTTTCCATTCATCATAAACCTTCTCATACGGACAAATTATGCACACAAAATTGCTGCATTTCACTCTTTTATACACAGACTTCTTCATACGCCACTCAACAGAAAATTACAACAAAGAACTCAATATCATTAAACAAATTGCACTGAACAACGGCTACAATCCGTCCATTATAGGTTAAATTATAAATAAAAAACAAATCCAGACAACAGTAAACTCTATTTATCCGAAACAATTGTCATGTAAAAATATATAATTTCGTGAAAATCTTAGTCGTTATTTATTTTCGTCGGTTTTGTTTTTTTTTTCTTAAATAAACAAATGAATAACGCGACCCCGCGTGTCACTTCGGGGCGGATAATAATTATCCAGACGCGTTCGAGTGACACAAAAAGGGCGATTAAAGTCGTGGGTGGCCGTGTATATGGACGCATGCTCTCGAAGAGACGAGTCGACGGTGGCGTCGCTCATTTGTCCGCCAGCTACAAGTTGTTTTAGTTTGCTTTTGGCCGTCTTCCCGACGAGATGAGGTGCGGCTGGCTCTTGCTGGCGTCTTGCGTGCTGATTTTGGTAGAGCTGCTGACGAACGTCTCTTCAATCTCTCCCCCTCTGTTCGAGGATGGTGAGTTACCGATTCTCGTTTGTTTTGTTTGTCATTTGACGTTTCGGTTGGTTAAGGACACGTTCTCGCAATAGAAAGAGATACTATTGAACTTGGGCGTGAAGTTAGAAAATCGAAGGTCCTCAATGCAGATCAGACATATTCAACCATGTTTCCGTTTGAAAATAACCAGAAACATACCAAAAAAAGATTTATTTCGAAGCTGGTAGAGGCAAGTTCGTAGCGCCTAATGCCAAGCAGCTTTTTATTTTAAAAAGAAAGAGCTTCGCGGTTTCTTGTACTAGAGCGAAGCATCGTTTTTCTATCGTGCCCCTGCGGACCACTATGGAACTTTCGCAAAATCGATGTAATTTTATTGTGCATACACCCTGTATAAAGTGTCTTTCAAGCTTCGCCGAACTTCAAAGTTTCAGCCAACTTTGTTAAATATTAAAATTTGTACAAATAACAGCGATGTCGATATATTTTTTCCAATATCTCGCGCGGCCTGTATAATTAATTGACGAAACCTGAAACTCTTTCTCCACACAGTTTACGATATTGTTCAAATCTAATTGTCGCATCTTTAACAGTTTTTCATTTATCCGCAATAATTAACGCACAAAAACGGGAATTTTTAGGATGTCTTAGATTTTTTTGCCCATAATCAACACACCCTGTATATAATTCAAACAATGTACGAAGTAGAGTTTATAGCTCTGGATCTCCGACGTTTCCTGGTATATGATTTTTTTTTCAATAGAGTCAACGGTTTTCAAGAAAATACTTGTTTTGGTAAATGACGTCATCGCGTCTAGATTAAGGGCGAGAAATGGTGATTTTTATTTCGATTTTTTCAAATATCTCGAACAGCGTATGTGATAGACGACAACTGTAAACTCAAAAATTGTAGCTCTCGATGTGGCCTATAACACAGTTTAAACCAATTGGTAATATAAGAACTAATTTTAGGGTCTTTTAGATTGTCTATAATTGATAAACCCTGTATATAATGGAAAAATGAAAATGAAATAAAAGTTGTGGTCCCGGATCTCCCGCATTTGCTGGTTCACAAATTTTGCCGATCGGGTTAATAGTTTTCCAAAAAACATTTTTTTTCTGGAAGGCAAAATATACCAAAAAAAAAACAAAATTAAAAAAAATACTTTGCGAGACTTGAGTAAGTCCTTTTTCAACAGGTGAAATGCGGGTGTGAACTTCTACCCTTCTGCCAAATCTGAAGTCGGTGGCTGCAAATTTAAGACACCTGTTAATTTTCGTATATAGCACTTAATATCTTGAACACCCTGCGCAACAGGTGAAAACCTTAAATGCAAAAATTTTTGGCTGTTTATGTGGACCACATTGTCATGCAAAAGAAACTGGCACCCGAAGTACAGTCTTTCAGTTTTTTTGAATTTGCGGCGTACCCTGCATATTTTTGAAAATTTTTCAGCAATAAAATTTTGTCGAGCCGAATCTTCCGCGTCTTCTCGTTTTTTTCTTCCAGACCCCTCAGCCCACCCCAGTTTCAATAGGCTTCGTTGCGGAACTAAACTCTATATTTGTTATAATTTTGATTGCTTCAAATCTCGGACACTTATCGTGTTTTGATAGCGATGTACAAAAAACGGACGAAAATCGCAACAAAAATGAAGGACGCCAATATCTGATCGCTTCCATTTGTCACAAACATGTGTCCAGTGGTTTAAAAGGAGCCGAAGTTCGGAAGTTATTCACATTTTTATGGAGCGTCGACAGAGAAGAGAGATCTGAGAACAGACATCATAGAACAGAGAACCAACAAACAATTTTTACATGGTAAAACCCAGTGTATAATCGAAAAAGTGCTTCAAATAAAAGTTACAGTGCCCAATCTTCCGCGTCTCCTGGTTAAAAAATTTTGACGACTGTGTTAACGGTTTTCGAGAAAATATTTTTTTTCTAGAAGCCAAATTAACCCAAAAAAAATCTAAATTTTTAAAAGAATGCTTGGTGAAATTTGACTGTGCTCGATTTCTAGTGTTGAGCTCCGTCAAATTTGTAATCGATAGCTGCCAATTTGACATTTTTGTAAAAGAAATTGACAATTGAATCACAGCCTTCTAGTTGTAGTGAATTATCATTATAAAGGGAGCCCAATTTTCAGTTATTTTCAAAATCACCGACGTACCCTGTACATTCCTAAAAAATCATCAAAAATAAAAGCTTTTGGTCTAGATTTCGCTCGTCTTTTGGTTCAAGAATTTTTTCGATATTTGCTGTGCAAATTTTAAAAAATACTTCCCGACCTCCTATCTACCTCAGTTTCAATAGGTTTCGCTACGGAGCCAGGTTCCATAAGTGTGTCAAATTTCAAGACGATAGCTGCAAATTTCGATTACTTATCGTGTTTCATAGCAATGTTGAAAAAACAGTCGAAAATCTAAAAATCATACTGATCATTTGTGTACCAATGGGAATTCTCTGGGAACTTTCGCGAAATCGATGTAATTTTATTGTGCTCTTCCTTCCAAGTTACGGCAAACTTTCGAAAATAAAAAAAATTATACCAGTAATTTTCAGTCATATTTTTTCATATATTTCGTCCACCTTGTATAAGTTGTAGACGAAACCTGAAACTCTCTCTCTCTCTATCTCTCAACACAATTTACGACACTTTTTAAAACAAATTTGCCCATGTTTAAGAGTTTTTCATTTAAGGCTAACAATTTACCTACAAAAATGTTTTTTTTATCCATAATCCAAAAAATGACACAAGTAAAAATTATAATTTTTTTTAATAGAGTAAATCGTTTTCGAGAAAATACTTATTTTCTACAACCATGCAGTATTTTGTAATAGTAAATGACGTCTAGATTGAGTGCGATTTTTTTCAAATATCGCTAGAACCGTGTGTCACAGGCGAAAACCATAAATATAAGAATTATAGCTCTCGAAGCTGTCTATTAGACTGTATTAATAAAATTGCCATATTTTTCACGAATTTTGGTAATTTAAATAATTTTAATTTTTTAATAATTTCCTAACGAAAAGAACAATTTTCAGGATCTTTTAGATTTTTGTCCATAATTGAAAAACACTTTATACAATCGAAAACATGCTTAAATAAAAGTGTCTCGGATTTTTCGCTTTGTTCGGAGAAAATAAGTTCTTTGTGAAAGCCAAACTAGGCGAAAAAAAATTTTTCAAAAATTTTTTAGAAATACTTTCCACATTTTAATGGTGCTCAGCTTTTAAAATTTAAGTGAGGGTATAGACTTCTATATCCCTGTCAGATCTGAAGTTGATAGCTGCAAGTTTAAGATATCTACAATATGTGGAAAATATGTACAATATGTGTAAACGTTTTTCTTTTCATTTCTCATAAGCTAATGAGCCCCGTGGGCTTTTTAAATCAACCCAAATTTCACGAGCATAGCTCAAGTTTGAAGTTATTCGCGTTTTTATGAAACTTCGTCGGAGAGCAGAGAACAGACAAAATCCAAATCCGATTATTCTTGTTCCAATTGTGCACGCACCCTGTATAAAGCGACTTTCACGTCTCACCGAACTTCAAACTTACGGCAAACTTTTTCAAACTTTCTCATATTTTTTCAAATATCTCGACTACCCTGTATAATAGGCGAAACCTGAAACTCTCTTTCCACATAATTTACGATACAGTTTAAACAAAATGTTTTTCATTGCCCATTCCAAACAGCACGAGGACGTACTCGGGATATCTGACGGGACATAGCATATATCCTAGGGATATACTGCTTCAGCTAAGGGACATCCTTAAAACATCTCCACAGTATCAGATACGTATGTTCGTAGGATGTTTGTTAGGATATACTAAGGATATCCAGTTATACAAGTTGAGACGTCGTTAGTATATCCGACTGTGAGGCTATAGATCTTATATAGATATACCTTACTTACTAGGTTGTTTTCAACAACCTATGAGAAATACTGGAAAGGTAATGGTTCAGTAGTTCAATTGGTTGTACGACTACAAAAATTAATATTTAATCTTTAATTTTGCTTTTGATGGTAAAAGTAAAGGACTGCCGATTGATACCATTAATAAAACACACTTTATACACATTTTTGTATGATAGGTATATAATATAACAAAAATATAGAGCAAGTATCTTAAATATAGAGTAAGATACTATATCTTGAACTAACCTCTAAAAGAATAACTATTTGACAGGTTTTCTTGGTATATCATTGACTTAGCAAAATAATAAAAAACAAGGCATGATTTTAGTAGACTACCCAACAATGGTTCGTTCAGTCTAGAATTTGTCAAATCTTATGTTGTATATTACCATAAAGCTTTACTTACATTAATTATTAGTTCTTCAGTAATAATAATACCACAAAAAAATACCTGAAACGAAATCACAGCACACAAAATACTCAAAATAGACGCCGGATACCGTATACCGCCATCAAAAACAAGGCTGAAAAGATGGCGGACAACGAGGCGGAAGAGAAGCCGACCAGACTCGAACGAGTCCGGCACGGCGCGACCGCTAGTAGTTGCGTCATTGGTTGCAGCCGAACAGTGTTGCCAAATGGGATCTTTTAAAAAAATGTATGTCTTCATAATTTTTATACTTAGATGAATCCGTATTTTCTGTGGTATTTTTATTAAAAAAGCGTTTGTCGTGTCGTTCGTGTCAACAAATAATAAAAACAATTTGAATTTGAAAGTTTGATTCCGTTTTTTATTTAGAACTTGCCAACGCTGACGTTGATATGGACGCGCGCAAAAACGTTGCCAATAAAATGTCTCCCAAAACACCACAAATCTAAAAAATCTGAGTATTTTACTTCTCAGTTGTTCATATTTGAACTTCTTTTATCCCTTATTTCTATTCTAATGTTCCCACTATTTAGAGGATATCTGTGGTATATCGTGTACAGTAAATCCGCAAGCTATCCGTTCAGAGGATATTCCTGGAATGTATTTTACAGTATATTCTTAGTATATATGCTAACGTATATCCTAAGAATATTCTCGACATGTCCCGGAACATGCGACTTGAATGGGACATTGACCGGATTTACTGTGGATATTGTGTGCTATCTGGGATTGTTATTAATAAAGGTTCACTGATATTGGACAACGATTTACGTGGGTAGAATTCTAAAACTTGTTTTACCTCTGTTAAGGGGTCAGAAGATGGCTACGATTTGCAGCCTAATTTAAAAATAAGACTGGCACACTCCGCAAAACCATTTTTTTTAACTGTTCCTAGAGAATCCAGAAATTATCCAAGTCACGTTCAAAATAATTCATTGAATACAAAACGCATCCTATAAGAGAGGAAAAGTAATTATTAAAATGAATGGATTTTTTCGATCCAAATAACGCGAAAAAGTTATATAGATTATCGAGTTTAAGCGCAAAGAAGAAGAGCCACAAATTCATTTGGAAAGAGGAAAAGTTTCAAACTTTTTTCATATCTGCGGCGCATAAATTTTAACTTCATGATGGGTTTTGATGCTTCCAGAAATACCGAAAAGCATTGACATAATAAGTATCTACGTAATTAATAATTTTCAGGAACTTGCGCTGCTGGTTCATAAAAATGAGATGGTTCAAGTTTAGCGACAGGAAATACTTACGTTGTTGAAAGGTAGAGTTCGCCCTTCCATATACAGTTTTGACGACATAATCCGGCATTTAACTTTGGTAAATTTTGACAAAGGCCAACCTCGCTTTCGTCTATCACATACGCTGCTCGGGATATTTGAAAAAATCCATATTGAAATCTTTATTTCGTGGGCTGTGAAGACGCGATGACGTCATCGATTATTACGGCGCCCGCGAAAACCGTTTACTATTTTCAAAAAATGCTTGAACCAGGAAACGTGGAAAATCCAGCGCTCCAACCTCTACTTCAAACAATGATTTCATCATATACAGGGTGTGTCGTTTATTGTCAAAAAATCTAAAATATCCTAAAAATTTCTGTTTTTGTAAGTAAATCATTGGCGATAAATGATAAACCGTTAAAGATGGGATAATTTTATTTGAACAGTATCGTAAACCGTGTCGTGAGAGAGTTTCAGGTTTCGTCAATTATACAGGGCGCGAGATATTTGAAAAAATATCCTACGACAACGCTATTATTTGTACTAATTTTAATATTTACCGATGTTTGCTGTAACTTTGAAGTTCGACAAGTTGTGATGGACATTTTATACAGGGTGCATGCGCAATTAAATTACATCGATTTTGCGAAAGTTCCATAGTGGTCCGCAGGAGCACGATAGAAAAACAATGCGTCCCTTTACCGCACGAAACCGCGAAGGTCTTTCCTTTTATAATAAAAAACTGCTTCGCGCTACGCGCTACAACTTGCGACAGCAGCGACGATTTTTCGAAAGCGATCTTGTTAGTTTTGTGGCGGATGCGCCGGGACAGTGACGTTCTTTCTTTTTTTGCAGATTCGGGCTATCCGCAAGCCACCGAGAACGATTACAGCGAGAACGACATCGACGGTTATCTTCGACCCGCTCAGAAGTATGCAAAATGACAGAATTGTTGCACGCACTTTCACCACGTTCGTTTTCGCTGAGTTTAACGTTTGTTATGACCACATCGATGTGATTGGAACCGCAAAATCAAACGGCGTCATCTTCAAGGACTTTTTTTTTTTAAATAAAACCCGATATTTGCCATAACATTAATAAGTAAATGAAAAATTTCAAAGTGAAAGAGAGAAGAAGAAGAAGAATAATAATAATTACACTCAGTCTCTTTCGTCAAATAATGAATTTATACCTCCCCTAATTGTATCCATTCTTCTCGATCCCTTGCTATGTTTTTTGTACCTATGTACCTTTCATCATCGTTTCTAACGTTGTGCCCGGAAAATCTCCATTTCAGCTTATATCTGTGGTTGCTAATCTATGTGTTTGTTCTTTTATTTTTAATTTCATGCCTAGCGTAAGCTGTTTGTGTTTCTTTTATTTTATGCGAGTGAAATGGGTTAAAACTCTGTCCTTTAGGTACCGTCGATATTTTTTTTTGTTCTTTAGGATAATGCTCAGCTTTCGAATGCATCTCCTCTTGACTGGAATAAAGATTTTCCTTTTCGTCCTGGGTTCATATATTCCGGCTCCTACTCCTTCTTGAGTTTTTGAGCCATCAGCATACCAGGTTATTTCTGCCTGGATTGGTGGCCCGTTTTCCCAGTCTTCTCTGGGATTTGAGTCCTGTAGTGGTTAACGAAGCAATACTTAGGGGTTGTGCTGTCCGTAGGCAGCCCTAGGACATTGTCCGCCCTTACCTCCAAGTAAAGCTTGCTATGTTTCGTGCTATGTCCAGCAATTATTGGGGACTGGCCTTGCGGTAATATATATACTGAGGATCTTGCTTCCCCTTGTATATAGATCTGTATTGGTGGGATGTTCAGTAGGACCTCCAGCGCTGCAGTGGGCGTTGTGCTCATGGCGCCCGTAGCGCACAGACTAGCTAGCCTTTGCACGCTACTCAGCCGGCTTATCGCCTCCCCCTGCATGGTTCTTGTCCACCAGACAATCGCCCCATACGCTAACATTGGTCTCACTACTGCTCATTTTTGGGTTTAAGTCCCAGTTCTTTCCACACATTGTTCTGCATCTACCTAGTGCAATTGTTGTCCTAAGCGTGATCTTTTGAATGTGCGTCTCCAGGTAAGTTTTAGACCAAAGGCAAGTAGTAATCGAATCATACAGATCATTTGGAGATTTAATTTTATTCAAGAAATTAAAGGATTAGTCAATAGGTCTACCTGTTGTTTCTGCACAGAATATTACGGATTCCAGACATAAGTTGTTATTAGTTTATATTATTTTATTTTTTCTTTGTATATATTTTTATTTTCCAATAATTTTTGCATGTCTAGTTGATCTTTTTTTTGAGCTCATTCTTCTGCTTATTTCAAAATGATACTCAAATGTGCCAATTTCTTTTTTGGGTTTTCCGTGTTCATTTTCCTTGCCCTTTTTGGTTGTGTTATTTTCTAGCTAAGCGAGGCTAAATGAGCACTGAAACGGTGCCATCCTTATTTCAGATCGATCTTGAAGATGACATCGTTAAATATTTTGAGTGTTTGCGTTCGGTATGTAGAGCGATACGATTTGATTTGTAGTCGACGTTCTGGCACGCACAAAAAATCCTAGTTATACGAGGGGTGTTCAAAAAGTAAGATGACCTTTAAGTTTTACAAAAAAGTTGTAGTCCTCGAAGCACTTCTGGTATAGCCTTAAGTACTTCTAGCGTTCTTTTACTCTTTATCTAATCAATCGTTCCAAACATCTTTCCAAAACCCATGGGTTTCGTGAGTTTTGAGAACAGGAAAAAGTTGCAGTGGGCCATATCCGGTGAATATGGCGGCTGAAGCATTGTTCTGGTTATTTTTTTGCCAAAAAGACTGAGCATGTGCATTACCGTGATGTAAAATTTATTAATTGCTTTCCCACGCATAACTTCAAGATGATACTCTTTCTTGACCGTAATACCTTGTGGTAACAACTCTTGACGTACTACGCCACTATATTCAAGGAATATTCTGGAATCTTCCATTGAGAAGACTGAACTTTGGCTTCGACGCCATAACGATTTACCTATGATTCGTCACCAATTATGAGCTTTTTGAGGATATCAGGATCATTATTGATCATTATCGATATCTCCACATCATTTCATTCACTTCTTCAACGATTTTACACTTTTTTTGCTCCAAGCAGATTCACCATATGCCGTTATCAACATTTTAAGTGTTTTGTTGCTTGCTTTTACACAACTAATTTTTTTTTTGACAGCAGACCATACAAAACACGTCTGACACTTTTGTCGAACAAAAAAAGAGTAAATTTTGAAAACTGTGAACATATGTTAAGGACATGTGTACCAACATAACAAAAAATACATCGAAGATCGAACGCCTAATTACAAAAGTCACCTTTCTTTTTGAACGTGCCTCGTATTAAGAAAATACACAGTATTGCACTATAAACGTGTGAATGTTGTAGTGATGTGTTCGAGGGAGGCCCAGTCATAATTAAGCGGAAATATCAGTAAAATTATCTTATACCTCATATCTATTCTTCTCTCTAATAATTACCATATGGGAGATATTAAGCGATCCATCACAAACCACAAGCAATCCCACGCTTGCCACTGTTGTCCTTCCGGTTTCGTGATTGTGTTCGGCAACAGCTGATGAGTTTATTTGTCTTAGTCGTATGGCTCTTTCGTGTTCTTTGAGCCTAGTTGATATTTTTCGTCCGGTCTCTCCAATGTATTCTTTGCCGCATATGCATGGAATGCTCTAAACTCCTGGCGTCTCAAATGAAATTTTGTCTTTTGTGCTAAATCTGGTTTTGACGTTATACTTCTTTAGAACTTTTGATGTGTGGTCAGTGAAGATACCTTAGTAGTTTTTCTTATACCTTATAACTGTATACACTCTACCATACGTTCTACCATTGAATTGGAAACTAATAACAACCTTCCATTCTTAGATATTCTTATCCATAGAAAATTAGACCTTGGTGCCAAAAATCATCGGTTATCAACTCTCTTGTTTACAGAGCTCTATAGCTATCTCAACACGAGTCACTGAACCTAGAATTAAAACACCCTTACCTTTTCTCTTCTGTCTAATAATTTCCACCTTAAAGATACTAAGCATTCCATCAAAAACCTTCCAATGGCAACGAGGCTGAAAGTAATCCCACACTTGGCACTGTTGTCCTTCCTTAAGAAATATAACTTCAAACCCGAAGATTCACCACGTTTCCTCTCCCAACACCTTCGATCCGATTTCGTATTCACCTTGTTCTCCAACCAACGAGAGATAATAAACTTGCTGGGCCCCCTCTTGATGGCCGTCTGGATGTGGTTGTGACTTCTGGTTTCCATTTGCAGACGTTCTTCTTCTTCTTCCATAATTTACCTTTTCAGACGCGCATGTGTCAGAAGGGGTGGCAACTGCGACCACCGACCCAACGATTGCTGTTACAACAGCTCTTGTAGGTGTAACCTTTGGGGGGCGAACTGTCGATGCCAGCGGATGGGACTGTTTCAGAAATGGGGATAATACGACCGCTAAGACGTAAAACCAGACCACCTGGCGATGGTACCGGAGCACCTCCCCAACCAGATAGTTATTTTCGATCGACCTAAAGTGTAGTGCTTTGGTACCATCGTCTCGACGGATCACTTCGGATGAGACCGCTAGTTCGGACGATCCTCCAGCATTGGAAGATCGTCGGAACGGAACGTCTCGGACTCAGGCGCGGAAATTGGCCAAGTTATTATCCATCGCGGAGCTGTCCATACGTTAGAGGCATAGCCAGTCTCGGCTGCTCTCCTACTGGCGGCCTTTTTCCAGCCAAGCCCCCAGTAGGTCCGCAAGTCCGACTTAAACATATTTCATACACTTAGTTTCTAGGGTATACGACGTAACTGTTGTAATTTTGACATCTGTGTGTGACGAACATGTACGTCGTTCAGGATCTTGTCAATATTATATCTAGATTAATATATCAATTGGCCTAAAACGCGCTGAGTTTCATTTCTTCCTACACCTTGTTCGGCAAATAATGAAACAGGACGATTTCATTACAGCAACTTTTAATAGAGAAACACGAAATTCTCTGCTGATAACGACTTTTGATGCACTGTGTGTGAGTGTTCGAAGTGTTTTCGGAGCGCGAGCATTGAAGATGCCAAGTGAGATTTTGGCGAAACGTCTGCAGGATTCCAGTCGGATGCAGGATTTGCAGGATTCCAGTCGGAGTTCAACGAGCGAACGGATGATATCCCGGAATATAGTGTCATCACATTTTTCCATCCGTGAATCAATACGTGAAAATATATATATATATATATATATATATATATATATATATATATATATATATATATATATATATATATATATATATATATATATATATATATATATATATATATATATATATATATATATATATATATATATATATATATATATATATATATATATATATATATATATATATATATATATATATATATATATATATACAGGGTTTTTCACTTAAAACTCCGCACTCCAATAACTCCAAAACGAAAAGAAATATTTAATTTATGTAAAAAGTAGTCAAAGTGTGGGGTCAAGTAGATATTTCCTAAAGTTTAAAAAAATTGACGCCTGCAAAGAGCTGGGCGTCGCGACGCGTCGAAAGATTATTCGATTGCAGAGACTTTGGAAATACGTGCATACAAAAGTACGTATTATTTAAGAACTTTTTTGTTATTTACTCAAACTTATTTACTTTACCCGTTTTTACAAGTATGCTACGAGTGTTAGTTACTATGGCAACCATTGTTATCGCAGTTGTTTTAAGTGCAATTACAAACGTAAGTTGTTATTGCTGTATCAAAAAATTGTCACATTTTGTCACAAGAAATATCCAAATTTGTTCGGTTTAAAAAAAAACTAAGAATTATTATGTGAAAATGGTGCAATTTAGCAATGAGGAAAAAGTAGACATGTTACTGGTGTTTGGAGAATGCAGATGCAATTGTAGAGAAGTAAAAAGAGTTTACGCAAGGCGTTATCCGCATAGAAGAGTCCCCGATGCAAAAACCTTTTCAAGTTTATGTAAAAACTTAAGAGAATATGGCAGCATCATAAAACCTAAAAGAGATAGGAACAGGACGGCTACAAATGATGAAAATACTGCTGCTGTAATTCAGCAGATTGATAATAACCCCAAGATATCCCTATCAGAGATAAAAGAAAATACCGGTGTTACCATAAGTTCTTCGTGGAGAATTCTACATAGAAACTCTTTTCACCCGTACAAAAGTAAACTAGTTCATATACTAGAACCAGGCGATTATGCCAGAAGAATGTATTACTTAGCGACATTGTCCGATTTGTATAGCCAAGATGCAAGTTTTCTCTCGAAAATTTTATGGAGCGACGAAAGTCGATTTCAAAATAATGGAATCGTTAATAGACACAACTGTCGTTTTTGGTCCGAAAACCATCCTCGTTGGATTACAGAAAGAGGTAACCAACGAATTTTTAGTGTCAATGTTTGGTGCGGCATATTAAATGGATTCCTTATTGGACCTTACTTTTACAAAGGAACTTTAAATGCAGATCGCTATTTAAGATTTCTTCGAACTACACTTCCGGAACTATTAGAAGAAGTGCCTCTTGACACTAGAATGAATATGTGGCTACAGCAGGATGGAGCGCCTGCACATAATGCCCAAATAGTAACGAGGTATTTGAACCGAGAATATCCCAATAGATGGTTTGGTACTAATGGACCGGTAAGGTGGCCGGCGAGGTCCCCGGACATTACACCACCAGATTATTTTCTTTGGGGCTACCTAAAAAACGTTATCTATGAAGAACCTATCGAAGATATGGCTGATCTCATTAACAAAATTAGTGCAGCGTGTGCCGCTATCACAAGAAGGACTCTCCTACAAGTGACCCAAGCTCATCTGTTAAAAGTTTTTAATAGTTGTGTTCGAGCAGATGGACATAATTTTGAACAAAATTTTTGAAATGTCTTATTATGTAGTTAATTGCAATAATAATTTTGGTTATTAACTTGTAGGTATTTTACTGTTTTTTCATTTATTTATCATGTTATCAGAACTAAATCGATAAAAAATAATAAATAAAATCATACTAAAATAGTTGAAATCTATTGTTTGTAATTGCACTTAAAACAACGGCGATAACAATGGTTGCCATAGTAACTAACATTCATGGCATACTTGTAAAAATAAGCGTTAATCACATTTTTTATTAATTAAGAAATGTTTACTTTAAATCGGTATAACTTAGAAAGGGGTAAAGTAAATAAGTTTGAGTAAATGACAAAAAAGTTTTTAAATAATATGTACTTTTGTATGCGCGTATTTCCAAAGTCTTTGCAATCGAATAATTTCTCGACGCGTCGCGACGCCCAGCTCTTTGCAGGCGTCAATTTTTTTAAACTTTAGGAAATATCTACTTGACCCCACACTTTGACTACTTTTTACATAAATTAAATATTTCTTTTCGTTTTGGAGTTATTGGCGTGCGGAGTTTTAAGTGAAAAACCCTGTATATATATATATATATATATATATATATATATATATATATATATATATATATATATATATATATATATATATATATATATATATATATATATATATATATATATATATATATATATATATATATATATATATATATGGAATCCTGCAGACGTTTCGCCAAAATCTCACTTGGCATCTTCAATGCTCGCGCTCCGAAAACACTTCGAACACTGTTCGTTTTGTAAAAGAAAACTGTTATTTGTATAAAGTATGGATATGCAGAAATAAATACATATTATTATTATTATTGTATCCCAATAAAGGCGTTCCGCAGGGATCAATATTAGGCCCGATCCTTTTCTCTATATACCGGGTGACTCAAGAAAGTGGGAATTTTTGGCAATATGTCAATCACTGGTTGCACTTCCGGTTCGAGCGGAAACAACAGTAACTTTCGAATTTTAAGTGGCACAAACAAGATTTCAGTGTATATTTTGGCAGGCGTTGATGGTACGCCACTGATTCCTCTTAATTCCTTTTAATTTCTAAAAAAAAATATTTTCTTGATTTTAAACATTTTTTTAAAAATAAAAATCTCGTTGCATTGTCCCGAATTTGTCACCAAAAGCGATGTCGCGATAGACATCCACAGCGCTTTAACTGTTGCCGGACTAGACGGTAATACTTCAAGGCGATCGAGTAGAACTACATCGTCTGAAAAAAGACCTCTGGCAGGAAGTCTGAATGATACGAGCAAATGCAAACTACAGGCTGCCGAGAGGCCTGTTAGCTTTCATGTCACGAAACTACATCCGGAAACAACGACAGAAGATATCCAAACCTACCTCACTCCAATAGTTATGGTCTGTTCATAGATGTAAGAAAGTGACCAATTGGTTTGGAATGTGATTATCCAAGGGTGGTCATTCACGTACAATGCAACAAGATTATTACCTAAAGTTTCGGAAGTTAATAAAATGTAGGAGCGTCTTCATCTTAAATAGGACCCACTGTATAGTTAACTTGTGTCATATCGACCAGGGACAAACAAATCCTGGTACGTAATCAATGAAAACTAGATTAGAAGGGCGCCCTCGCGTGTTTGGGATTGTTTTAGAATTTAATTAGTTTGATAATAATAGAAGGGAATTTCGGGGGATCCGGCGCCTCAACTTTTAATTATTACGTTCCAAAATTCCGTTTACCAGATGCCGGGACGAATTCCCATGTGGCCCCGGCAATGGAAATAAAACAAAAGCCGACCTTTTCCCGAAACAATCCTCGGGACGCGTTCTTGTTCCAGCTTGGAATTTGGCGTCTGATAGGGTGATAATAAGTCACGTAGGTAGATAATTAATTCACCGATGCGGCGGATGTTTCGTCAGAAAACAATCATATAAGAAATTACACCTTTACAAAGAAACTTCCACGTGCTACGAGTAATAAGTGCTTTAATTTTTCTTATACAGGTTGTTTTGTAATTGAATGTAGATATTAAAAGGGACCGTTTTTGGGTCGATTATAAAAAGAAAACTTCATACAAAAATATGTAATAAAGGTCTTAATAGTATCTTAAGACCAAATTATTTTGAATTTAAAGGAAGGTTTGATTATGGGAAACCCACTTAGTCCTTTGTTAGCAGAGATTTTTATGGATAATTTGAAAAATATCATACTAGAACATCCTTTAAGTAAAAGTTTTCTATGGTGGTATAGATACGTGGATGATGTCATTTTCTTGCTTTGTTCATTAGTTTTGGTTAGTTTCTTAGACAAAATTAATAAATATTTTAAAGTTCCACATAGATTTTAAATCAAAATTTGCAATACAAAATTATTTTAAATTAATCAACACAATTAAAGATACCAAAATCCCTTCTAAGGCAACATTATTGTCTTTTGATGTACAAAACTTATTTCCCAGTATTCCATCTATGGATGTGATAGATTTAGTAGATTCCACTGTTACTGGGAAACACGTGAAACAAGATTTATTACATTGCTTAATAGTATCTTTAGACCAAAATTATTTTGAATTTGATGGACAACTTTACATCTCTAAGGAAGGTTTGATTATGGGAAACCCACTTAGTCCTTTGTTAGCCGAGATTTTTATAGATAATTGGGAAATTATCATACAAGAACATCCTTTAAGTAAAATTTTTTTATGGTTTATGGTTATGGTTATGGATAGGCAATTAAATTACAGTAACTCATTAGATAATTCACTATCTAGATTGAAAAGGATAATTTTATTAATTTTTTAGACTTAACTATTACGAAAACGCGAAACAAATTAGATTTTTCCATTTACCATAAACCTTCACATACGGACACAGTCATACATAACAGCTCAAATCACCTTTATACACACAAAACGGCTGCATTTCACTCTTTTATACACAGGCTTCTTAATACGCCACTCTCAACAGAAAATTACAACAAAGAACTGAATATCATTAAACAAATTGCACTGAACAACGGCTACAGTCCGTCCATTATCGATAAAATTATAAATAAAAAACAAATCGAGACAACAGAAAACTCTATTCATCCGAAACCTAATACAGAACACGGATAATTTAAAACAGTTAGATACATAGGAGAACCCAGTGAAAAAGTATCAAAATATTTGTTAAAATGTTGGTTAAAAATAGCTTTCAGAACTAACAACACAATAGGAATTTTTTAAAAAAACAATAAAACGAATTTTGAAATGCGGATCATGTCCTAAAATTTATATTGGACAAACAGGTAGATCTTTAAAAACAATAGTCTAGATTCTAATTATGCTACAGACTTAAACACAGAAAAACACATTTTTGACCTTGATTTTGATATTTTACATGCGGCCACGAAAAGTAGAAAATTAAATTTATAGGAAGACATGGAGATTAACAAAACGAGACATTCAAATGTATATCTCTCGTTTATTCAACCCAAATTCTCACAACATTGCTTAAGGTTTTATTGTCATTTTTCGGTAGTTTGTAAATATTATATTTGGTAAAGACACGGTGTTGTCGAAACAATTGTCACGTGAATATATATAATTTCGTGGAAATCTGAACTTTTATTTCTTATTTATTTTGTTAAATGGATTTTCGAGTAAAAGCCACCAATCCGTCAAAGCCAGATACGTGGCCGTCCGAATCGGTCTAAATACTGTTGGGATCCACCGGCGTGAAAAAAAAATAACGCTTTCGTTGATAGACCACGTGTGCGTAGCTTCAAAACGTGTTCCGAGCGAGTCAACGGCATATGGCGAAACAGCTCCGCTCTCCGCGTGGAAAGTGGGCCCCACCACAACGCTACGCGGCGGCACACCTCTCCAAAGGTGGTTTCGACGCGACACAAGCCTTTAGTTTATTAATGCGACTTAGGACGTAGCCACGTAGCGGCGATGTAAGCTGAAAAAATCGCGTTTCCTAGTCAGTGTCCATCGATTTTGAGGAGTTTTGTTTTTGTGCGAGGAATCATGCGCGGTCTAGTCGTTAGTTTATTGTCCGGTTTGTGCGTCGCTTTGTGAGGATGAAGACGTGACATGGCAGATGCAAAGCCTTTGTATTCGACATGCGTGGCGGTACTGGGATTCGTTTGCTTCGTCGTGGGTGCCACCGCAGTCGGGATACCTATGTGGGGCTACTTTGACACGCTGTACGGTGAGTTGCTCGCACAGGTCGGAAAAATGGCGCCAAACTAGTCGGTTCTGCTCGACAGCTGCTCGTTGTATTGCGTACTGTAGCGATACTGAAGTCTTTAAAAGATGCGCTAAAAGTCTTCAAACTGTGCAAAATTTAATGACATTACTTTCCAATGCTGGAGATTCTGAGATGGGAGGAGCTCGCCTCGAAATTTATCCAGTTTTATCCAGTTTAGTTGTTGTTGTCTCAAGAATCTTTCATGTTCTCTGAGCCTTGATATTTTTTGTCTTGTCTCTCAGCATCGAAGATGTTGAGATATTTTTGGACACACTTCTTAAGAACTTCTGATTTGCTAGTAGTATGATAGTAGCAAGTGTGGTGTTGCTTTGGGAGGTTGTGGTGAATTGTATTTTGCGATAATCCATATTATCATAACCATAAAAAAATAAAAAAATACATTTTTGCTCTGAAATTATTTATTTTGTTGCACTTAAGAATACATTACATGTGTCAAAAAAAAATAAAAACTCGAAACGTACAAAAAAATACTGGTGCGTAAACGAACCACTAGGAAAAAACATTAAATAATGTTTTAGGGCACATAAGATGTAAGATGGAAGTGAATAAAATAGGTACCTTTCAGATGAACAAAGGCACCAAAACTTGAAGCAAAAACGAACTGGCTTAACCCTTATAAATATTTTGCAGGAATGGCGGTCAAAGTAAGGTACCATTTGTTCATCTATGGATAAGTTGAACGAAACTATGGCAAACTGAATATTTTTTTTATTTATTACATCAAAGAAGGGTATTTCCAATGTACGTTTTCTGCGATTTAATCTATATGCTATAGACTTAACAAAAATGGCAATACAAATCCAAAATATTTTTTTTTACTATTTTGGATTTACTTGAACATGTGATACAAATATATGTACCGCTTTTGTTAACTTTTGAAGTCATATATCTTTCCTTTACACATAAATAAGCGTTCCTGGATGTGACAATACCAATCATAGGGACAAATGGATTAATACCTCTAGAGAAACATTAAGATGAGAATATTATCAGTTTTACGTGTAGGAGGCAGACATTTCGCTAGGGAATATGTTGGAGAACCAATGGTGCTGACAATAGGTAATCCTGCACTGTACCTTGAGGTACGCCTCTATCTACAGATTGGACTTGCTTTATTTGAACAAGCTGCCTACGATTTGTTAAGAACGGTCAGAGCTATTCCACGAATTCCGTATTGTTCCATCCAATTGAAAAGAATTTCGTGGTTTATACAGTCAAACACCCTGCTAAGATCACAAAATATCCCAGCAGGGCGCTCTCCAGACTCAATAGAGTTGATAGCGTGCTCCCAAAATGAATAGAATGAATAATTGGGTGGATCTACCTGTTCTCCCTTTGTTAATCATCATTTATCAGGGAGGTCAATGGACTCAGGATATAGTCGTTACACTTTTTGAATATTACAAAAGGCACAAGGCAAGAATTTTTGTTTTTTATTTTATTTTTATTAAGTTCGATATTTCCTCTTGAGAGAAAGGTCTAACGCACATACTTTCAGGAAAGCTTCCAATTGCATCTAGAAATGAATTTTTGTGCATGTTAGATGGCTTCTTTAATATTGTCAACAGCTTCTATAAAAAAGTTGTTCATAAAATTCGCTAATACCACCGGTTCCTTAATAATATTAATATGATTCTTTCTTTCTTATTACTTCCACTTATCTCAGACGCAATAGACCAAGCGTGTCGGATACTGCGACGGCCACCCTGTACGCTCACTTCCTGTGCGGATAATGGTTTCGTATTCCCATACGTTCGTTTATTGTAAAAGTAGTCCAATGCAAACTAGGCAGTCATAATGTTACAATCGCGTTGTCCTGCTGCTATTAAATACCGTTGAATATTTAAGTATTTAACGGCCCACGAGGGAATTCCACTCTCGGCGACTCTTAAAGATCGGAGAAAGGCCAGCTTACAAGGAAAATCCCGTGGTCGACTTTTTAACCCTTTGCACCATGTCTTATCACTACATCAGGTTGGCCGGTCTGTCATGAGCTACGCTCAATTCTAATATTTCTAAATCGCTTTCTTGAACCTTCGTTGATGACATGTTCACGTAAAAATAAAAGATAACATGATATTTATTTTTGTATAAAATTCAAATTCCCAAGAAATCTTTACGAGATCAAGTTGAAAATAGATTGCGAAGTAGCGACGATGAATTTTATATTGACGCGCCTGAATAGTGATAATATTAGTGACTAAAGTGACTCTAGTAGTGGTAGTGATATTATAGTTACTCAAAGACAGAGAACCAAACCTCTACCATCAAGTTCAAGCAGCTGTGAAGGAAACGGGAACATAACACAACCTGGTAATGTTTCATGCTCTTTTTCATGGCACACGTGGAGATACTACAGTAACAGAATTTACCACATTTATTGGGGTTGTTCTAAATATGGGTACAATAACCTTATCTGATATCCAAGAGTATTGGTCACAACAGTTTAACGCCAAAATACCTTTTTTTTGTTGCGTATTTAGAAGAGAACGATTTTTACAATTTTTTTTTGCATGAAAACGTTCTAAATGACCAAACTCTTAGTCCATCAGATTATTTGGGCAAGCACTTCAAAGAACATTTTGTTCCATCAACAGAGACATCGGTTGACGAATCTGTCGTTGAATTTAAGATTAATTAGTTTTTTAACTTATATCTCGCGCGTCCTGTATAATTGACGAAACCTGAAACTCTCTCTCGACACAGCTTACGATACTATTCAAATAAAATTATCCTTAAATTATCTTTGCGGTTTTTCATTTATCGCCAACAATTTACCCACAAAAACGGAAATTTTTAGGATCTTTAAAATTTTTTGCTCATAAACGACACACCCTGTATATGATTCAAACAATGTTCGGAGTAGAAGTTATAGCCCTGGATCTTCCACGTTTCCTGGTCCAAGAATTTTTTGAAAATAGTAAATGGTTTTCGAGAAAATAAGTTTTTTCTGAAACCATGCAGTGCGCCGCATGTTAGCAATGTTAATTACGATTTTTGATTTGCGGCTAATAATTTACTCTGTAAAAGAATAATTTTTTAGGTCTTTTAGATTTTTACTTATAATTTGAAAACCCCGTATATAATCGAAAAAAATGCCTGAAATAAATGTTATTCCACTTGATCTTCGTCTTCTGCTGGTTAAAGAATTTTTTCTACTCCCGTCTGTAAAATGCCTAATTACCCACCGATCTAGCGTGCAGGAAGCGACATTTTACCACGTCAGTTTCGTTTCCCACGGATCCGAGTCACTTCGGACATTTCCGGGATTTTACCGCACGGATTTGGGAGCGATCGGATGTTTTCGGAGATAAATCTGACGGTCATGTCAGTGAATGTATTTGTGTTGTTTTGGGAAAATGTACCCAAAAACTAACGGTCGTAGAAAAAGTAACTCGTTTATTAAAAACTCGCTCCGCTGCGCTCCGCTCGTGTCAAATAAACTCGTGAGTCAAATGCCGTTTACCGCGCTTGTCGCGTAATATACTATTGCCGATCGTGAACGATTATTCAAATCGATATCAGAAAATATACTGTGATAGCAGATATTAGAAAGAAATGGAAATTTTCGCTGGGGTGCCGCAAGGTTCCATTTTGTATTGCTGTTTTGATTTTAATAGTAGCATGGATACAGAGGTGTTTATAAATCAAGATCTTTACAGGATTAGTGAACTTCGCATTTAATGATATTTGGAAATAAAACTAAAGTTAAGCTAGATAAGTAGATAATATTAAATTTTCCGGTGTCGATTCAGCAACGACTTTGAGGGTGATCATACATTGTGATCTAAGATTTCGTGATTATTTAGAAAATATCTTTGAAAAGGCATATTTCTCATTAAAAATCTTATCTAGTAACGGGCATATTTTAAATTTTATACTAAGGAAACAATTATGTGAGTCACTCGTTCTCTCACATTTTAACTACTGTGATGTAGTATATCGTTTTTTTATCGATAACGAGTGTAAGCGCTGTATTCAAAGGTTGCAGAATGCTTGAGTTCGTTTTATTATGGGTCTTCGAAAATATGACCATTTATCTGCTGCAACTTAATTGATTTAAAGTGGAACAAAGAAGAGCTCTTCATTTCAACATATTCGTAATGAAAATTATCCATAACCTCGATTCACCCACTTTGCTGAGAGAGCGGCTTACTCCTAGGAGTACTATCCATTCTGTGAATGTAAGATACAGATACAGACCAACGATGCCACGTCATCAGAGTGCCTTGTTTCGTAGATCTTTCACATTCAACGCAATTCGTGTTTATAATTCTTTGTCACCGGAATTCAGTAGCTTAAATTTATATTCATTTAAAAAAAGGTACAAAGATAATTTGTTACAAATACAGTTTTCCAAATAACGTCTTACTAATTATGTTATTAGCAAGGGATTATATTGAGTTATCAAATTCTTTATCTTAGATTGCATTTTCTGTAGCGTGTAGTAGAGTTATGGTTCTCCCGATTTTGCAGGGATTTTTCATATTTTATTTGTTGTTTATCTATTTTTTATTTCAATAAATAGTGCGCAATTTACCAATTATATAAGTAGTTCTTTAGCGGCTCAGTAGAGTAGCTATTTAATTTGTTTTGAAAAATATCAATATTGTATATTGACAATACAATATTTATTATTACAATATTTATTATTATTATTATTTGTGTTCCACTATCCTATCGATTTATTTATTTTATTTTTATTATTATCTTTCTTTTTTTTTAATTTAGTTATTTTTCATGTTATGATTGTAATAAATTACATTTATTATTACATTATCAGAGTACAGTGCACTCGCTGCCCTGAAGATGCCGTTCGTTTTTTTTTTCCCGTTTAACAATGTTCCTTCGCGGGTTCCCGACCAGTCAAATCGGATTTTACGCAGCGATGTAACGAACGGTTGTTACCGTACCCGTTGTTCGTCTGTTCTTACAGACTT